TCCACATTTAAGTAATATCTTAGCATTTTATTTTAGGCTATATTGGATGTATAGAACATTTCACCCACACTTATTATGACAGAAGTATTCAATCTTACTTTCAGCCATTAAATACCATATTTTATATAACTTTATTTAGTGTCAAATATCTTCAACTTCACATGTGATCACTTGGGACAAGGTATTTTTTGTGACAAATTACAATAATAAACAAGTTTTTAAACTGACCCCATGTGTGTTTTACAGAAAGTGTAAGCACTCAAATCCATATTAAATCTGTATTTTAAAAACTCTTTGAAAAGAATGTCATTCACAGATTTAAACATTCTCCTTCATTTTGGGGAAATAAATGTCCTCCTCTTTTATATAATACGACTCTGCAGCTCTTCTTCTGACGGGAGACATAAATCATCCTTTGGCCAGAGTGGAACTTAAAACCTGTTACTGTCTCTCATCATCATTATGGGTGTGGCCATAAGTTAAAATTAGTCTGGTTCCACCAAACACATGAATAGTGTGTTGACAAATTACAATGTTTAATAAATAAGGATGTATAAAGAAAGGAAATATCAAATAGAATCAGCCTCTCTTGTATTGTTTAAAATATGATTGGTTGGATGAAAAACAGTATATATTGTTACAGAGTTATACAGTGCCAAGAAAAGTATGTGAGCCTTTTGGAATTATCTGCTTTTATGTATATAGACAGTTTAAAATAAGCTCTGGTCTTCATCTAAATTACAATAAAGAACAAATACAGTTTAAATGAATCACAAAAATAATGTATTGTTCTGGTCCATACTGAATACATCACTTCAACATTTTCAGTAAAGGCTGAAAAACGTATGTAAACCCCAAGACTAATGACTTTGGTAATTGGATTCCAATCAAAGAAATGAGATTTGAGTTGAGGGTTAGAGCTACTGTTCTGTCTCGCAAGACAGAGATCTCAGAAGTCCTATGATCGGTAACTGTTTATTTCCATAAAGCTGGAAAGGGTTACAAAGTAACCTCACAGAGTTTAGGTGTTCATCAGTCTACAGTTAAACATACTGTCTTTAAATGGAAGTGATTTAGTACTGTATGGAGTTTGCATGTTTTCCCCGTGTCTGCGTGGGTTTCCTCTCACAGTCCAAAGACATGCAGTCAGGTCGATTGGACATGCCGAATTGCCCCTAGGTGTGAATGTGTGTGTGATTGTGTATGTCTGTCTGTCTGCCCTGCAATGGACTGACGACCTGTCCAGGGTGTATCCTGCCTTCCGCCCAATGACAGCTGGGATAGGCTCCAGCACCCCACCCCGACCCAGAATGATAAGCGGTTTAGATTATGCATATATGTATGTATGTATATTTTTGCAGGTAATGCTCATGTACTGGGATATTATGTTGATAATGAATCTTAAAAGGAGGATGATGATGTTTTTGCTGTTAGTTCTCATCACTGTCTTACTGACCATCATCATCCTCATCTCAGCAGAGCACTGTGAGTTTTAGGCAACTGATATGCAGTTAAACGTGCTTGCTTGTAAGTGAAAACTGTGAGTATAAAAGATAATAAAGAACATTTAGCACTTGCATTGTGCATTCCGGGCAGCGCTGTCGCCTCACAGCAAGGAGAGTCTGGGTGTGATTCTTTCTGTGTGGAGTTTGCATGTTCTCCCCGTGTCTGCATGGGTTTCCTCTTACAGTCCAAAGACATGCAGTCAGGCCGATTGGACATGCTAAATTACCCCTCAGTGTGTGTGAATGTATATGTCTGTCTGCCTGCCCTGGGATGGACTGGTGACCTGTCCAGGGTGTATTCTGCCTTCTTCCCAATGACTGCTGGGATAGGCTCCAGCTCCCCCCGCGACCCGGAAGGATAAGCGGCTTAGAAGATTGCATTCAGCAGTGCTTTTGTGATGATTTTTTCCTTCTAACATTGCACTGAGATTTCCATTAAACATGTATTGCTGCTGTTGCTTTGTTGCCATGAGGTAGAAGCAGAGTTCTAACAGTGTTTCCTCCACAGAGAAAGAGACCTGAGATCCGATGCCTCTCTGCTGTTTTCTCATGATCACTACATATTCAGGTCAGTGATTTGGTCTTGGAAAAGTAAAGTGCACATGTAAATCTCTTACTTGAACAGAAGCACTGTGTGTAGCCACACTGCCAGCTGCTCAAGTAAGTAGTGTGTTTTCTCTTATCAGTTTATTTGGCACTGATTTGTTGCAGAAATGTATTAAAGAAAAATGCAACCCTCATGAATCTAAGCTTTCTAAAGAAAAAGTAAAACAGTGCAAGTGTGACAGAAGTTTTAAATGTGTTTTAATACCAAATTAAAATAGTATGCCCAGTCACACACATTCAAACAAAAACAGAACTCATTTCAACATTAACTAATCAGATGTGTTTAGTTTGAGTTATTTTTTAGTGAATTCATTTGTGGTGCTTTTATTGTTTAGTTCATCAAATATACCTTACCACCATGAATATAAACTGTCTAATGAGAGTATTGCTTTACTCTTTTAATGTACATTCAAGTAATAACCTTTAATCTATTGTATACACAATAACAATCTTTGCTGTCAGAACAAAATCTTTAGTACCTTTTGGTAACTTTAGAGGTGAATGGAAAAAAGGACATATACTAGTCAATGTAATGCTAGTGAATGTAATAGTAGTCAATGCAACTGGCATGTTTAAATTATGTTACATAATTAAAAAGTACATTGAGCAATATCCATAAATGCATTAACTGCACATTGAAGAAGAGCACCTATTAGTATGAAACCAAAGCTTACAAAAGATTGTTTTGAAAAACACAATCACAGAGTGAATTACCCGATTAGTGTTCAGTGCTATTAGTGTTTCAGTGTTTCAGTTCACAGCATTTGAGTCACTAATGTGACTGAGGCTGAATATAAAGGCCTGAGTTACAGATATAATGGAGTAAAACCAATTTCCACAATGACCTGCTGGACTGTTCTAGAAATAGTGAAGTCCAGAATTGATTGTGCAAGATCTGTTAGACAAACAGTGGATTCTCATCTTTCACAAAATCTTTAAACTAGTGTAAATGATGTGACTTAATGACACAGAGTGTCAGACGCTGATAGAGAAGTGTCTGCATCTTGTGTTCTGAATAATAGAAACACTGTATGTACATAAATCATAAAATCAGCAGTTTTACTGTAACAGGCAGTGTTTAAACCCACCCAGACTGTTCTATCCAGTCTGTATGTCCAGCAGAAGAGGAGCTCTCTCAGCATGTTGAGAGTCTCCTACTGACCTCCTTCTGCTCCTGAGCAGCACCTCCTGTATATTTATGAACCTCCTCCAGTAAAGTGTTACTAAGTTCTCTCACTCTGAGTCTCAGTGTCTCCAGCTCTCTGTCCTTCTCCTCCATCTGTCTGCTGAACTCTTCCTGCATCTTTGACTTTGATATCAAAATGTTTCTCTGGAGTTCAGGCAGGATGATCTTCATGAGGTTCCTCTCTGCCTCCATTCTGGCTTCTCCTTCATACGTCACCCTGATCTCCTCCATCTCCTGTCTGTGTCTCTCCTCCATCTCTCTCCTCTCCCTCTCTCTCTTTTCTTTTAATTTCTTCACCTTTTCCTCCATTTCTGTTCTCCGCTTCAACTCTCTTTCCAGCTCTTGTTCCAGTTCTCTCCTTTTCTCTTCATCTTTTTCTTCTTTCATCCTTCTCTCTAGCTCTGTTGTTCGGTTATTTAGTTGTTTTATCTCTCCTTCATGCTCTTGTACTGCTCCCTCTATCTTTCTCAGAGACTTCTGCACCTGCTTTTCTAGTTTTTCCTTAATTTCTCTCTCCTCTATCACCCTCCTTTCTTCTCTCTCCTTCATGATCTTTGTCTCCAAAGCTCTGATCTGAGATTGTGTCTCCAGGTAGATCTCACTGCTGTAGAATTTCTCTCTGTTTCCTTCCACCATCTTCTCTATCTTCTCCAGCAGCTCTGAGGTTTGAGAACCATCTCCACTCTCCTTAATGCTGAGACAGTGAAACCTGTTCCCACATTTCCCTACAAGTCTCTGGACCTCCTGGTTTCCTGACTGGATAAACTCTTCAATGTTCTTCTCTTGGACTTCATCAGTCACAGTGAAAAGGATCATGGTGTTCCTCCAACATCTCTCTCCAAAAATCTCCTCCATTTTCTCCAGCATGCCTCTCTCCTCTCCTGTAGACTGCTTCACTGGTATGACTAGGAGGAAGGCGTGGGGTCCTGGGGCAGACAGACGGACACAGAGTCCCACGTCCTGTCTCAGCTCCTCCAGAGAGAGTCCAGGACAGAACCAGTCAGGAGTGTCCACCACAGTCACCTGCCTCCCAGCCACCTCCCCCTGTCTGCTCTCACTCTGCTGCCTCACTGTAGACGCTCCAGCCTGGCTCCTCTCCTCTCTGCCCAGGATGGTGTTTTGTGCTGCTCTCTTCCCACATCCAGTCCTCCCCAGCAGCACCAGCCTGAGCTCTGCTACAGGAACTGACTCTGGAGAGGCCAAACTAGAAGATTCTCCACCCACTGCAAATCAACAGATATGATAGATTTAATCTCCTACTCTATGTTGATGATTTTTCGGTAATTTTACTTAGTATACTATATGAAAGTGCAATAATTTACTTGTTTGAGGAAGTTCTTCAATACTGTTTCGTCTCTTGAGTTGTGCTGCAGATTCTGGAGTCTCTCCACTCACTATGAAACAGAAGCATCAGCCAAGAGGAGATTATGTTATTGACTCTGTACATTGTAGATGTTGTTGGACTTAATTTATATTAAAGCCACACATTTTTCTGGAATGTACACATATATTCTAATTTGTTAGAGACATTTCTAATAATATCATATTTCTACAGCAGTGTTCACATTTTAAATGCTCATATTTGAAAGAATTACATTTTAAGCATAGTCATGCTGCTTTAGTATTTACTTACAGCTTGGAGGATTCATCTCTTTGCTGTTTCTCCTCCTGGCTGGAGCTGCTGAGTCTGGATCTGTTCTCTCCTGCAGCTGCTTGTTTCTCTCCTCTAGAAGTCTGTCTTTCTCCTCAACCTGCTTGTCTCTTTCCATTAGCTGTGTGTTTCTCTCACTTAGAAGTCTCTCCTTCTCTTCAAGCTGTTTGTCTTTTTCACTCACTTCAGTTTTCTGTTGTTCCAGTAGGATCATCATCTCCTGTAGTTTGCTGCTCTTGTCCTGCAGTTCCTTTCTCAGAGTCTCCAGCTGCTTTTTACTGCTTTCCACCTCTTTCACTGTGATCTCCAGTAGAGTCTCTTTCTCTCTCAGCAGTTTGATCTGATTCTCCAGTTGTGAGTCTTTATCTTTAAGCTGTATCTGAGTTTCTTTGGTCATTTGTACCAGTTTTTCTTTTGTCTCTCTAAGAAGTGTTTCTTTCTCTTCCAGCATCTTGTCCTTTATATGAAGTGTCTCTGTGTTTATTGTCAGAAGTTTTTCTTTCTCTTGAATTTGTTTGTCTTTCTCCATCAGCTGTGCAATTCTCTCCAATAAAATGCTCTCTTTATCTTTATAACGTTTGGCTTCTGCTGATAACTCTAAGAAACACATTCATATAATTCATCATCCAGCTGGTCACACTGATTTCATGTACATTATATATATATATATATATTAGTTACAGTATTTGCAGTTCTTAAATCCGGTTATTCAGTTTTGATGCTCCTTTGTGAACTGAACTCCATTAAAGGAGAATTACACCAATTTTTCAAAATGTGTGCAGAATAAATGGTTAAGATGTAAACAAAGTCATTCACAGTGGTTTGGTGTGAAATTCTGTGTTCTAGAGAAAATTACCTAATCATGATTGTTGACAGTGGTGGTGATGGGTAACCAGAAGAGTTTAATGCCTCTTAAAAACTTAAGAGAAACAGAAAAGTTATTATACAAAATGTTTTCAGGTATGAAGACTCATTCCTGAAACATTGTTTTACGATAGCTTTGTGATAAACTTTTGGCCTAAAACATATTTTTTTCAAATGTATTCATAATGAAGAGACATATGGAGGGTGTTGTAAGGCAAAATAGTCTCCTAAGAAAACTTATTTCTTCAGATTTTGCATAATTTTATCATCGATAACATTACAGATAAAAACTCAGACATATATACATTCACTGTTGGGTTTGAATAGTAAATAAAAGTGCTATGTTTGTGTTGAAAACATCATTGTAAAGAAATCTGAGCCAGTACATTTTCCTACAATGAACCATCTCACATCAATCCACTCTGAATGACTACTTTTCAACCACTTAATTATTAAAAATCTTTGAAATATAGGCGGAATTCCCCTTTAGGCTAATCAGATGCTTTAAATAGGAATAAACCCCTAAAATGACAAACCAATTGAAATATGATCAAAGTATTAAATCATCACATCCTCTAAAACAGGCCTTTAACAGAACAGAGTGATGATGATAAACAGTTATCAAAGAAAGAATCTCTAAAACTGCAGCAGAGAGATTTGAATGATTTATATCAAAAACTGAGCAACTGAAAATATGACAGGTACTTTAATAACACTGCATTATAGACAGTGCCCTTTAAAAATACTGGCACCCCTGGTAAACATCAGCAAAACAGGCTGTAAAAAAAAAACATTCTTTATTGCTTATCTTTTTTATCTTTCATTCAAATGTTAACAAAAATCTAACCTTTTTTTAACTACAATGATTGAAAAAAAAATCCCATCTGTGTGCACCACAATTATGAGTCTTCTTCTATAATGCTTAATGAGATTGGAGAACACACAGCAAAGTATCTGAGATCATTCCTCCATTCAGAACCCCTCCAGATCCTTCAGATTCTGAGGTCCGCACTGTGGACTCTCCTCTTCAGCTCATCACAGGTTTTCCATGGGGTTTAGGTCAGGGGACTGAGGTGTCCATGGCAACACCTTGATTCTGTGGTCAGTGAACCATTTTTGTGTCGATTTTGAGGCTTTGGATCATCACACTGGAAGATCCAAGCGGTGGCCCAGTTTAAGCTTCCTGGCTGAGGCAGTCAGGTTTTGTTTTAATTTCTGCTGGTCCTTGATGGAGTCTGTGATACCATGTAGAAAAACACCCTACGGTATCACAGATCCATCACCATACTTCAATAGGGATAGGGTACTTTTCTGCTTGGCTGCTTTGTGTCCATTCCAAACTCACCTCTGGTGTTGTTGGAAAAAACCTCTATTTTGGTCCCTGACCAAATCTGACCACAGAACATAGTCCTACTGAAAGTTCCAGTAGCTTTGGCAAACCGTAGGAGCTTGATTTGCTGGTCTTTGACAGCAGAAGCTTTCTTCTGGCAAACCCCGAGAGACATGTGGTCATATAGGTGATGTTTGATTGTAGTTTGGGAAATGTTCTGACCCCAAAAGCTAACTAATGTCTGAAATCCCCCATTTGTGACCCTTGGAGATTCTTTGTTCACTTGAACCATCCTCCTCACTGTGCATGGTGTCAGTATAGACATGCGTCCTCTACCCAGCAGATTCTTAACATCTCCACTTGTTTTAAGCTTCTTAATTATTGCCCTGATAGTGAATAATGGGCATTTTCAACTGTTTAGCTATTTTCTTGTAACCATTTCCTGATTTGTGCAGGTTAACAACCTTTTGTTGCACATCATTGTTATTTTCTCTGGTGTTCATTATAGTGATGGAAGACTGAGGGAATTTGGCTTGTGCTTCATCTCATATATATATATATATATATATATAATATATATATATATGTATATATATATATATATATATATATATATTGCTCTGTGAATCAGGGAGTCATTGCTGACCATTTAGGTGTTCCTAATCACTCAAGTTAACTTAATAATAGAAATAAAATAAGAATAGAAATAAACTTCAGTTAGATCTTCCCTTTAAGAATTTCTAGGGGTGCCACATAATTGTGGCGCACATAGATTTATGAAAAAAATATTTATTTCATGACAAGGTTTGTTTTTTTTCTTTCAACCATTATATCTAAAAATAAAAATGAGATTTTTGCTAATATTTAAATGAAAGATAAGATAATAAGTAATTATAAGTAAGTATAGGTAAGCATATTTTTACAGCTCATTTTGCTCATGATTATCAGGGGTGTCAATATTTGTGGAGGGCACTGTAAATATTTTTAATTATAATTTGATTGTTTTGATAAACCTGCTCATGTTATAATATTAGAATATAACAGGCTTAAATGTCACTTTCCTGACTTTTAATTCTGTATCTCTTTTAAAACTCACCGGTCAGCAGAGCAGATTCCTCCATTTTCAGTCTCTCCTCTTCTGTCCATTTACTGTCACTCTGTAAAAGAGAAAACAGTGTGAAGATTCATTCATGATGTCATTCTGTATCTTATATGATCAGTAACTGTTTCTCTGTTTAAACCACTGTTAATGTGTCAGTATGAATCACTAGGAGAGCTGATATTGTGTTTAAAATCACAGCATCTTAAAAAAAAATTAACAGCATTAAGTACATTGTTTGCTGTGGGATTTTAAACACAGTCTGACTGAGACACAGATACGCAACAGAGACTGAGCTGTAATCATCACAGGCAGTATTTTATTATTAACTGGATAAGACCTTTTTTATCTTATACTTTTAGTTTTCATAATAAATCATTCATCAGTCATGAGCTCATGGGAAGTGAGTAACAGATCCACAGAAACGCAGCATCAGAAAAGAGGAATTAAAATAGTTCAGCTCTGCAGCTTCTGAGGATCATGATCACTTACAGAACACTGATCAGCAGCAACACTGTAATAACACTGTAATAACACTCAACTCAACACCATGAAAGAGAATCAACAGAAAAGAAGAAAATAAACTAATGTAGACTTTATCAACAATCAGCCCTGCACAGCTTTTACACCCAACAATGTTTATATTCATAGATTATTAAACGTCATATTAAAAGAGATTATCAAGGAAATGTGGTTTATTTACTATAATGTGCTCACCTGAAAAACAAAGACTCCCAGAACTGATCAGAGAGAAAATAAGAACTGTTAAAATATTGAAATCAAATAATAAGACAAAACAGTATATCAGTATTTTCTCTGATAAGACATAAAGATGTTGCGTAGAAGTTTTAAAGGGCCCACATCATGGAACGTTGTTTCCCTCATTTTTTTTTAAATAAAAGACTTTCATGAAGTTTGGAAACAGTATTCATTTCAAAGTTTCAAAATGTGCCCATTTGCTGTATTTCAGTACTAGCTACATGACTGTCCTCATGTGACAGTATTAAATATATAAACTGATATAAACTGATATAAACGTGACTCTGCTGTTAAAGTACATGTAAGGAAATCATTCTAGCACAAATTGCTGATTGTATTAATGATAATCAGCATGAAAAACTGAAATTCCCTGTGTAATCTGTCAGTATCAGTGTGTAGATCAGCTCTACAGTATAGTGATACATACAGTGCTGAAGTGTGTGTTAGTAAGATAGTACAGATAAATACATTCAGTCTTTACAACACAAACATTCTTCATCAACAATCAGCACATCACAATAAAAGCACTACACACTGAATTATACTCACCTCTCTGTGCTTCTGTCAGTGAAGGCAACTGTGAAGTGAATAATATAATATGACGATTCCAGACATTGATTCAAAAGTGAATTACTATATTTAAATGTTAGTAAAGCTAGAAATGTAACAGCACAGTGAATGTGGATGATGCTGCTCTGTTGTTTGGGGGGTTTTCTTCTCTTTATGTGGATCTGATACAGACTGACTGTGTTACTTTATAGAACTAGAAATTGTTATAGTTGTGATCTGCGTTATTTTACTCTTTCTCACACTCCCTCCTTCCCTTTCTTATTATATTTAAATGAATGTGTCTCTACTTCTCCAAAGAGTTCTCTGTTGTTTGGAATATTATTTGTAAGGAGATTAATATTCTGGTTCAACTGCTTCCAATATTCCATCTCCCAGCTTCTCTGCTAGCAGCCCAACTGCTTCTAACTAGACCTTTCAGAGCTTCTCACTCACATTACAGCCTTCTGTTCATTATTACACCTGAGATTCTGTGATTTACTGATGAGATGAACTCAGACTGGATTATATTTGAGTTTTTCATTTTTAAAATAAATTAACTTTTATAACACAAAGGCCATTTTATTGTATAAAATTTTGAGCGGAAAAGTAGCAATGAGGACAAATGTTTGTCTCTGTGATTTGACTCAAATAAAACAAGCACCAAAACGGTATGGGATCTACCTGTGCTCCTTTAAATTAAACAATTCAGATACTGTTTTTATCTTATTTAAACATCCGGAGACGAACACACACAGCTGAGCAAACACGACTAGTGCACTACTGCAGAGTGATGGAGGGAAATCTGCTGACAGTCAAAGCTTATTGTGTCTGTACACTATTTTATAAAAAAACCCTGCTGGACTGCACTGTGAGGAAGTCCAAAATTAATTTAATAATTGTAATGAAATTCTCTCACTTTCAGTTTATTGAGTTCATTTATATAGAATCAGTGTACAAAACATATTAGTTTTCTCTTTTTCGATCTGTCTTAGACTGCTCCATCTTCATTCTCACCTCTCTTATGTGTCTAAATACAAACTGTAGAAGTGAATAAAACAGCCTGAAAATGTTTTAGAGGGCTTGATGGTGAGTGTGACAGAGTTTGATAGTTTGTGTGAGAGAGTTTGATAGTGAGTGTGAGAGAGTTTGATAGTGAGTGTGAGAGAGTTTGATAGGGAGTGTGAGAGAGTTTAATAGTTTGTGTGAGAGAGTTTGATAGTGAGTGTCAGAGAGTTTGATAGTGAGTGTGAGAGAGTTTGATAGTGAGTGTGAGAGAGTTTGGTAGGGAGTGTGAGAGAGTTTGATAGTTCGTGTGAGAGAGTTTGATAGGGAGTGTGAGAGAGTTTGATAGGGAGTGTGAGAGTTTGGTGTGAGAGAGTTGATAGTGAGTGTGAGAGAGTTTAGTTTTGTGAGAGAGTTTGATAGGGAGTGTGAGAGAGTTTGATAGTGAGTGTGAGTGAGTTTGGTAGGGAGTGTGAGAGGTTTGATAGTGTGAGAGAGTTTGATAGTGAGTGTGAGAGAGTATAGTTGTGTGAGAGAGTTTGATAGTGAGTGTGAGAGAGTTTGGTATAGGAGTGTGAGTGAGAGAGTTTGGTAGTGAGTGTGAGAGAGTATGTGTGAGAGAGTTTGATAGTTCGTGTGAGAGAGTTTGATAGTGAGTGTGAGAGAGTTTAATAGTTTGTGTGAGAGAGTTTGATAGTGAGTGTGAGAGAGTTTAATAGTTTGTGTGAGAGAGTTTGATAGGGAGTGTGAGAGGTTTGGTAGGGAGTGTGAGAGAGTTTGATAGTTTGTGTGAGAGAGTTTGATAGTGAGTGTGAGAGAGTTTGATAGTGAGTGTGAGTGAGTTTGATAGTGAGTGTGAGAGAGTTTGATAGTGAGTGCGAGAGAGTTTGATAGGGAGTGTGAGAGAGTTTGATAGTGAGTGTGAGTGAGTTTGATAGTGAGTGTGAGAGAGTTTGATAGTGAGTGTGAGAGAGTTTGATAGTGAGTGTGAGAGATTGATAGTGAGTGTGAGAGAGTTTGACAGTTTGTGTGAGAGAGTTTGATAGGGAGTGTGAAAGGTTTGGTAGGGAGTGTGAGAGAGTTTGATAGTTCGTGTGAGAGAGTTTAATAGTTTGTGTGAGAGAGTTTGATAGGGAGTGTGAGAGAGTTTGATAGGGAGTGTGAGAGAGTTTGATAGTGAGTGTGAGAGAGTTTAATAGTTTGTGTGAGAGAGTTTGATAGGGAGTGTGAGAGAGTTTAATAGTTTGTATGAGAGAGTTTGATAGGGAGTGTGAGAGAGTTTAATAGTTTGTATGAGAGAGTTTGATAGGGAGTGTGAGAGAGTTTGGTAGGGAGTGTGAGAGAGTTTGATAGTTCGTGTGAGAGAGTTTGATAGTGAGTGTGAGAGAGTTTGATATGGAGTGTGAGAGGTTTGGTAGGGAGTGTGAAAGAGTTTGATAGTGAGTGTGAGAGAGTTGGATAGGGAGTGTGAGAGGTTTGATAGTGAGTGTGAGAGGTTTGATAGTGAGTGTGAGAGAGTTTGATAGTGAGTGTGAGATGTTTGATAGTGAGTGTGAGAGAGTTTGATATGGAGTGTGAGAGAGTTTGATAGTGAGTGTGAGAGGTTTGATAGTGAGTGTGAGAGAGTTTGATAAGGAGTGTGAGAGAGTTTGATGGTGTGTATGAGAAGTTTGGTAGTGAGTGTGAGAGGTTTGGTAGTGAGTGTGAGAGAGTTTAATAGTTTGTGTGAGAGAGTTTGATAGGGAGTGTGAGAGGTTTGATAGGGAGTGTGAGAGGTTTGGTAGTGAGAGTGAGAGGTTTGATAGGGAGTGTGAGAGAGTTTGATAGTGAGTGTGAGAGAGTTTGATAGTGAGTGTGAGAGGTTTGGTACTGAGTGTGAGAGATTTGATGGTGTGTGTGAGAGGTTTGATAGTGAATGTGAGAGGTAAGTTGGAGTTTTGGCCTATATATATATATGATACATAGAGAGATGATCGAATTTGCCAAACGTAGGTCGGGGGAGGGCTTTGTACGCCTCACGGAAATGGGAGTAGCAGTGGTCCAGCATGCGTGATCTTCGTGTGCTGCATAAAATGTGTTGGAATTACTTTAGAGCGACTTCCCTAAAGTTCACTTTGTTGAAGTCCCCAACAACAATGGAGGCGGCCTCTGCGCGCGCGGTCCCCTGCCTGTTAACAGCCTCATACAGTTTCCTGAGCGCCAGGTCTGTATCAGCCTGTGGTGGGATGTTCACGGGGTGACAGTGAGCCCTGAAATCTTTCTCGGCAGCCACAGTGGTCTGCACGAGATGATTAGATAGTCCAAGTCCGGGGAGCAGAAAGACTCGATGAAGTGCACGTTCCTCTGATCACACCAAGCACTGTTGAGCATAAAACATACACCTCCCCCTTTGCTCTTCCTGGAGAGGTCCTTTGTTCTGTCCGCACGGTGCACAGAGAAGCGGGCTCAATGGCCTCGTTGGGAATCTCCACTGATAGCCAGGTCTCTGTGAGGCAGATTATCAGTCGGCCCAGATGAAAGGGGCCTCTTTGAGGTTCCCAAACAATGGATCTGCGTTCAGGAACTCAAAGTGCGGTTTTCGGTGAGTGATCATCGATCTGATTTCCAAAAGTGTTTTTCTGTCATAAACGAAGGTGCTGGCAACATTTAGTGCAAAAGTAGTTACAAATAAAAACAAACTTAACAAAAAACGAACAGAAGTCAAGGGAGCTCGCAACACGGCAGTCATGCTCGGCGCCATATTGGATGGCTGCCTCCATATTGGAGGCAGAAGTTAAAAAGGACACCGGCAACCATCAGAGAGGTCCACCGCTGGTCGGACAAATTGGATTCAGCGCTTCAGGACTGTTTTGATGAAACAGACTGGGAGATGTTTCGTGAGGCGTCAAACAATAACATTGACGAATATGTAGACTCAGTTACCGGGTTTATCAAAAAATGTATAGAGGATGTGCCCACAAAAGCAGTTTGTGTTTACCCCAATCAGAAGCCATGGCTCAACTGTGAGGTAGTGCTGCTCTGAACGCGCGTAATGCTGCTTTTTAATCAGGAAACACGGATGAGTATAAAAAAGTCAGCTATGCTTTCTGTAAGACAGTGAAAGTGGTGTCACAGTTCAACACCACCAACACGAGAAGTCTGTGGGAGGGGCTAAACACACTAACGAACTTTAATAGGGAAACTCTTTCCGTGAATAACATCATCGTTGTGCTTCCAGACGAGCTGAATGCTTTCTACGCACATCACACTCATGGAAAGAGTCCCCGCCCCCGCTACAGCTGAGTCAACACCCCCCTCCGTCTCCGTGGCTGACGTGTGCAGAGCCTTCAAGCGCGTTAACATCCGCAAGGCATTAAGCTTCGGGATCTGGGTCTGAACAGTTCTCTGTGCAGCTGGATCCTGAATGGTAAGGTGGTAAGGATGGGCAACATCACCTCCTCCTCACTAACCCTTAACACCGGGGCTCCTCAGGGCTGTGTGCTCACCCCTCGCTTGTACTCCCTGTACACCCACGACTGCTCTGCCAGACACAGCTCTAATGTCATCATCAAATTTGCAGATGACACCGCAATTGTGGGCCTGATATCCAATGACAACGAAGAGGCCTACAGAGAGGAGGTCAGCTTTCTGACACTCTGGTGCCAGGAGAACAACCTCTCTCTCAATGTCAGCAAGACCAAGGAGCTCATAGTGGACTTCAGGAAGCAAGAGAGAGCGCACACCCCCATCACCATCAACAGAGCCACTGTAGAGAGGGTCAGAAGCTTCAAGTTCCTCTGTGTTCACATCTCAGAGGAGCTGACATGGAGCAAACACACCACACGGGTGGTAAAGAAGGCACAACAGCGGCTGAAGAGGTTTGGCATGAACCCCCGCATCCTCAGAACATTCTACACATGATACACAATGATAATGATGTACTGATGATGGAACGACTCAGATATTCCATCATCACATAAGAACAGTGACATCACTCCCAACAGAGCCAGACTGCTTTTATTTGTTGTGTCTTTTTCTCATCAGTGAACTTCACTGTCTCTACATTTCTGCAGTGCAGTGGGATTATGCACAGGAGCATTATGGGAAGGGAGACTTTGCTTATCATGTGAATATTATGTGAAACATCAGCTTATGTGATTGCTTGCCTTATAGATGCATTTTTTTCATTAACATATCTAAAAATCTATTAAAACAGCTAGTCATCAGAAGGTGCAGTGAATATAATTTAAACTTACCACTCCGGTAGCCGCGCCCTAAAACATCACAAAGGTACATAATGTTAGAACATCATGAAGAAATTTCCACATGATACACAATTCTGATACAAAATTACACAATTAGAACACTTTTCAGAAATCACCACATTTACTCCATTCTATTTTCATCTGTACTGTAGTTTTTCATCCTTTACTACTGAACTGTCACTCAATGCTTTCAGTACAACTCCATGAAGACGTTCAGCTAAACAGTTAAAGTGTAAACCTACAGCAGAAACTCAACCCTTACAGAAATGATTCTATTTAAACAATATTGTGATACTGTCTAAAGATTTTTTCATAAAGTATTTAAGGGTGATATGAGACACAGTGATTTCACTACAATCTACTCATTTTGTAAAACGTAAGAGACAGATTTGTATAATTTACAATATATATATATATATATATATATATATATATATATATATATATATATATATATATATATAAATTTTCTGCTTGGCTCAAATAAAAGTTTAAAATGGTGGAGTGACACCAGCCAGTGGAGCTTTAGAGTTTCCTGCAGTGTATTCCAGTTTGCTGGTGCACTGCAGCTAAAAGCAGACATTCTCAGTTCAGTAAAAACTCCCAGAACCTGACAGGTGATCCAGTCCTTAGAGCAGGTCTGACAAATACCACTTTTTACAGAGAGCATAAATGTGATATAAGATGGTTTGTGGCTGGAGAGCGCCCTGTTAATATAAACAAACCAATGAGTTTCCCGCCGCACGACTAGAGAGAACCAACAAACTTTCTCATAGAGTGTGCAGTGATGAGTTCTGTAAGAGTCTCCAGTAACGGATCTCAGAGTGACAGACTGAATCTAGTGGTTTATGGCTATTGGTCTATAGATTACATCACCGTAGTCTAGAATGGATCTTGGTCTATAGATTACATCACCGTAGTCTAGAATGGATAATAAGGTTGTCTCTTCATTCTCTCTTCATTCTCTACTTTCTGATCTGTCTTATTACAGACTGGAGATGTGAATAAAACAGAATGACGATGCTTTACGCCATGAGTTAACAATAAAAACTTCTCTGATCCAATCATATAGAGCATGACTCTTCCTACAGATGGAAATGTAAGAAAGGCTATAATGTTCTGTATATATCACACAAATAACCAGCTGTCTAGATTGTACAGATATTTATTGACTTTTTATTGAGTGCTGCTGTTCAAATGCAGAAATAATGTCAATCACTTAAAATGTACTTCAAACATGTCAATCAGTTTCACTTGAATAGACAATTTACAACAATACAATATTTGCCCAATAAAGTAACTGAAAGGAATAAACACTGAGTAAACAAATAAGTGATAAAATTTTTCATTTGCATATATAAACATCTATTAAAACAGCTAGTCATCAGAAGGAGGAGTGAACATATTTCTGAACTTACCAGTGCAGTAGCCACTGCCTAAAACATCAGAAAGGTACATAATGTTAGAACATCATGAAAAAAAATTCACATGATACACAATTCTGATACAAAATTACACAATTAGAACACTTTTCAGAAATCACCACATTTACTCCATTCTATTTTCATCTGCACTGTAGTTCTTCATCCTTCACTACTGAACTGTCACTCAATGCTTTCAGTACAACTCCATGAAGATGTTCAGCTAAACAGTTAAAGTGTAAACCTACAGCAGAAACTCAACCCTTATAGAAATGATTCTATTTTCTATTTCTATTTAAACAATATTATGATAAATACTTTCTGATTTTGTTTTTCATAAAGTATTTAGCCTGATGTTTTCTTAATAACCATCAGCACATAAGGGTGATATGAGACACAATGATTTCACTACAATCTACCCATCTTGCAAAAGACCATATATATATATATATATATATATATATATATATATATATATATATATATATATATATATATATTAGATCATTTAAAAATATGATGTCAGCTCAGAAGAAGAACCAAGCCATTTTTATTTTTTCTGCTCAGGGAAAATGCTCTTTTATTTGAGCACTGAATAACAGTGAGAACAGCAGAGAAGGTCACCACAAGTCATACCACATCTACTGATGGTAAACACTAAACCTCCTCTAAATAACCCAAAGAAGAACACAATAAAACACAGCCAACACCTAAACACGTCTAAAACTAACAAAAACAGCAACATCAATTAAATGTAATAAAACAAATCAAAAGTGAGTAAAACAATCAATTAAGATAATAAGCAATAAGAAAAAACTAAAAATCTTAGAAATAAAATTATTCAATAAAATAGTGAAATAAAATAAAATTAAAGAGCAGAAAAGAACTAAGATCAAATAAAACAGTTGCAGGCTGAGTGGAGGTGATTAGAGATTAATAGTTTAAAATGGCGGAGTGACACCAACCAGCTTTCTAGAGACGACCAATCAACTTTCTCATAGAGTGTGCAGTGATGAGTTCTGTAAGGGTCTCCAGTAACAAATCTCAGAGTGACAGACTGAATCTAGTGGTTTAAGGCTATTGGTAGACGCATGTCTATAGAGTACATCACCGTCTAGAATGGATAATAAGGTTGTCTTCACGATTTTTTTCCTAGTGCACTGGGAAACATTTCCTACTGTGATATAAGTATCCAAGTTTTTTGTCTTCATTAACTGACTAGCTTATTAACCAAAAGCCAAGGTATTTACATTTTGTGACTATGTCAATACTGGATCCCATCAGGGTGTTGATATTTACTGTGTTAAATTCAATACTGGGGGCACTGGAAAACAGCATAAACTTTGTTTTCTTTGCGTTTAAAACTATCCTCTGCTTGTACAGAGTGATCTGTAAGGCACTGAAGGAGCACTGAAATGTTTCTACTGCTGCATGAACAGAGTCAGCTGAACAATACAGAACAGTGTCATTTTCATACAAGTGTACTTTGCAGTCAGAGGTCAAGGCAGCGAGATCATTAATATATAAATTAAATAAGACTGGACCAAGTATTTAACACTGCAGGACCACTTTAGTGACAGGCACTAAATATAATTTGTAATTACCTAGTGCCACACATTTGACCAATCAGAGATGTAGTTTGGGGCCCAGTTTTTTGAATTTTTATTAAAACCAACTGTTTGTAGGCTTTTTCAAAGAAAGGAGTGATCAAAGGTTTTAAAAGCTTTAGTTAGATCCATAAAAATAGCAGCACAGAGTCTAAAACAAGTGTGGTCACAGAGATAGTGCTAAGTTGTTTTTTTTTTCCTAAAGCCAGACTAATTAATACAAAGGACAGAATTTTCACAAAGGAATGATTTAAGGTGGGTATTAAGTAAAAATTCTAAATTGTTGCTAAGCATGACAATCACAATTATTTAGATTTCATGCCTCGCCTCCTTTGTGTAGGAGAACAATAAAGACTGTTTTCCAGATGTTGGGAATTGTGTATGTATGTATTCAAAATGTATGTAATATGTTCAACAATAACCAGACCAGCAAGAAACAGGGGTCCAGTCTATCCTGTCCTGTGGCTTTTTGAGGATTAAGAGCGGTGAGAGTGTAATGTCTGAGACTTTAGCACCAGAGACAAAGTAAACGATGGCTGAGTGGACCTTTATGTTCATGATAATGGAATCATCATTTATGGATAAACAACAAAATAAAGTAAAAATTACAATAATGGACAGAGTAAGTTACATATTTTACACAAAAGATAGAAAAGTAAGATTTAAATGTGTTTCTCTCTGATTTGGCTCATCTTCCTCTATTATTAACATCCTGCACTGCCTGCACTGCAGACTCTTTAAGCAACTGTGCGATGTCTGAGATTTTAGCACCAGAGACAGAGTGGACAATGGCTGAGCGGACGTTTATGTTACTGATAATGGAATTATCTACTATCAAGGCAGTTGGACGAAAGCGGTGGGGATGGACAACAGGCCCATCGCTTGGTGTCCAGAAGTGGTGGGTAATAAGTACAGGTGGCAGTATCCAATAAAGTATTAATTCTGTCATCAGAGATTTTGCTCATCACATGAGTGTTACATTTCAGTTTATATGACTGTTTGCCTTCTAGATCAAAATTTATTACATGCAATACGTCATCATCTATTATCATCAGTAGGAGAATTGGAGTTATTTACTTACCCAATGGGAAATCACTGTGTAAAACAGCAGAAAGAAGAAAGAATACTTGGTAAGCAAGTTTTTGTAACACATTGTCTCCTTATCAGAATCTCCTTTTCTCATCTGTACTGTAGTTCTTCATCCTTCACTACTGAACTGTCACTCAATGCTTTCAGTACAACTCCATGAAGACGTTCAGCTAAACAGTTAAAGTGTAAACCTACAGCAGAAACTCAACCCTTATAGAAATGATTCTATTAAAACAACATTAAACGCTTCATGGAGTGTTTTTCTCTCTTAATAGTCGTCCTGTGATCCTCCATCAACAACAGCAGCTCATATGTGTGATTTATTCTTGTTCTGGAGGAAAAGCAAGTTACAGAAACACAAAGCTACAAAACCCCCACAGTCACTTGAGAGATGTGAAAGTGTGTGAATAAACAGCTCTTGGGCTTCTATTGTGTAGAAATGTCTTCACCTGTATGAACTAAATGTGTGGGGTTTAGGTGAGTGTTTACAGATGTACACAGATGTTGGTCACAGTAGTTCAGTCTGATCTACATCAGCATCCATGCAGCTCTAACAGACTGTAGATAGATGAAGAATGTTTACAAGAGCACAACTAAGGATTACTGTTCACGTTTATCATGGCTCGTATTCAGAGTTTGAGACTTCAGTTGAAAAGTTATGTCAGCAGATACGCAGGAAAAGTTCTCTGTATTCAGACTTGCTCTGTGTGGGTACTTAACTTGGTTTTCTGGGCGGCACATTCAGAATACTGAAATTGCCTGCGTGCAGTTCACGCCTCTGAGGTTGCCAGATTTTTCTTGTGTAGAGATTTACAAGCATGCATATTTTATCTACATCTTGACTTTTAACAGAAAGAAATCGAGTGATAAAGCAGATCACACGTTATGGATGAAATATGCCCTCAACTGTAATATGATGTAGACTAAAAGCACGAGATTCAAACACCTACAGATTCAAATAAACATCTTATAACAGTCAATGATTTTCATTCTTGAATGCCAAACATGATCTATTGTAAATATTTAATGATGACACCCAGGACAAGTATTTCACATTTTATTTATATTTACTTCACATCATATTTATTACACTGATTTAAGCGCAAGCATTCATGAAAACCTGTTGCTTGTAACACTACTGGATTTTAAACCATTAAATGAAAACTATAATTAGGGGCAGAATAAGGTAAATATCTCACAAAAAAAGATAGAAAAGTAAGATTTAAATGTGTTTCTCTCTGATTTGGCTCACCTTCCTCTATAATTAACATCCTGCACTGACTGCACTGGAGACTGTTTATGCCACAGTAAGAAATTCTGAACAGACCCCCAACAACAAGACATCAAATATATAAGCCATCAAAATGAACACAGACTTTCTGGAGCTTCATTAAGACGAATCTGTGCATTTAGTGTTTTTCTATTTACTGTTTTTATATTGTGTGTATAGTTAAAAAGCTCATGATCAGATATTATTAAACACTGAAAGAGTCACAGCTCATCTGTCATTTTTATGTATCAATCAGACAGAACTGTCCTTATTGAGGAGAAAGGATTCGTCCCTTTAGAGAAAATAAAGATCTAGAAATGGATTTTTAGTTGTGAGGCCATTTTGATCCACATTGGGTCTGTAGCTTCAAATACTGTATGTAGAAATTAATAAATCATAGCTGTGATAGAAATTTAGAAACGAAACATGAAACCTACATTTTACAAAAATAATTTTAAAATGACAAATGCTAAAATAGATTATTTAAAATAGATTATTTAAAGTGAAATATTATTCTCAGAGTTGTATTTATACACTGTCCACTATGCTTGAATGTTTGTTGATGGAAATCCATGATGTGTCCTGTCAGGCTGAAGGTGAGCTGGCTTGAAATAACTCAGCTGTAAAACTGTAGTATTGCTGTGATTTTACAGATGTAGAGAATCTTCACCATCATCATCAGATCTACAGGCTGGAGATCACATTCACTCTCATTCTTCATCTCAAATGCCTTTTAAATTATATGATTAATATAACATTTATATTTATTAAAAAAAAACTTTAATTTTATGTTTAATTATGCTGACATTAACTAAAATGAATTACTACTTTTTTTAGTGCATCATTAATTTATTCCAAGTTATTTTTACAACAAAAATGATAAAAAATTTACAAGAAAAATATATTCTAATAATATGGGTTTTCATGCAGATTTAAATATTTTAAAAAACTTCCATATTTAATTGTATTTATTTAATTTTATTGTTTTGATAAATGTATGTATTAATTTATATAATATTCATATTTAAATTGCTCTTTGTATTTTACACTCAAAGACATGAATTTCAGTTTGAAATATTGTGGTTACCTCAAATGGTCAGACAGGGGCAGTGGACTTAACACAGCTCCTGGCCTAAGTTCAGGGTCTGAATCAGAGAACAGAGACTCACCTCTTTATTGCTCAATCTCAACCCCGTGCACAGAGTGGAGGGTTTATTTTTTTTTTTACTCAGCTCTAATAATACACTTTTGGAATCTGTGTGGTAAACCTGTGTTGTTTCCAGAGATACTTTTGTGTTCCATAATTAGCTAAAAGGTCAGTCGTTTAATTTTCATTAAAAGTAGTTGAGTAGTTGGTAAAAGCTCATTTATTATAGTCTATTAGACAGACAAAGTAAGCAAAGCCACCTCAAGACCAGCAGACAAATCAGATGGGACTTGCACTGAGTGCAGGACAAATTATTTGTTTTCATTTTATGTATCTACAAAAGCTGGTCCTGTGCATTACTAAGATTAGAAACTTTCAGAGGTTTTACATTCAGGACAAATCATCAAAGATCACAATAGCAGAAAAAGGCGACAAGAGAGCAAGGGCAGTTGTTCAAAAAGTGTGAAAGCTGAAACTCACTGTTTCTTCCTTCTTCTCTGGATGTCTCACTCTCAGATGCAGCTTCAGTTTGCAGATGGTCTGTTACACTCCCAGATGCTGCTTCAACTTGTACTTCATCTCTGTCATTTCTTCCAGAATGACCTCCTAGATTAAAATAATGACCAATGACTTCAAAACCTAATAACTAGAAACTCCTAGATATTACCTAAGATAAAAGGCCAAATGGGCAGTGGTTCTCTGTTGAGAGTCATGCTGTTCTCTGATCATAATTCATAATTCATAATCAATTTCTGTCTCCTCATTCATTTATTAATTTTTTCATTACTATCCACATTCACATTGACAATGGCTGTTAAATGAGGATAGGGCGATTGGCTGGGCATGTAAAGATCTGTAGAGTGGGATGTGAACCTATAATATACACACACACACACACACATATATATATATATATATATATATATATATATATATAATATATATATATATATAAACCTGTAAAATGCAGTTTTACTTTTTTATTTCATGTAAGTATTCACACATCAACAAAATGTTCAGAGATTGAGCAATGTCGATTGGCATGTCTAAACAAAATCATGAAAAAACAAGAAAACCTGTGTGAAAACATTGTTTGAAATACAACACCATTTCCAAAAAAGTTGGGACGCTGTGCGGAATGTAAATAAAAATAGAATACAATAATATGCAAATCAGGTCAACCATAATTTAAAGAAAATATTACAAAGAAAAATCATCAAATGTTGAAACTGAGAAATTTGATTGTTTTTTTCAAAAATATTCGTTTTGAATTTGATGCCAACAACACGTTCTAAAAAAGTTGGGATGGTGTCATGTTTAGCCCTGTGTTTTATCACCACTTCTTTTACCAACACTCTGTAAGTGTTTGGGAACTGAGGAGACCAATTGATGTAGTTTTAAAAGTGAAATGTCTTCCCATTCTTGTTTGATACAAGATTTCAGCTGCTCATCAGTCTCGTATTTTTCATTTCATTACACGCCAAATCTTATCATTGGGTGACAGGTCTGGACTGCAGGCAGGTCAGTTTAGCACAGAGCCATGCTGTTGTAATACATGCAGAGTGTGGTTTGGCATTGTGTTGCTGAAATAAGCAAGGCTTTCCCTAAAAAAGACGTCATCTGGATGGCAGCATATGTTGCCAAAACATGTATATATAATACAGCATTAATGGTTCCTTCACAGATGTGCACGTCACCTATGCCATGTGCACTAATGCTCCCTATACCATCAGTAATACTGGCTTATGAACTGTGCACTGATAACAAGCTGAGTGGTCTTTAGCCCAGAGGACACAGTAACCATGATTTCCAAAAAGAATTTCAAATGTTGATTCGTCAACAGGACACTTTTCCATTTCTTAGTCAGACCACATCTTCCCCTTAGTCCATTTTAAATGAGCTCAGGCCCAGAGAAGGTGGCGTCATTCCTGGATCCTGATTATGTACAGTTTCTTCTTTGAGTTTTAAAGTTTTAACTTGCATTTGTGGATGCAGCGACGAACTGTTTTCACAGACAGTGTTTTTCAGAGCCCATGCAGTGATTATCACTAGAGAATCATGTCATGTTTTTAATGCAGTGCCACCTGAGGGCCCAAAGATCCTGGTAAATACTGGTTTTTGGCCTTGTCCCTTGCATACAGAGATTTCTCCAGATTCTCTGAATCTTTTAATGTTATTATGTACCGTAGATGATGAAAAGCAAAAGTTCTTTGCTAGTTTATGTTGAGAAATGTTATTCTTGAATTGTTGCACTATTTGATCATGCTTCGTCTTTCACAGAGTGGTGAACCCCTCCTCATCTTTACTTCTGAAATACTCAGCCTCTCTGGGATGCTTCTTTTTATACCCAATCATGTTACTGACCTGTTGTTAATTAACCACCATGTGTTTAGCATTACGCAACTTTACCAGTCTTTTGTTGCCCCATCCCAACTTTTTTAGAACGTGTTGTTGGCATCAAACTCAAAATAGGCATATAATTTTTAAAAAACAATAACATTCTTTAGTTTCAAAATTTCATATGCTGTCTTTGTAATATTTTCAATTAAATATACGGCTTAAATGATTTGCACATCATTGCATTTTGTTTTTATTCATATTTTCCAACTTTTTTGGAAATGGGGTTGTAGAAAAATGAAAACAGATTTTTTTTTCAGATTATTAAAGTCTTCTGCACATTTCTTTTTTCTCTCCACATCAACTCTGCTTGTCTAAAGCCAAACAAGCAACAATATTTTGTATATGAAAAATGTTGTGTATGAAAACACACTCCATCTGGATAATTTTTTGCACTGATGAACATTGTTAGAGGTCTGCAGCACGATCCGAGCCTGATGAGCCCTACAAAATATTGCATAAACATTTTTCATGTACAACATTAAGTTTAGGTTGGGCTTGTATTCAAATGAGTGATTTTTATGTAGTAGATTTGACTTATTTATGGAAATTTCACACATTTTGTCCTTTGCAGGATCTTTCTCACACACACACTCTTTCCTGTGCTCTCTCTTTTGTGTATCTGAGTTTTAGGAGTGGGTGAATGCGTCCCTGGGTAACATTATAAGGTTTAGGACTGGCCCAGGCCAGATGACACACCTGGTGTTCTCTTTTCTGTCTTTTCATGTTTCATTCTGGAATGAGACACTGATGATGATGAGTTTATCTGAGTGAACTTCTGGAATACTTACTCTTCTCTCGTCTTACTCCTACTGTACACTCCTCTGTTGTGTCTCCATTGGTGACCTGACACAGATAATCTCCTTCATCTGACTCTCTACAGTCTCTAATCTGTAAAGAGACGTTTCCTCTCTGCAGCTCCTGAGTGAACAGACTCACTCTGCCTTCGTAGCCCCTCCCCTCTGTCACCTGTCTGTTCTTATAGAGACAAACACAGTCCGTCTCCTTAAACCACCTGATCTCCATGGAAACAGCACTGATTTCAGGAGACAGGTGACAGGAGAGAGTGAGAGCAGATCCAAACTTATACTCTTCATCATCACGGGGTCCAAAGAGTTTAAACTCTGTGTAAAAACACACACACACACACACACACACACCACACACACACACACATTAATAGTAGTGTCTCGTGTGTCTCCACAATAAAAATAAACTCTCTGATTGAATATTATTTAATGATGTTCACAGTAAAACCTTTTGTAGGTTCTGGAAGTTTAACTTACTGTTTCTTGCAGCCGCCATTTTTATCTCTTTATCTCCTCCTACAGATTCACACTAATACAATCCTACAGAGAGAGAGAGAGAGAGAGAGAGAGAGAGAGAATCCTTTTATTGAAACAATACAAACATACCAAAAAACACAAATATGCCAATGTGGTCGCTTAAAATCTCACATGAATATTAAAGAAAAAAAATTCAGAAAAAGGGAAACCCACAACATGAAATAAACCAGCACACACGATCAGAATGTCAACCTTACAGCCAGCACTCTTTGGAACAGCAGTGTCTGGGCAGCTTGAAGGTAAAAAGCCATGATCATTAACTTAATATCCACTTTGCCCTCCCTCTCATATTGGCAGGTGTAGGACAAACAATTGAACTTAGTGTCAGCCTGACCAGAAGAAAATCAGCATGCTCTGCACCTCCTGTACCAGTCCTACAGTAGTTTTAAAACACTGACTCTGTGCCACAGGGTAGAAGCGAACAAGTTATTTAGCCACAAACATCCTCCCCCTGTAGGACAACTGGGGTAACAACCATTTCCATCAAGACAATATGGTGAACACTCTCTCCACTGCACCCTCCCAATTCTGTTCCTACCTGGCTCACCCACAGAGCCTCACTCTTGTCCCAGTTGACTATGGCAGAAGAAGCCTTCTCATACAAATTAAAGGCCTTAGATAAAACCTGAACATCCTGCCTGTTATTAATAAAAGCTGTTTCACTGTCAGCATAAGCAGAAAGCACTACCCTGGCCCCCCTAGTCCTTGTACAGCATGAAAGCCAATTGGTCTCTTTTGAGACAAAGAAGTAGCGGATCAATGACTACGTTATATACAGTTCAAATCAAAATTATTCAATACGCTGAAAAGAACAACCTGCCTACAGTGAAGCATATCAGTGGCTCAATGAGGCTGCTTTGTTTTCTCTGGCACTGAAAACCTGACACATGTAGAGGGCAAGATGGATTTCAATAAACTATATGGAAATCCTCGGAGAAAACATCATGCCTTCTGTGAGGAAGCTGAAGCTTGGCCATCATTGGAGCCTCCAACAGGATAGTGATCCCAAGCATACCTCAAAGTCCACCAAGGCTTGGTTTCAAAAGAAGTCCTAGAAGATTCTGGAGTGGCCGTCACAGTCGCCTGACTTGAACCCCGTAGCTGGTGTATAGCTATGCATAATGTCTGTAGCAGGCCATAACATCACAAAGGTCTACTAAGCATTAAAGACGCTTGTCATGAAGGGGTTGAATAATTCTGAGACTACAGTAGTCATTGAAAGTGGCATTTTGTGTTAAATTTGGAGACACCACTTGTTATATTAGTTGTGTTGAGCTATTTAAATTGTTCTTGTTTGATTGGTTTATTGTTTATTGCAAACAGCTGAAATTTTGTAAATTTTGCTAAACTTGGGGGTTGAATAAATTTGATTGTAACTGTAGTTTACCTGACAATGCACAGCCATGCCCTTGTAACTAGAATTGGTTTACTCAACCCACCCCCCACCTTAACCATACATGCAGCACCAAGTACAGCATTTGCACCAAACTTGAGAAACATCCCTGGGCAGCAAATGTGCAGAAGGTAGTACTTTGGTATCAGTCTCCACAGTTAAACTAGCGTCGTTGGGAATCCACACTTCAAAACCTAGTTACAGCTCATTTACCTCTACCTGCTCTGAATTGTATAACTTGCCCTGTTGTTAGATCCACTTTAAAGATAAGCTCCCAATTTTAGCCTCACTGAATTTTCTAATCTTGGTCCCATTTGTAAAAATCATTTGTTTATTCCTGCTACTATGGATCAGGTCTTTAATGATTGACATAAAAAGGGCATTTGCACATCTATATATTGATGGGGTGTTTGTGACTCTTTCTGATCTTTCAGTCAAGTTTCAATTATCAACTTCTTTGTTTTAAATATACCTTTAAATTCAGAATTTCATGTGTAATCAGTGTCCTTATGTTCCCTCCCAGCCACCTACAACTCCCCTGGAAGATATTCTTGAATTAGCCAAGATAAACAAAGGTTTAATTTCAAGAATGTATAATAAAATAACTCCTCCACATAATATGTGTTTAGAGAAAATTTGTACAGCTTGGAAAGAAGAGTTGGGTCTGACTATACCTGATCAAACTTGGAATTCAGCTATGAACATAATCAACATATCTCTGTCATGTGCACAACTTAATCTTATTCAGTTCAAGGTATTTCACAGGTTTCATTACTGCAAAATAAAACTGGCAAAAATTCAACATGGGACAGATGAGCTATGTGATCGTTGTCATTTAGCTAAAGCTGTCCTCACGCATATGTTTTAGACTTGATCCGTTTTGTCAAGTTTTTGGTTGGCAATTACTAACTGTTTATCAGAAGTATTTGATCTAGAGACTGTGCTAAATTTTGAATTATGTTTATTTGGGTTGATTAACACAGATTCAAAAATTCGAAATAGGATTAAGGAGGCCTTGGCCTTTGCTTCCCTTCTGGTAAGGAGGAGGATATTGATTAACTGGAAATCACAGTATCCACCAAAAACCTCACAGTGGCTCTGCAATCTTTGCTTTACCTTAAATTAAAGTTATTAAGTTATTAAGTTTTCATCTAGAAAGGTTTCTATAAAATTCCATAGAACTTGGGATCCTATGAATGCATATTTTGAGAAGCTGAAATGTCTCCACACTAACTAGCATTACCCCTCCGATTCTATGTAAATGTTACTCTATAGCTTAAATAGCTACAATCCCAGTATCTGTATGTACGGTGATATGACCTTATTTGTATTCTGCATTTGTTTGTTTTCTTCCTAACCTAATAAACAGTCAAATAATGTATGAGGTGTGAGTACTTCCTGACCTAATCATTACTATGTGAATATATATTTATGTGAGTTTTTTGTTTGTTTGTTTGTTTTTTATTTGTTTTTTTTTTCTATTTTCTATTATTGCTTAAGTTCATGTTATGATGTAAAATGTGAAATGTATACATGTGTCTGTAATTCTGTATTTATGTAGACCCACAAATAAAAAATAATGTTTAAAAAACCATTCCTAATGTCAAAAGCGTCAAGCACATTAAAAAAGGTATTAACGATTATCCATTATTGATCAGGAGTGCAGTAAGACTGGCCCCTGTGCACTTTTAAAGAAAGATAGTACTTAAGCTTATTGGTTAAACATTTAAATAAAATCTTATAATCATTGGTTAAATAAACAACTGGACTCCAATTCTTTAAAAGAGAGAGATCCCCTGTTTTAGGCAATAAAAATAACACAGCACACTGATATGAACCAGGTAAAACCCTTCCCTGACAAATTCACAGATTAATTCATAAATATCATCCCCAATACAGTTTCAGGAAATGCTTATAAAGGGAACGCCGTCAATGCCTGGAGACCATCCTTTGTCAAACTATCGAACCGCAGCAGTGAGTTCCTGCAGTGAGAGTCTGGCTTAATTCTGGATTCAGAGCCCAGCTGGGGACATCCCTGAAGAAGCTGTGCAACACTTAAAAATAACAGAACAAAAATCCACAGCATGTTTATGCATACAGTGCTGCTTGGAAGCTGAAGTGAACCCTTTATCACTTTTTGAATTTCTCTGTAAATGTGACCTTAAATATGATCAGATCCTCATTTAACTCATGACAACAGATAAAGAGACCCCAATTAAATAAATAACACAAAAGTATATGATTTTACAATTATGTATTAAATGAAGTAATCTAACATTAAATGTCTTTGTTGGCAAAAAGTATGTGAACCTCTGCTTTCAGTAACTAGTCTAACCCCCCTGAGCAGCAAAGGCTTCAACCAAACGGTTCCCATATTTACCTAGGAGGAATCTTGGCCTATGTTTGGTCTATTCCTTCTTACAGAACTGCTTGAACTCTGTTTTGTTGGTGGGCTTTTTTGCAGGAACGCCACGCCTTAAGTTCTGCCTCAACCTGTCTACTGAATTAAGGTCTGGACTTTGACTTAAGATCTAAGCCGCTTCAAAATGCAACATTTCTTCTGGTTTGACTATCCTATGTTGTCGTAACTGGTGTTTTTAGGGTTATTGTCTTTCTTCAGGACCCATTTTCTTTCAGTCTTTCAGGTTCAGTTAACAGATGGATACCCTAACATTTTCCTGTAGAATTTCTTGATAAAATCTGGAATTCAAAGTTTCATCAAATGATGGCAAGCTGTCCCGGTCTAAGAGCAGCAAACAACCCCAAACCATAACATTGCCACCACCATGTTGGGATGAGGTTCATATGCAGGAATATAGTGTTTGGTCAGGGGAGCGGAGTGAACCTGTGATTGATTACTTTCATGGCTTACAGGCCCCAGCAGAGAGCATCCAGGAAAAGGAGAAAAAATAATGAGACAGATGAGACAACAAAATCTGTAAAAAGTGACAACATCAAGCCAGTGCTTAATGCTGACGTGTGTCTAAAAAGAATCCTGCATCTATGGCCTTATTCAGGGCCGGAGTGGGAAATCGGGAGAGTTGGGAGAATTCCCAGTGGGCCGGTAGTGTTTTGGGCCGATTACTAATGAATAAACTTACAGCACAAGAAAGCTCAAACTGTAAACGTTACATCCAAGTGTACATTTGTAGTAATTCAAGTGCTAAACCAGCGGCCTTGTCTGAAGTGATACAGCCCCAGTTCACTGAATGAATGTAATGTAAAGCTGCAATGTTGGCTTTTTGTGTGAATCCAGCTTACTAATCTGACTGTTTTGTGTCAGGGCAGAAGCGTTGGAATATGTAGGGTGATGACTGCACTGATGTTAGGAATAGACTATAGCCTGATTTAATGACACTGCAGGACATTAGTGGATTGTATGTGTGTGTGTGTGTGTGTGTGTGTGTGTGTGTGTGTGGAGTGTAGGCTGGTCTGCATAAAGTAACTTCCAGTCTGAAAACCCACTCTGGTCCTGGTGTTCAGTATTGACAGCTAAAATAAAAAAGACATTTTTTTTCTTAGTAAAGATTCCATCAACGTCCATCTCAAGTAATTGTAAAGGAAGTCAAACATGTAAACGTGTTTGGATGCTCTAGACAAGTGCATTTTTGTGGATGATGCCTGCAGTTTTAGTATAAACTGTTATGTACACTTAGTTTGATGGATGTGTACCTCTTACCCTCAATAAAGAAATCCTGTTGAAAAAAAATATTTAGAAATGATTTTTAGAAAAATACTTTATACTAAAAAAAATACTTCAACTTTTACTTTAGTATTTTTTTCTAGATTACTTACTAGTACTTTTACTTAAATAAGGGACTTGCACACTTCTACCACCTCTGGTGATACCCCAGAATATTCAACACCCTGAGCACTGACAAATGATTCTCTAAGGTCCTGAGAAATTTCATGTGATAGAGACATGGCATGCACTAACAAATGTGCATATTAAAGACCAGACTTAGGGAGTCAGCCACACTCACACCTGATTACCATCCAATTGACTGAACCTCCTGACCCTAATTTCACTTTTACCAAAGTGTTGATTCTAGAGGTTCACATACTTTTGCCAACAAAGAACTTTAATGCTGAATCTTTATCTCCAATAAATTGAAGACTTGATCATATTTTACTTCACATTTATAAAAAAAGTCACAAAATAATACAGGGTTTCCAATTTTTCAAGCAGTACTGTAGGCTGAGACAGACCATCCGCTTGTGTGTGCAATTGAACATCCTAAATTAAAGAAAGCACTCAGAGCATCCATGTCTACAAGTGTAGTAAAGTGGGACCTCACCAATCCGTCTCATTCAAGTAGGCACCTAAATCTTTCTTAAAAAACTGCATCTTGCAACATTTTCACATTAAAATGCTAATATGAAGGTTAAAGCTCACCATGACAGACACCAAACAGTGGTCAGAATTCCCCACAGGAGTAATGGAAAACTCAATGACTCTACTAAAGGCTAAAATGTGTAGACACATAAATACAGTTCATTCAAGTCTGTTATCTAAGACTAACCCATGTATACAGTCTGACCACAGGATTCTTCATTCTCCATATGTCCAGCAAACTGAATTCTGTCAGGAGCTTAGACAAGCACGCAGACGACTGTATGTGAGCTTCCTCAGAAGTACAGTCTACAGTGAAATCCACCATGCAATTTTAGTCCCGTCAATGATAGTACAGTCACCATTAGCACACTGTCCCAAAGCAGTATGCAAAGCATTAAGAAATACAGCATTCAGGCCATTCATTTGGAGCAAAGATGTTGATAAAATAGAACTGAGCACCTTTAGTTTCAGCCCTGACTCTACAAAATGACGTTTCTGGATGCAAAATCTTAGCTCCTGATGAAGGTCAGACAAAACTGTTGCCATGACTAAGAAAATGCTCCCCCACCACATAGCCCCCTCAACCTCATTAACCACACCACTGTGCCTTTCCTGAAGAAAAGTAACATGCAATCTCTTTTGTTGTTTGCGCACTTGTGTTTGTCCCTAACCACATTTATGTCACACTTTCACTCAAGACTCACCACAGGGCTTCCAGTGAGAAGTTTCAAGTTCACCAGGAGGGTTCTCCTGTGAACAAGCACCACCCGCATCAGAGGAAGACTCATCGAGACTCATTCATCATTCTGACCATCACAAAACAGCTCCTCTTTCCTCACATTCACATCACAGGTCTCTATGTTGCTCCACAACTGTACAATACTGCTCCCAAACAGTGCCATATCTTTCACAAACACATTTAAAATAATACCACAAAGAGAGAAAGAGACAGAGAGAGAGAGAGAGAGAGAGAGAGAGAGACAGAGACAGAGACACAGGGAGAGAGAGCACACTGTCCCAAAGCAGAGATACAGACAGAAACATACACACATGCACACATCTCAAACATTCATTTTACAGCTACAAACATACACTGAATTCATTTCATAACTATTTTTTTATATGTTTATATGTATTTTAACAACAGTTGGATGTTTACAGCGAGCGTCACCATGCATGATGCTCTTACCTTCTCTGTTCTTCATACAGTCATATCGCTGCTGGTGGTGAAATATGTCCACATTTTAAATCAGTTCATATCAGGTTTTTGTCTATAACAGCAGATCCATAATAATAAGACCGAGTTTAAACTCTCCACTAATCTCACACACAACTCTCCACTTCAGCGTCCAGAGCGGAAGAAGCAGCGACTACTTTCACTTTCACCTTCATTCAGTCGCTGCGTTTGAGCGCCAGTCTGGGTTGCCAGATTGGTTCGAGGATTTTCAATATTATGTATCAGAAACAGACGTAGGGGGGGTTGATCAGATAACTGTGAGAGTGACCACACATGTCTACAGTTTCCAAAATGACATGATATCTAATGATTTATATGACAACATTAAAACAAAAACAAACAATATTAATAACAGTATAATAACAATGTCATGTGGTTTCTGCTACATATTCAGTAAAGAAGTTCAGTTTTATTTTTCATTACAGTGACAGTTTTTTCTTTCTTTCTCTTTCAAAATATCTCAGTAAAATATCTCAGTAATAATAAAGTGATGATGATTAAACAGAAAGAGAAAGGACTATTAACTGTTAAGGAAAGTCAACAAATGATCATTGTACAGAAATCTGTGTTGAAAATGATGTGATTTATAAATGCAGGCAGGGCAGGTTAGCACTTCTTTCTCTTCTGCTTTAACTGCATAGAAAACATTTAGTGCTGAACTTCATAGAATTGAAGGAAAGACAATAATCCATCATATTAATACTAATAAAAGGGAGTGAAGTTCACTGATGGAGCCTCTTTTAGACTAAACTCAGTGTTACAGCAGGAATATTCAGAGAGAGACTCACTCACACCTTCATCATCATCATGAAAGAGGTTCTTCATCAGGCAGCCGTGTTCTTCATACAGTCTTTTGTGGAGAAGAGCATTAATGAGTGTTAAACACAGCTCAGCTAACATCACTACTGTTATCACTCTTATCAACACTTTCAGACTCACAATAAAGCTCTGAAATATTTTGTTGATGTTCAGCAAAGTGATAGAAGTAAATGTGGAATCAAAAGCAGAGCATCAGTGAATATTACACTGTAGTTACTGATAACATTATAAAAGCTCTTTCAGTGTCTTATCAGTGTTTGTTTCTAATGCAGAGCACTGCTGACACTAATGTAGGAACAGTTTTATTCATTTTTCCAGTAACGTCTACAGGCCTTCAGAACACTGTATATTTCTTGTGATATAAAATCTTTACACTTCTATTAAACTGAGAGTTGTTCTACACTGTAATGTTAAAGACTGAAGAAAAAGCTCTTTATGAATGAGGTTTTGTATTAAACTACATTTGGAGACATTTGGAACATTTAAAACATTCAGTCTGTTCTCTGACCACAAGAGGGCAGCAGCATCTAAATGCAATGAACCTGCTTTCATTCCTTTACTCCCCTTAAACTGAGAGCTTTTATGGCTTTAATGTCTGTTTTTCCTCCTTTTTCTTTTCTGTTTTTTCACCGCAATCCATCAGCTCAGTAGTTTCCATTTTATGTTAAATGGAGCTATAAAGTCTCTCTGCAGCTACAAACCACAGAGAAACTTGATCATATACAGTAACTGTCAGCTATAAATGCTGACTCAAAGTGACTTATTGCTCACTTAATTTAAACTTTTGAAAAACATAGTAACTAATTAATGGACTGTTAAAATTCTTAAAGCTATTGTACGTATATACTTCAGTATAATTTTGACAGCAGCTACAAATTTTCCAACACTTAATGTTCCACTTTTGCTGAACTCATCAAAGTAGAAAACTACAATTAAATGACTACACTCAACAATTCACCATATTTTTCACATTTGCTTATAAAGTGAGTGCCTGTGATTTTCAGTTAATGACGTATATGTGACATCATGTCACACAATGCATGCCAGTCCAGTACATCACTTATACTCAGCTTATCACCTGTTTTGCTCATGTCCACAACTGAGGAGACTGTGCAGTTCAATCTTCCCACAAAAGAGCTCAGAAACACTGAGATAAATAAGTAGATCACCACATTGATTTATCAGTCTACTCAGGCTTTAGTAGGAACTTCAGTGTTTGTAAAGAAGCTGTTTGTTGAGTTCCTCTTTAGACTCTGTCTTATCAGCATGTCTGATATACACCATGCACTGATTTTAATATTTAATACAGTTAATAAACAAGCATTTATAGTTTAAAGACTGTTTTTATTTTTATTTGCATGGTATGTATTCTTAGACTGAACACAGATACTTAATTTCTGTATTCTGAATAGTTTTCTGCTGCATTCCAACCCTGTTTCATATGAGGATCCAGCGAATAATGAAAAAGGTCAGCACACACTGTATAATCTGCTGTCACTCTACAGATCGAGTGAGTTTTGTGACTGAAATATGAAATAAACACATCATGATGAGGATGGAGATCCATTATGTTTAATTAAAATGATGAATAACAGTACATACAGAGTTCAAACACACACAACAGAACATCACTTATCAACAAAGGGCAGGTGTGGCTGCAGAGTTTCATTACAAACCAGCAGAAACTCCTGATTCTACTTGTTTATTCAGCTGATCATGTCTGAGCTCCTGCTTTGTTGGAATCAAAACCTGCAGCCACACCGGCCCTTTGCAGAGAAGACTGGAAACTCCAGCATTTTGTCCATTTTTAGCCATTTGTGGTGATTTTATTTGTAGTGTTTCATTATTATTTTCTTCCACAAATATTAATTCACAGAAATCATTTATGAGCCCAAAGGTGATGTTTATGTAGCTTTAGACTGAGTGTAAATAGTGTCTTTATCATATTAGTGAATGTAGATTTCTGTTGTGTGAGACGCTGAGTGAGTTTTTGAAGTTCATACTGTAGTGATGCTGTACATCTGTATGCTTAAACCATCACAGTATTAAACTATTTTACCAGTAAATGTGCATTTTAGGGAAAATAATTTGTATATACAAGTAAATTTCTTAACATTCCCAAGAAACAATTTCATATACATCACATCTACAGTATATATTATAAATCATCTTTAATAATCATTCAGCACTCCTGCTCTCCTCTCTGTCACTCCAGGCTCTCTCTCCTCTTCTCTGTGTGATTCTCTCTGAACAGCTGATATCTGATTATCTCACTCAGCTGCTTTCCACGCTGCACTTTGATCAAACTGAACAAGCTCAGGCATCAGCCGCTGTTTCCAGCCAGAGGCTGCATGAAGCTCTACATGCTCCATGTAATGCAGCAGCAACTGGAGCTGCTCACAGAACCTCCATTTCTAACGTGCTGCTCCACATTCACTGCAGTCCTAAGAGCTGATCCTGAATCAGTGATTAAAGGCAGTAAGTGAAGCAGTCTGATCTCTGCTCTCTCTGTTCTTCCCTCCACAGAGTGATCTGATCAGGGTGGAAAGAAGAACTGAAGATAATCTCACTCTACTCTTCACTCTAATGACAGACAGTAATGATCCTGTGATCAGGCTACCAGAAACTAAGAAGAATTACACTAAAATGTACCTGAGACTAAGTAGGTTTATAGACTATATTTAAATGTATTTAAATTTAATATGAACAAATTGACAAATTAACAAATCAACACTTTAAACTCATCCTTAACAAAAACAAACATTTTGATATAATTTTAAAATGTGTATCGAGTCCCTCACTTTGGGGAGAATAAAATCACTCATTCTCAGCTTACCTTTCCATCAGCTGCTACTATCAGTTAAATCAGTCAAATCTGCTTTGACTGAAAGTCAGTCAGGAGCTCTCACTGATCTGACCGAGTGCTTACACAAAGGAATTGTCTTAACCTGCTAAATCGTCTTCTAGTGTCCTCCTGATGATCATCTCCTCCTGCTGTGATTCCCCCTCTGACTCCCTCTCTGAGTCTCTGTCTCAGTGTTTCTATCTCTCTCTTCTTTTCATCCATCCTACAATCAAACTCTTTCTGTTTCTTTATCATGACTTCCCACATTCTCTGCTGGAGTTCAGGCAGGATGATCTTCATGATTCTCTCTGCCTCCATCTTGGCTTCTCCTTCATATGTCTCTCTGATCTCCTCCATCTCCTGTCTGTGTCTCTCCTCCATCTCTCTCCTCTCCTTTTCAGTCTCTTCTTTCAGTCTCTCCAGCTCCAACTGAACCTCATTCCTCTGCTGAATCTCTCTCTCCACCTCTCTCTTCAGCTCTACCTTTCTCTTCTCATCTCTTTCCTCTTTCAGCATTTCCTCTAGTTTAGTTATTCGCTCTTCATGCTGAGTTATTTTTGTATGAAAATCAGCAGTTGATTCTGAAAACTTCATTAAAGTCTCCTGTTCACATCTCTCTAGTTTCTCTCTAGTTTCTCTTTCTTGTCTCTCTCTCATCTCCTCTCTTTCTCTCATAATTCTTCTCTCTATCTTTCTGATCTGAGATTGTGTCTCCAGGTAGATCTCACTGCAGTAGAATTTCTCTCTGTTTCCTTCCACCATCTTCTCGATCTTCTCCAGCAGCTCTGAGATTTGAGAACCATCTCCACTCTCCTTAATGCTGAGACAGTGAAACCTGTTCCCACATTTCCCTACGAGTCTCTGGACCTCCTGGTTTCCTGACTGGATAAACTCTTCAATGTTCTTCTCTTGGACTTCATCAGTAACAGTGAAAAGGATCATGGTGTTCCTCCAACATCTCTCTGCAAAGATCTCCTCCATTTTCTCCAGCATGCCTCTCTCCTCTCCTGTAGACTGCTTCACTGGTATGACTAGGAGGAAGGCGTGGGGTCCTGGGGCAGACAGACGGACACAGAGTCCCACATCCTGTCTCAGCTCCTCCAGAGAGAGTCCAGGACAGAACCAGTCAGGAGTGTCCACCACAGACACCTGCCTCCCAGCCACCTCCCCCTGTCTGCTCTTACTCTGCTGCCTCACTGTAGACGCTCCAGCCTGGCTCCTCTCCTCTCTGCCCAGGATGGTGTTTCCTGCTGCTCTCTTCCCACATCCAGTCCTCCCCAGCAGCACCAGCCTGAGCTCTGCTACAGGAACTGACTCTGGAGAGGCTGAACTAGAGGATTCTCCACTCACTGTGAATCAACAAGAAAGAGGAAATGATGTTGGTGTATGTGGATATTATTCTCTGAATATTTATAAAATAAACATATGAAAGTGTATTTATTTACTTCCTGGAGGAATTTCTTCTTTACTGTTTCTTCTCCTGAGTGGTGCTGCTGCATCTGGAGTTTCTCCACTGACTACGAAACAGAAGAATCAGACATAATGGAGATTAGATATAGTTTGTAGACAGTATTTTTTTTTAATTCACATACAGGTTATACTGTTCCTGCATAATATTTTGATGTTATCATTAAATTATTATAAAACTTCTTATCATAAAACAATTGACATTTTTTGTTTAAATTCTTATTAAACACACATTTTCTGAAGTCCACATTCTAATGCATCACCTCCACTGTGTGATTAGCGTTTCATAGTGATATATGTTGTAATTTTATGCAATCTTAGTATTTACTTACAGTCTGGAGGTCTAATGTCTTTGCTGTTTCTCTTCCTGGCTGGAGCTGCTGAGTCTGGATCTGTTCTCTCCTGCAGCTGCTTGTTTCTCTCCTCTAGAAGTCTGTCTTTCTCCTCAACCTGCTTGTCTCTTTCCATTAGCTGTGTGTTTCTCTCACTTAGAAGTCTCTCCTTCTCTTCAAGCTGTTTCACTGTGATCTCCAGTAGAGTCTCTTTCTCTCTCAGCAGTTTGATCTGATTCTCCAGTTGTGAGTCTTTATCTTTAAGCTGTTTATTAACACTTTCTAATCTTTCATTAGTTTCCTTTAATAATGAATCTCTCTTATCAACAGTCTCTAAATGTTCTTTTATAATCATGTCTTTATCTTTCAGTTTTATGTTTTTATCTTTCAGTTCTTGTTTTGTCTCTTTTAATTCTTCATCTTTCTCCACAAGTCTTTTCTCCATTTCTTCCATTTGTATTCTATGACTCTCTAATGTCTTTGTTGTTTGTCTCAGTTCATCTTGTGTCTCTGTGAGAAGTTTGTCTTTCTCTTCTAAAATCTTCTCCTTCATCTGAAGTGTTGTTGTATTTTCTGTCAGAAGTCTGTCTTTTCCTCCACTTGTTTTTCTCTCTCAGTTAAAATGTTTTTTGTTTCTTTGAGCTGTTTGGTCTTTTCAGTTAAATCTGTAAGAAAAAATAAATTGAGACTTTCTGAATTTACTGTTTGCCAAGCTGACAGATACACAGTACTGAGATTTTATAGCATTGTGAGTTTATTTGCTGGTAAGAAAGCTTTAAAGTTTTCTATCTCTGTTTAAAAAGCCTAGAAAAATCAACTGGGATAAGAAGAGTTAAATACATTAATGAGGAAATTAATTACATTTACACTACCAGTAAAAACTTTAAACACACTTTGAACTTATAGAAGTGTCTTTCCTTATTTTTACTTTTTTTCACATTTTAGATTTATAGTGAAGTAACACATTTAGAATTAAACAGAGACCAAAAAAGTGTTAAACAACCAAAAATATATTACATTTATAAAATTATCTTACAGCCTAAATATAATCAAGAGTTGAAACAAAGAAAACAGTGATAGAGATTAATTAAAGACAATTACATTACCAGTCAACAGTTTTTCAGACTTATTTAAAGAATGTTTTCTCTTATTTATATTTTCCACATTCCATACAATGTTAATGAAAACATCAAAACTATAAAATAACACCTACAGAATTATGCAGAAAAAAGCAAAAAAGTGTAAACAAATTAAAATTGTCTCCTGATTTTTTATTTATTAATTTATTTATTTTTAATTGCTGTACTTTGCCTTGTTTTTCACTTTATATACTCTTGACACTCTGTCATGCCAGAGTGAGTTTAAGAGGAGCATGGCCAGTTCATATTACTCACATTATACCAAAACATGACTGCAGAACACAGAGGGCCCCCTGAGCAAGTCCTCAATAAATGGCTAAATATAAAAATTTAAATATGTTTTTTTTTTTTTCCATTTTGGGAGGAATTTTGGGAAGTAGACTTTTAATATGATGTATTACTTTAAAAAAAATACTAGCTTTTCTGCAGTAGACAGGTTATAGGCAATAGGACACTAGCATTATTGCTACTGAGTGCTGATTGGTTGGTAAGCTGATCAGCTCATTGGCTGAGTAAAGCTGTTCACGCTCACTGACATCAGGAATGCACATAAAGCACTGTTAAAAAGTTCTATATCTGGATCTCAGTAGTGCTCAGAACAATAACAGCAGTGTTGAAGTTTTTCATACTATTGTATGTTGTGAAAACAAGTACATTTTAATATTTATAAATGGTTAAGTATTTATAAAAAGCTCCATAAAAACTCTTTCTTCTCACCAAACAGTCTCTGCTTCTGGAAGTTTTTCCAGCAGGACTGAAGAAAATACACATACACACATATTCCACACTTTGGAATCTGCTGGTGTGTCATGAGTGATTGTTTAATCACATTAAATAATGTAGTTATGTTATAATTGAAGTTTGGGGGGAGGAGCATGGCTGAAATCCCTTCTTCTACCAATCGAATGCCCTGTAAATTCACATCCTCACCTTCTGTTACCATGACAAAGTGTTTGCAATCCCCACCGCCACCCCATCTCCTCCTTGTTCCTCAGTCCTACATCAGTCTTACTACAGCTATGAAGGGGGATCTGGCCTTCTAGTTACAGGCAGAAGCTGCCCAGAACTCCAGCCCAAGCTCAGAGTTCTCCCCCTACCTCACTTAATCTTCCCTCATACTACCACCGCATGTTGAAGGCATGGTCTGAACTCACAAAATACAGTTAACAAAGACTGAAACAGCTGAGCATAAACCTGAAAACTCACCAGTCGTCTGTGATGAAGTGAGAGTTGTCAGTGTTTCATTTTCAGTCTGTAGGTCTGAATTCTGTTGTGCTGAAACGATAAAGACAGAATATTAATTTATCAGTCAGATATTTTACAATCAGTCTGTGTCTTAAATTCTTACCTGTGTGTTTAAGTTGTTGTTCTTTCTCTTCTAACTCTTTCTGCTGACGGGTGAGTTCAGTTTTCTGTTGGTCCATAAGGATCATCATCTCCTGTAGTTTGCTGCTCTTGTCCTGCAGTTCCTTTCTCAGAGTCTCCAGCTGCTTTTTACTGCTTTCCTCCTCTTTCACTGTGATCTCCAGTAGAGTCTCTTTCTCTCTCAGCAGTTTGATCTGATTCTCCAGTTGTGAGTCTTTATCTTTAAGCTGTTTATTAACACTTTCTAATCTTTCATTAGTTTCCTTTAATAATGAATCTCTCTTATCAACAGTCTCTAAATGTTCTTTTATAATCGTGTTTTTATCTTTCAGTTCTTGTTTTGTCTCTTTTAATTCTTCATCTTTCTCCACAAGTCTTTTCTCCATTTCTTCCATTTGTATTCTATGATTCTCTAATGTCTTTGTTGTTTGTCTCAGTTCATCTTGTGTCTCTGTGAGAAGTTTGTCTTTCTCTTCTAAAATCTTCTCCTTCATTTGAAGTGTTGTTGTATTTTCTGTCAGAAGTCTGTCTTTCTCCTCCACTTGTTTTTCTCTCTCTATTAGCTGTCTGTCTCTCTCAGATAGAACGCTTTTTGTTTCTTTGAGCTGTTTGGTCTTTTCAGTTAAATCTGTAAGAAAACAGAAATTCAATCTTTCTGAATTCACAGTGTGCCAAGTTGAAAGATACACAATACTGAGATTTAACAACAGTGTGATTTTATTAGCTGGCAAGGAAACATTAAAGTGGAATAGATTTTCTGTCTCTTATAAAAAGCCGGGAAAAAAAAAACACTGGAACAAGAAGTCATATAGATTAATGAGGAAATTAATTATAGGGATTAATTAATTACTATTGCACTATGAATCAAATCTTTGATCTTTGAAGTTGTTTTCCTTATTTTTACTGTTTTCCACATTTTAGACTCATAGTAATGTAACACATTTAAAATCATACAGAGACCAAAAAGTGTTAAATAATCAAAAATATATTTTTAAAATTGTTTTACAGCCTGAATATTTTCAAGAAATGAAATGAAGAAAATAATGGCAGAGATTAATTAATGACAATTACAATCCTAGGCAAAAGTTTGTCAGACTTACTTAAAAATGTCTTCGCTTATTTATACTATTTTCCATATTTTACAATCATAGTAAAAACATCAAAACTATAAAATAACACACATAGAATTATGCAGAGACCAAAAAAATGTAAACAAATCAAATATATCACCTGATTTTTATTATTATTATTATTATTATTATTTAAAATGCCCTACTTTGCCTTGTTGCTACGTCACACACTACTGACTTTCTCTTAAGACAGTGTGAGTTTAAGAGAAGCCTGGTCAGTTCATATTATTCCCATTACACCAAAAACATTACTGCAGGACAGTAGAGGGTGCATTAAGCGAGTCCTCAACATAAATAGAAGTGAACAGAGCTAAACAGCTTAAAACAAAAAAAAAAAAAATTCTTTCATTTATCTGGAACCTTTTTTAAGTTTGAGAAGTAGAATTTTTTAATGATTACTGCTACTGAGTGTTAATAGGCTGGCATTACAGCTACTGAGTGCTGACAGGCTGGCATTACCGCTACTGAATGCTGATAGGCTGTCATTACAGCTACTGATTGCTGACTGGCTGGCATTACTGCTACTGAATGCTGATTGGCTGGCATTACTGCTACTGAGTGCTGATTGGTTGGTCAGCTGATTGGCTCGAGTAGTTATTAATCACATTAATTTACACAGTTAATAAATATTGAGTTGCTGAGCTTAAACCTGAAAACTCACCAGTCGTCTGTGATGAAATGAGAGTTGTCAGTGTTTCAGTTTCAGTCTGTAGGTCTGAATTCTGTTGTGCTGAAATGATAAAGACAGAATATTAATTTATCAGTCAGATATTTTACAATCAGTCTGTGTCTTAAATTCTTACCTGTGTGTTTAAGTTGTTGTTCTTTCTCTTCTAACTCTTTCTGCTGACGGGTGAGTTCAGTTTTCTGTTGTTCCAGTAGGATCATCATCTCCTGTAGTTTGCTGCTCTTGTCCTGCAGTTCCTTTCTCAGAGTCTCCAGCTGCTTTTTACTGCTTTCCACCTCTTTCACTGTGATCTCCAGTAGAGTCTCTTTCTCTCTCAGCAGTTTGATCTGATTCTCCAGTTGTGAGTCTTTATCTTTCAGCTGTTTATTAACACTTTCTAATCTTTCATTAGTTTCCTTTTCTAATGAATCTCTCTTATCAACAGTCTCTAAATGTTCTTTTATAATCGTGTTTTTATCTTTCAGTTCTTGTTTTGTCTCTTTTAATTCTTCATCTTTCTCCACAAGTCTTTTCTCCATTTCTTCCACTTTCATTCTGTGATTCTCCTCTAATTTCTTTGTTTGTTTCAGTTCATCTTTTACTTCACTGAGAAGTTTCTCCTTCTCTTCTAATTCATTGTCCTTCATCTGAAGTGTTTTTACTTTGTCTGTCAGACGTCTGTCTTTCTCCTGCAGTTCCTTTCTCAGAGTCTCCAGCTGCTTTTTACTGCTTTCCACCTCTTTCACTGTGATCTCCAGTAGAGTCTCTTTCTCTCTCAGCAGTTCATTCTTCTCATCTATTGTTTTATTTTTGTTCTCTATTATTTTTCTATGTTCTTCTAATTCAGTGTCTTTTTGTTCAAGTTGTCTGTTTTTCTCTTCTGAAGTCTTTTTTCTCTCTTCTAGTTTATTTTCCTTTTCTTTTTCCATCTCTAAAGGGTTTAGTTTCAGTCTTTCTATCTCTCTCTCTTTTTCATTCATCTCTCTATCAAACTCTTTCTGTCTGTTTGTTATAACACTCTGAGTAATGAGTTCAGGCAGCTTCCTGATGAAGTGTGTATCTGCTTTTACTGCATTCTTCTCTCTGATCTCCATCTCCAGTCTGAGCTTCTTCACCATCATCCTCCTCTCCTCCTGCATCCTCTTCAGCTCCTCTCCAGCCTCCTTCATCTGCTCATCTTCTCTCTCCACTTCTCTCTCCAGCTCTCTCCTCTTCTCCTCATTTCTCTCCTTTGATAACTTTCGCTTACATTTATGTTTTTGTTTTTCATGCTGTTTAATTTTCTCCTTTATCTTCTCAGCTGCTTCCTCTGAGCTCCTCAAATCATCCACAACAGCTCTCATCTTTCCTCTGATCTCCTCTTCCTCTCTTTGTCTCATCTTCACTCTTTCTCTCACTCTTCTTTCCTGCATCTCTCTGATCTCCAGACTGATCTCTCTGATGTTCTCTCTCTCCTCTTGTTCCTCCTCTTTTAATTCTTCTTCTTTACTGTGTGTTTGTTTGGCTGTGTTCTCCAATTCAGTCTCAGCTCTCTTCAGCTTTTCCTCCTGAGTTTTCTTTTCTTCAATTAAGCTCATTAAGTTCTTCAGTACAGGTCCAGGAAACCTCTCCTCTATTAATTCTGAAATGATGATTCAGTTTAATAGATTAATTTTGGTTCAGTCATATTTGATGTATTAACAAAGTGCAAACCAAACATAAAATAAAGCAAAAATAACAACACTTCACACTTTTTTAATGTGACATTATTATCAAATAATTAAAATTAATTCATGATTGAATTTTTCCTTGCATTTGGGTGTTTCTCAAATGTCTGTGTGATTTTATTCAGTTTTTATGACTTAATGAAGATGATTTGCCTGTTTTATTTATAACAACACACTAAGACTCACAGCTAATTCTACTTTTCTATCATTTTTTATTTCCAATGCAACAAGCTATAACTTACCAATAGTAAATAAAATGTCTTATAAAATGGACAGTTCCAGTCCTAAAATCTGATTGTCCAAGCTGCGTTCAAAGCCGTTGTAAAATCCACAATATATCACTCCTATGACCACCTCACAACAACTGAACTCTGTATTACTGTGTGCTATGAATGGAATAATCTTTGACTCTCATGCTGCTCGCATTGGCCCACTGAGTATACTGATGAAGTAAGAACCCGTTTTTTGTTTAAACTGAGGGGCTGATAACTTATGTTCTCAACTAGAACTAGGGTGTCAGTTAGCTAACAGGCTAAAAGATCATTATATCATATTAATATCACATACTTGAGTTAAAGTACTCATGGTAGGATGAACTGTAAAACGGCAATATAAAAGTGGATTTGATTATGTGCTTCAAATGTTTGTGTTTCGGTCAGTTGTACCATCAAACCCAGGCTGAATGCCAAACCTGAATCCTTGTTGCCCCATCTCCACCGACATCTACGCACAGCAGTGCTCGCTTTCACGCCCGGGAATCTCCCTGGTCTCTATGGCCATCTGAGAGGATTTTGGAGCTACTGGGTGATTGCGGCATTCTTGTTAGCAGCGGTGTGCCCAGGGATGATCTCTTCCGCCTGGCTGCTAATACTTTGGGTTACCCTCCCGTTCCTTTCAGCAGCGTCGCTCCTGCTGTTTCCACAGTGCCTGCACAGCCAGGCAAATAGGTCCTGCGGGTCTCCCGCTCCTCCACTTACCCCCCTTACTCGCTCCCCGCCTCCAGTCTCAGTCTGCCCTGGATCTCCAACTGGTTCAGGTCATTCTGGATCTCACAGCCTCTGTTCGACGCCTCGTCAGCCTTGGCCCCAAGAACGGTCTGCCTTCATCTTCAGATCTCCCTGCCCCTCCACCTATTCTGCTGTGTCCACCCTGGCTTCTGCTCCCTCTGTAGCTCCTGCTGCGCCACTTCCTTGTGCCTCTGCTGTCACGTCCCTGCCTTCCTTTCAGTCTCTCCACTGCTGTGCCTGCGCAGGCTTTGGGTAGGCCTTTCACTCCCCCTGCTGTTTCATCTAATGTGCAGTCTAATATCCTTTAGGGAAAGGATGTTAATCTGACTTCTCCGGGGGAGTTTGGGGGAGTTTGTTGTCACTTTTGGCGTCTACAGGGACGTTTTGTGCCAAGTCTATCCTGAACATAGAGAGAAGCTCTGTCTGCTCTTATTCTTATTATAAGTTTTTGCATGTATGTGTCTTTTGCAAGGAGCCCCATCCAAAGTCCGTTTGACCATGTCACCTTCGTCCAGCAGGGCGGGGGAAGGCCCCTCCATCAAAGAAATTTTGAGTGGTCATCTGTCCACTCCCATTGATGTGCCGATTCTGTCCTCCTTTCTTCTCACCCTGACCGCTATTTTGTGAATTATTTGCTCACTGGGCTCTCACAGGGGTTTCGGGTTGGTGTCCTCTTCACTCTGTCCTCTTCCTACAATGCAATTCCTGGGAACTTCTGGTCTGCACTGGCTGAACCTGCTGTCCTGGCCAGGGAAGATGAAAATGGTTTGACTTGGCCAGGCCCTTTAAATCCCCTCCTTTTGCTCCTTTTCATGTTAATTCTATTGGTGTCGGTACTCGCAAGTATTCTGGCGAAAAGTGGCTTATGTTTGATATGTCTTCTCCTCATTCGGATCTGGTTGCTAGTGTTAATGAATGTATTCCTCTCAAGCCCCTTATTAAGGTTGCGAGTCGTGACTACAGCTGATATTATGGATGCCTTTAAAATTTTGCCAATTCACCTGTCGGACTGGCCTCTCTTTGGCATTAAGTGGGAGTCCAGGTTTTATTTTGCTGTTCAGCTTACTTTCAGTTGCAGGAGTAGCCCTCATATTTTTGATTATCTTTCTGAGGCTTTGTGTTGGATCCTGTTAAACGTCTGTAAATTGCCTTTCGTTCTGCATCTTTTAGACATTTTTTTATTTGTGGACTTCCCGTCTTCTTGGCATTCCGCTCTGGATGTACTTGGGGTGTTTTTTGTGATTTAGGTGTTCCTGTCTCTCCTGAGAAGACCGTTGGTCGTCCCACCACCCTCGAATTTCTAAATTTTTTCTTCAGCATTTTGGATTCTGTTGAAATGTGTGCGTCTCTCCCCGACAATAAGCTCGCTAGGCTTAGATATATTTCAGGGGCTTTTCTCTCAGATTTGTCTGTCTCTATGCATGGCATTCTCTTTCTTTTCATCCATTTCAACCTTGCCATGCTCGTCATTCCTCAGAGTCGTTCTTTTATTTCTTGTTTGCTCCTTTTTGCTCACTCGGTAGTTTATTTGCGTGATGTTGTATCCCTTGACAATGGCTGCCAGTCTGATCTGTGGTTCTAGTCTTGGCTCCTCGAGCAATGGAACGGCATCTGTTTCTTTTACTCTGACGTGGTAGAGTCCTCTGACTCTCTTGCCTTGTTTACTGACGCCGCTAACTCTGTTGGTTTTGGGAGGTACTTCCAAGGGCAATGGTACGCAGAGAAATGGCCAGCCGAATTCTCTGAATTTGCCCTTGGATCTGCTTCCTCCGCACTTATCCTATTCTCGTCACTAGCATTCTTGGATACAGAAACATATTGATATATTTTGCGACAACAAAGCCGTGGTTGCCATTATTAACAAAGGAAGGTCGTTATTTATAACTTTATTATTACAGCTGAACAAATTCCTGGCCACTAAAGCTGTTGCTGATTCACTCTCTCGATTATGTTTAGTTCAGTAATCAGTAATGTACTTGCACTTGTTAATAATACTCACAACTTTGGCAATTTGTATTATTTATTGGATATATGCTGATATAATATATACAATATGTTCTTTGCTAATAATATCTCTTATGTTTCTTTTCAGACTATTTGATCCAGGTAAAGCCTTCTCTGGTGAGTATCTATTATCTCTTATGATCTTGTGGGGTAGGCTCTGTCCGCTGCCATCCTTAGATGGCAGGACCTGCAAGGGTCTAAACATTTGAAGGCCTGGGCCGATGACTGGGCCCATGCCAAGGACTTATTTAGGGCACAATTTCTATTCATGTGCAAAAAAATCTCATCTTAAATTTAGTAAATAAACAGTGATTGTGCATAAAAATGTGCAGAAGTGTGTTCTCTGTAGAAGATTATTATTCTTATTTAGAAAATCAACAGAACAATCAGACCAGGGGCACCCAAACTTTTGCTTATGACAGAATATCTGAAGTTTAAATATATAGAAGAGAGAAAAAGCAATCTCTTCTCTGGCCAGGAGTCCAAAAGAGAGCACAATTGGCCTCACTCTCTGGGTGGGTAGGATGGCCCCCTGTCTATCACTCAGCACGATGCCAGTTAGTGCAGGTGTCTGTTAGCTGACGTAACAGATCTGGCGCTTGGCACTTTTCTCCAAGTGCTTCACAGGTCTCAGCACTGGTGGTATCGTGTGATTGGGGGAGTCCTAACTAGAGGGTGGAATTGGATATGAGTAAATTGGGGAGAAAAAAAAAGTCCCTCCTCAACATCAGTCACACAGACTGTTAAGTATTGTTTCTCTTTAATATAAATTTCTTAGTATAATTATATATGTATTTTTTATATATATGTTCAAGTTAATTGTCATCTATCAATGCATCTATCAATGCAACTCATAAGCAGTCTTTACTCTACATTATACCAACGTAACCCTAAAAACATACACCCTTACAAAAATAAACATGTTCATCCTCACCGATCAGCAGAGCAGATTCCTCCATTTTCAGGCTCTCCTCTTCTGTCCATTTTCTGGCTCTCTATAAAAGAGAATAAAACTGTGAAGATTAATGCATGATGTCATACTATATGTTATATGATCAATAACTGTTTCTCTGTTTAAATCACTGTTGATGTGTCAGTATTAATCACAGAGAGCTGATATTAATAACAGTAGAGATTCTTATGAGTTTAACTGACTTAAACTGATATTGTTCGAAAATCACAGCATCTTTTAAAACCTGTGTTTAAACTGCATTATGTACATCGCTTGTTTGCAGTTGTGTGACTTTAAACACAGTCAGACTGAGACAGAGAGACGGATACACTACAGAGATTATGCTGTGATCATCACATGCAATATTTTATTAATAACTATATAAGAACTATTTTTCATCTTACACTTTTAGTCTCATAATAAATCATTCATCAGTCATGAGCTCATGGGAAGTGAGTAACAGATCCAAAGAAATGCAGCATCAGAAAAGAGGAATTAAAATAGTTCAGCTCTGCAGCTTCTGAGGATCATGATCACTTACAGAACACTGATCAGCATCAACACTGTACTAACACTCAACTCAACACCATGAAAGAGAATCAACAGAAAAGAAGAAAATAAACTAAAGTAAACTTTATCAACAATCAGCCCTGAACAGCTTTTACACACAATAATGTTTACAGTCATAGATCTATTACAATTGATAGTAAAACAGATTATTAAAGAAATGTGGTCTAATTAGAACAATGTGCTCACCTGAGAAACAAAGAGTGTCTGAACTCGAGTAGCCTCTGATTAGAGACAAAATAAGAACTTTTACGATATTGAAAGCATATAATAAGACACAACATACTAGTACTGAAGATGTTGGGTAGAGGTTTTAAAGGGCCCATATAATGGAAAACAGAATTTTCCTCATTTGTCTTTAAAGTTTGTAAAAATGTTTTGATGTAGTTTAAAGTTTGTTGACGTTTCAAAGTCTACTTTTCACTCCACTGTTCGTACAGTCCACATATGGAAACTAAGCAGCAAATAGAGGCTGTTTTCACTCCACTGTGTTTGTGATGTCAAAAAAACAACGTATTTACAAACATCCGTCTCTTCAGCAGACAGCAGTTTAGCCTTCACCCATTCACACTGAAGTTATAAGTAGTATTTCAGCCTGCACTGCTTTTTAGTGAGGCACAATTTTGGCAAATCACAAGGTATTCACATAAATCAGTCTTAAAGGCACACAAACAACCTGTTTTAAGTGATGAAGATAGGATGGAAAAAGGTCATGTAAAATTGAATTATGACAGTGACTCTACACTATAGTGATACATACAGTGCTGAGGTGTGTTAGTGACTCTCTCTGATGATATTCAGCTGAACACTGAACACACAGTACAGATAAGTAGTCTGTGTCTGTTGCCCTTTACATTGCTTGTAAATTTCATGACGAATGGAACAAAATAAATGGCTCACAGTTACTTGGGGAAAAAAGTCTGGTTACACTGACTTACATTAAAAGTATGTTTTTCTCTTTTCCTGTAAAGTTATCATTGTGGAGATTCAAAGTTTTGCTTCAATAGCAGCGATATATTCCGTCTTTACAACAAAAACATTCTTCATTAACAATCAACACATCACAATAAAAGCAGTCCAGACTGACTTATACTCACCTCCCTCTTCTTCTCTCTCTGAAAATCCCTGTAAAGTGAATAATATACATATAAAGATGCATGAAATTATAAGTGAATTACTGCATTTAAATACATGGAAAGCTAGAAATCTGCTTGTTGGCTCTGGGTCTACAGGTGGTTGTGTGCCCTATGGGTCTAGTTAAAATTTGTACGACCCAGTTTCCAAAAGAGTTGGTACGCTGTGCAAAATGTAAATGAAAACATAATTTTATTGAAAATAGTATAAAGACAGCATATCAAATGTTGAAACTGAGAAATTTTATTGTTTTTTGAAAAATACATGCCCATTTTGAATTTGATGCCAACAACACATTCCAAAAAAGTTGGGACGGGGGCAACAAAAGATGGGTAAATTGTGTAATGCTAAAAAAAACACCTGGTGGTTAATTGGCAACAGGTCAGTAACATGATTGGGTATAAAAAAGCATCCCAGAGAGGCTGAGTCTTTCAGAAGTAAAGATGAGGAGGGGTTCACCACTCTGTGAAAGGTGGGCAAATAGCGCAACAATTCAAGAATAACATTTCTCAACATAAACTAGCAAAGAACTTTAGCTTTTCATCATATATGGTACATAATATCATTAAAAGATTCAGAGAATCTGGAGAAATCTCTGTATGCAAGAGACAAGGCCAAAAAACAGCATTTGCCGGTCATGATCTTTGGGCCCTCAGGCGGCACTGCATTAAAACAGACATGATTCTGTAGTGGAAATCACTGCATGGGCTCAGAGGCACTTCTGAAATCCACTGTTTGTGAAAACAGTTTGTCGCTGCATCCACAAATGCAAGTTAAAGCTCTAAAAAGCAAAGAAGAAACTGTACAGAGTTAGGATCCAGAAACACTGCCGCCTTCTCTGTGCCCGATCTCATTTAAAATGGATTAAGGGAAAATGGAAAAGTGTCCTGTGGTCCAACAAATCAACATTTGGGCACTGTGTCCTCCAAGCTAAAGACCCCTCAGCTTGTTATCAGTGCACAGTTCAAAAACCAGTATTCAAGGTGGTATAGTGTAAATGGCCTGTTTTGGCAACATATGCTGACATCTATATGTCGTCTATTTCAGGGAAGGACTTGTTTATTTCAGCAAGACAATGCCAAAACACATTCTGTCACCCACTGAAAACATTTGGCACATTATGAAATAAAAATACGACAAAGGAGACCCTGAACTGTTGAGCAGCTGAAATCCTATATCTACAAAGAATGGAAAAACACTTCACTTTCAAAACTACAGCAATTGGTTTCCTCAGTTCCCAAACACTTACAGAGTTTGTTAAAAGAAGAGGTGATGAAACACAGTGGTAAACATGCCCCTGTCCCAACTTTTTTGGAGTGTGTTGTTGGTGTCAAATTCAAAATGGGCATATATTTTTCAAAAAACAATCTAATTTCTCAGTTTCAACATTTGATATGTCACATTCTCTTTGTACCCTTTAGCTCGAACACAGTAAGTTTGTGAAGTCAGTTTGTTGATACCAAATGTGATAAGCGCACTGCATTTATCAAAATTCATGTTAAAATGTTTTATTCCTTTAAAACTACAGAAATACAGTAAGTTACAGTGTAAAATGTAAACTAATCATGAAGTTTGCATCATATAATTCTGTAATATTCTGTAAATAATAATTGTTAAGTCTCCTCAGACCTGCATATGTACAGATAATTATATCTGTATATGTACAGATATTCACACATCTCTCTATCTCCTTTCACATCAACTCTATAATTCTTTCTTATTCTTTATACTGCTTTGTTTGTCCATTAGTTAAATGGACTGTTCAGTATGTTATTGGTCATACGTGTGCGCACTCACCAAGACACATTCCTTGTATGTGTAACATTCTTGGTGAAATAAAGTCATTCTGATTCTGAACTTGAGATGAATTTGAGCTCATGTGTGCTAGCCGCATTATGTCCAATCCGTCCTGCAACACTGTGGGGCTTCTCCTCTGGTGTACAATAATGTTTACTCGGTAAAACCATTAACATCACCAAAACAACTGAGGTCTATGACAAGCTACAGGCTGTATAATTAGTTACACTGAATGGTAAATAAATAAATAAATTGACCAATCAGAGGCGATGAATTACCCAAGTCTTGGGATTTAGACCAGATAAGCCCCTGCATTAAATCCCCCCTGAATATAGTGAATCTGTGGGAGTGAAAAATCAACCTGCAGCTTTCATGCTTCATGAGTTACATTTTTGAAAAACTTTTCTGATTTTCCTATAGATGAATGTGTAAAAAATGCTATAATGGTGTGTATGTACCAAATAAATACATTCACTTAATGCTGAGTTGTGCCTATAAGCAGTTGCCCAGACTGTACAAATATTTATGAACTTTTTATTGAGTGCAGCTGTTTAAATGCATAAATTAAAGCCTTTTAAACCACTTTAAGATTAGTTTTAACTCCATACTGTTCATCTAGAAACTCTCTGCTGAGAGACTCTGCAGACTGAATAAGAGAAGCTGATCATTCTTAAATGAAGTGAATGGAAGTGAAGGAGATGAGAGGATCTCAGTAATCAAGTCTTTCAGAGCTGCTGACTCTTCATTATTTGCTGCTTGCTGTGAGTCACTGATATAGAGACTCATCAAACAGGCAGATAGTGTGTGTGAGTGTGTGTCAGAAGCTCCTGCTGTGTGTGTTCTGGGCTATTTTCAGTAATGGAGGAGAGGAAAACTACAGTAATGAGAGACACTCTAATGATAATGATGTACTGATGATGAACAACTCAAATATTCCATCATCACATAAGAACAGTGACATCACTCCCAACAGAGCCAGACTGCTTTTATTTGTTGTGTCTTTTTCTCATCAGTGAACTTATCACTGAAAGTCAAAAGCTTTTATTTTGTGATCAGAGACTTTGTTTATCACATGAACATCAGCTGTCAGTAGGGGGAGTAAATATACTTTACCTACCGAATCATTGGAACCTGTGTAAAATGCAGAAAGAAACATAATATTACATAAAACATCCATAACATCATTTACAATAAGAATACTTCTGAATCACTTTATCTGCTTATCAGAATCTCCTTTTCTCATCTGTACTGTAGTTCTTCATCCTTCACTACTGAACTGTCACTCAATGCTTTCAGTACAAGTCCATGAAGACGTTCAGCTAAACAGTTAAAGTTTAAACCTACAGCAGAAACTTTTGGAAATTATTCCCTTTAAACAATAGATTCAAATAAACATCTTAAAACAGTCTATGATATTCATTCAACTGAATAAAAAAATAAATAAGATTATAAAAAAACACAAAATAACAGACAGAATAAATATGTACAGAAAAGATTTAAATGAGTTTCTCTCCAAGCTGGCTTACCTTCCTCTAGCATTATTTTTTATCATTAATTGATTTTGCTGGTTGTGATAGTGTTGTTTCTTTGTTGATTGTTTTGAGTGTTACCGTCTTGGCCAGGGCTCACTTGTAAAATAGACTTTTAATCTCAAAGTGATTACCCAGGTTAAACAAAGGTAAAATTAACATCCTGCACTGACTGCACTGGAGACTGTTTATGCCACAGTAAGAAATTCTGAACAGACCCCCAACAATGAGACATCAAATATATGAGCCCTCAAAAAGAACACAGGCTTTCTGGAGCTTCATAAAGACGAATCTGTACATTTAGTGTTTTTCTATTTACTGTTTTTATATTGTGTGTATAGTTAAAAAGCTCATGTTCAAATATCATTTTATGTATTAATCAGACAGAACTGTCCTTATTGAGGAAAAATGATTGAAAAGATTCTTCCCTTCAGAGGAAATATACACTCAAAAAGATCTAGAAATGGATTTTTAGTTGCAAAGCCATTTTGATCCATGTTAGGCCTACAGCTTAAAATACTGCATGTAGAAATTAATAAATCATAGCTTTAAAAGAAATGTAGGAATGATGCATAACACCTACAAACTACAAAAAATCATTTTGAAAAATGACTGAAATGTTGTGACATGAAAATATATGTTACACTATAAAAATGGTTTTAGTTCAACCTAAAAAATTAAATGTTTTTATTCGACTTTCAATCAATATGAATGAGACAATGCAAAGTAAAATAATAACTCAGATGAACAACATTTATAATTCAAACCTCAAAAACTGTGTGCGTGTGTCTTCTGACTGGGGTTTGTCTTTCTGCTGTCAGATCAACCTAAAAAATACTTAATGTGGTAACAAGCAATTGAACTAGTTTAATTCCACTTAAAAAATACACTGAAAGAATCGTTTATTCAAAGTATTTATTTAGGCTGAATAAAACTGGTTAATTTACTTGTTTCCACATGAAGTGGGTTTTAGCTTGATCTGACAAGACATTTTTTACAGTATAAGGTGTGACATGTAGGGGCTGGGCTAGCAGCCACAAGGCTTATAAATTGAGGAGGTATGCGCTACAGATTCAGACATGTCCTCTCTTTTCCAGGCCAACAGGTTTTTTTAATTCAGCTGCAGTTGTAACTTTTCCACTTTGCTGTCATGGTGACGAGGTTTAGTGTCAGAGTGAGAAACAGAGTCACTGTTATACTGGAATACTTACCCCTCACTCTTACTGTACACTCCTCTGTTGTGTGTCCATTGGTGACCTGACACAGATAATCTCCTAAATCTGACCATCTACAGTCTCTGATCTGTAAGGAGACGTTTCCTCTCTGCAGCTCCTGAGTGAACAGACTCACTCTGCCCTCGTAGCCCCTCCCCTCTGTCACCTGCCTGTTCTTATAGAGACAAACACAGTCCGTCCCCTTAAACCACCTGATCTCCATGGAAACAGCACTGATTTCAGGAGACAGGTGACAGGAGAGAGTGACCGCAGAGCCAGAGTGACGCTCTCCAAAGCGACCACGGGGTCCAATGAGTTTAAAGTCATCTGTGTAGAAACACACAAACACACACACACACACACACACACACACATTAATGTACATTGTGTCTCCACAATAAAAATAAGGCAGATGCGATATGCACTACATGCTAATAGAGTGATACTGATATAACGTGCTTTATGTAAGTAGTATGACTGTACTATTTACAGTGTTCAAAGTCATGCTTACTCACATAATTATAAGCTCTTTCCTACCATTTCTTGATAGATTCAGCAGTATTAGCCTATATGTCAGCAATATAATTACTTTGCTTTTCTTCCAAGCTGTAACTACGACCATTCTTACCACTTACTCTCTCTCTCTCTGTGTGTGTTACTGTCCATGTTTGACTTGTTACTACTACGTCTAAACTCGCTTACATTTGAATGTGTGCATTTCTTTTTTACATATAATTTGCCCTTATGACTATTAAAAGTATATTTTAATTTTGGCTGCAACGATTTAAGTTGATTTGAACCGCTTCTTTTGTTTGTTTGTTTTAGACATTGATAAAATATGTAATCACTGAGAAACATGACTTAACTTAAACTATCTTTAATTAAAATGTTAAAAAGCAATAATTGTCAAACTATAATGCCGATACAAAAGCAACTGAAACTAGAAAGGGAAACTTTAAGTTGAAAATGCTAGCTAATTACATTAAAACATTAAAATGGTGAAAGACTGCTGACAGTTGCTAAAGTGTTGCTTAGATGTTGCTTGGCAGTTGTTATAGTATCCAAGGTGGTCAGTAAGGTGTTGCTATGTGGTTGCTATGGTGTCCCAGGTTGTTGCTAAGTTGTCGTTAGATGGTTGCTATTCTATTAAATACTTCCTTAAATTCACTGCCACCTTAAATCCGCTGGTACTCCAATGGCATCTTGAATGCACTTAAACCTTAAATCTACTGCTACGTCAAATCTGTTGCTACCATAAATCTATTTCTACCTTAAATCCACTGGTACCATAAATTTATTGTTACCTTACATCCACTGCCACCTTAAATCTCCTACTACCTCAAATCTCCTGCTACCTGTAATCCACTACTACCTTAAATCCAATGCCAACTTAAATCCACTGGTACTTTACATCTATTGCTACCTTAAATCCACTGCCACTTTAAATCTCTAGCTAGCTAAAATTAATCCCTTTAATCCAATGCTTCCTCAACACCACTCAAATATTAAGTTCACTGCTACCTTAAATCTATTTTCTACCTTAAATCTATCGCTACTTTAAATCCAATGCCACCTTAAAATCCACTAATACTTTATATTCATTGCTACCTTAAATCTACAGCTCCCTCACATCCATTGCCATCTTAAATTTCCAGCTTCTTAAAATCCACTGCTACCTTAAATATACTGCCACTTTTAATGCACTGGTATCTTAAATTCTGATATCTTAAAATTCATTGCTGCCTTAAATCCACTGCCACCTTAAGCCTCCTGCTACCTTAAATTCATCGCAATTCTAACAAATCCAGCCAGCTCTCCAGCCCAAACAGAGGCACCTGCTTCCCAGTTTCTAGTAAGTAAACCTGATAGATTCACCCAGCTAAGTGTCACGGATTTTTGTTGCAGTGCTCTATTTTTTAAATTTTTTTTGGATAACTCTCCAGTTAGCTTGGCTCAAGCTAAAATCTCATTTTTAGTCTCATGTTTGTCCGATAGAGCATTAGAGTGGGCTACTGCAAGCTGGCAAAGAATCCACTCCTTTTCTTATTTTTGAAGGAATTTCAACTGGTTTTTGATCACCCCCAAGAAGGCAAGATAAGTGGAGAATTGTTGTGTAAACTACGTAAAGGTAGTCATTCTGTAGCAGTTTATGCATTAGAATTTCACACCCTGGCGGCTGGTAGTGGTTGGAACGAGGCTGCTCTTTTGATTATGTATCCAATGGACAGTGCGAACGCGCTAATCAGGAGTTCCTACGATTGTTTTGTCTCAATAACCCTTCAGATTGACCCAGAATTCACTCATCAGCTCTGCTACCAGACTGACTCCTTTCCAGTGCATCCTGGGATATCAACCTCCCATAGCGCCTTGGACAGGTGTGACAACGGATGTTCCAGCAGTTGACACCTGGATGACAAAGAGTGAGAAGGTCTGGGAGGAGACACATGAGAGGACCGAGGTTGCACTGCAACGTAACAAGGAACAAGCAGGCTGCCACTGTGGAACTACCCCCATTTACCAACCTGGAGATCGCGTGTGGCTGTCAACTAGAGACTTCAGAGCCATTGAGGGAAGTAGAAAGCTTCAATCTAAGTACATTGGCCCATTTAAGGTGAAAGAATAAATGAGGTGACATACAAGCTTGATTTACCCCCCTGTTTTCGAGTATCATGCTCATTTCATGTTTCTTTGTTAAAACCTGTTGTTTCAGGGCCTTTGGACGAGGCTACGGTGGATGTCACTCCACTCCCTCCGGGGGAGATAGATAGAGCGCCCATTTATGCTGTCCGTCGGTTGCTGGATTCCCAGAGATGTGGAGGAGAGCTCCAGTATCTGATAGACTGGGAGGGGTACGGCCCGGAGGAGCAGTGTTGGGTGTCAGCTCGAGACGTTCTGGATCCTGGTCTAATTGCTAATTTTCATAGTCAGCATCCCGAAAAACCTGTTCCCTGTCCCAGGAGTCAACCATGGAAAGTGCTCTCCAGCTCACTGCCCGATTGTCTTCTGTCCAGCGCCGCGGCAGCTTTGGGTCTTCTTCCATTCAGATCTCTGGCCAAGGCCACCCCAGACTCTTTGGGGGGTACTGTCACGCATCCCTTGGGCTCAGAGGTCTCTAGGGAATCTATTTCCCAGAAACCCCAGGGGATCACGTGACCTTCAGCCCTCCATCTCGCTCCAATCACTGCTCTCCGTCTCCGGAATATTAACTTGTCACACTTGTTATTGTATGATTAGAGTCAGTATAAAGCCCCAACATGTAGGTTAGCTAGTTGTGAGGTTTTACTTGTTCCAAGAGCTACTGAGCGTACTATATTCTGTTTTGTGATTTTTCCAGTTCTGACTTTGTTTTATGTAATCTGACCTTTGCCCATTTTGTCTTTGCCATTTGGACTCTGGTTGCCGGGTTATGTTTGTGTTTTTGTGCCCTTCATTTCTGGATTTGACCTTTGCATGTTCACTGACCACGTTTTTGGATCGCGATTCTAACATTAAAGCCTCACTTTCGCTTTTTATCTGCGAGCATCTGAGTTATTCTGCCTTGTTACAGCTCTCTTAAATACACAGCTACCTTACATCCACTGCCACCTTAAATCCCCAGCTACGTTAAATCCCCTGCCACCTTAACTTTACTTCCAACTTAAATCTCATGAAACCTCATATCAATTTCTACCTTAAATCTCCTACTACCTTGAATCCATGGCTGCATAAAATACAGTTAAACCTTAAATCCACTGTTACCTTAAATATCCTGCAACTTTACATCTATTCCTGACACTATACGTGCATTGCTACTTTAAATTCACTGATACCTTAAATTTACTGCTACCATATATAATCCAATACCTTACATTTATTGATGCCATAAGTACATTGCTCCCTTTAAATTAACTGATATCTAAAATACACTGCTATCTTAAATCTACCAATAACTTAAATACCTTAAATATGTATAAATGTCTGTATGAGAATCATTGTGAAATCACTTATGGAAGTTAGTTTGAGTATTCTGAACATTCCACCATTCATTTCCAATGGGAAAAATGTCCAATGATTGTTTTCCAAAAAACATTTTTCACATTTATCCAACTATTCCTTTATATGAGGAATGTTTGTGCAAAATTTGGTGGTTTACATCAAAAACTGTGGACTGCAAAAAGGTTTCAAAATTTGAGTGTAGAATAATAATAACAAGAAGATTATGATGAACAGTAAATTGGCTTTTCCAAGCCAATGTAAATAGTGTGCAAATCCCCCTTTTGCCCAGTTTTAAACATGTAGTTCAGTGCTGTTATCCACTACATTATATCAACCAACATAATTCTGTTGTCCTGGATAATGTTTCACCTGTTAAACCGATGTGTTTCATTATTTATTTAATACTTATGTGGAGTGAATGGAACATTACACTCACTTATGTTCTGGTTAGTACTAAATAATCTTACTCTCTAATTCTCCCTTGAACACAACTTCTCCCACCTCACTTTTTCATGGAAAGTATGAAAATTACAGCAAAACTAGGCATTAAGGTGTACTATAGTCACATAATTTACCAGGCAGAGTTAGTGCAAATATCCAGGCTGCGTGATTAAAACTATTTTCACAGACACTGCCTCTCTGATTGAATATTACTTAATGATGTTCACAGTAAAACCTTTTGTAGGTTCTGGAAGTTTAACTTACTGTTTCTTGCAGCCGCCATTTTTATCTCTTTATCTCCTCCTACAGATTCACACTAATACAATCCTACAGAGAGAGAGAGAGAGAGAGAGAGAGAGAGAGAGAGAGAGAGAGAGAGAGAGAGAGAGAGAGAGAGAGACCACAAACAAATACATTGTTGCAGGTATTGTTTATATTAATTGTTTTTCTTTTCCACTCAGGTTCGATGTTCACAGTGATGTTTATCCTGATTAGCATGATGCTAACTGCTCTCACCTTCGCTGTTCTTCATACAGTCATATCGCTGCTGGTGGTGAAATATGTCCACATTTTAAATCAGTTCATATCAGGTTTTTGTCTATAACAGCAGATCCATAATAATAAGACCGAGTTTAAACTCTCCACTAATCTCACACACGACTCTCCACTTCAGCGTCCAGAGCGGAAGAAGCAGCGACTACTTTCACTTTCACCTTCATTCAGTCGCTGCACTTGAGCGCCAGTCTGGGTTGCCAGATTGGTTCGAGGATTTCCAGAACAGGAACTTTTCCAAATCCTCCCAAAACATTATTCATCAGAAACAGACAGGGGGGCAGATTTGATCAGATAACTGTGAGAGTGACCAACGGAAAAAATAGGTAAATAAAATATGTCCAAACTGACATGATATCTAATGATATATATGACAATATTAAAACAACAACAAACAATATTAATAACAGTATAATAACAATGTCATGTGGTTTCTGCTACATATTCAGTAAAGAAGTTCATTTTTTTTCATCACTGTAACAGTTTTTTTCTTTCTTTCTCTTTCAAAATATCAGTAAAATATCTCAGTAATAATAAAGTGATGCTGATTAAACAGAAAGAGAAAGGACTATTAACTGTTATGGAAAGTCAACAAATGATCATTATACAGAAATCCGTGTTGAAAATGATGTGATTTATAAATGCAGGCAGGGCAGGTTAGCACTTCTTTCTCTTCTGCTTTAACTGCATAGAAAACATTTAGTGATGAACTTCGTAGAACTAAAGGAAATAATCCATTTAGATTTTAATTACAGAGTTCAATGTGGGAATATATGTAAATATCTGGCAGCTCTTTCTCAACTCAGTCCATCTGAACGAGGCCATTTATTGACTTTCTAAGCTGAATAACAGTAACAGGCAGAAATCTGTTCTCATATGAGGAAACTGAATGATCTGCTTCAGATGGCAGACTGTTTTTCTCACAAGCTAACGCTCCATATGTGCTCGCTAGACAATAATCCATCATATTAATACTAATAAAAGGGAGTGAAGTTCACTGATGGAGCCTCTTTTAGACTAAACTCAGTGTTACAGCAGGAATATTCAGAGAGAGACTCACTCACACCTTCATCATCATCATGAAGGAGGTTCTTCATCAGGCAGCCGTGTTCTTCACACAGTCTTTTGGGGAGAAGAGCATTAATGAGTGTTAAACACAGCTCAGCTAACATCACTACTGTTATCACTCTTATCAACACTTTCAGACTCACAATAAAGCTCTGAAATATTTTGTTGATCAGCAAAGTGATAGAAGTAAATGTGGAATCAGAAGCAGAGCATCAGTGAATATTACACTGTAGTTACTGATAACATTATAAAAGCTCTTTCAGTGTCTTATCAGTGTTTGTTTCTAATGCAGAGCACTGCTGACACTAATGTAGGAACATTTTATTCACTTTTCCAGTAATGTCTACAGGCCTTCAGAACACTGTATATTTATTGTGATATAAAATCTTTACACTTCTATTAAACTGAGAGTTGTTCTACACTGTAATGTTAAAGACTGAAGAAAAAGCTCTTTATGAATGAGGTTTTGTATTAAACTACATCTGGAGACATTTTGAACAATTAAACCATTCAATCTGTTCTCTGACCACAAGAGGGCAGCAGCATCTAAATGGACTGAATCTGCTTTCATTTCTTTACTCCTCTTAAACTGAGAGCTTTTACGGCTTTAATGTCTGTTTTTCCTCCTTTTTCTTTTCTGTTTGTTCTCCACAATCTATCAGCTCAGTAGTTTCCATGTTACTTAGTCATGCTATGTTAAATGGAGCTATAAAGTCTCTCTGCAGCTACAAACCACAGAGAGACTTGATCAAATACATTAACTGTCAGCTATAGATGCTGCCTCAAAGAGACCTGTTTGCCACTTTATTTACACTTATTGGAGAATATAGCACTTAATCATAGTTATAACTAATTAACACATTTATAAATATCCAAAAGCAATTGCATTTAGACACAAATCAATTCTGGTTATTAACTTCTTTTCCAACCAAATCATGTCTTATAATTTCAGGAGAAGGTGATGTAGAGAAATGCAAACAGATATAATAATATACTGATGTGCATAAAGCAGAATATTAAACTGTATTTACTGAAATAGATTTTTCATTACAGTCTCTAAGAGCTGCATAGCTGCTCTTTCCATCACAGACTGAGAGTCCCACAACAATGATGGAGTAAAACTTCTTACAGTGACAGAACAGCATTAAACAGAGCTTCAAGATAAACAGCTCCTCAGTGCAAATACCAAATACACAGAACAGAACAAAAAGCTCCTTCAACAGTTTTCAACAGGATTTCAACCTCCTTACATGATTTACACTCTCAGCTCTTTAGTTACTGATGTTGAGTGGACACTGCAGTGGACATACTGATGAGGTAAAAGAACTCTCCTCTATCTAGACATCATTGAAATGATGGGACACAGTGAAGGTGTGGAAGTGAGCTGGTTGTAAACTGAATGTGAGGTGTGTGATGAGCTCTCAGTGTGGGGTGTGTTGGAGCAGCTGAGGGAAACTGATAGAGCTGCAGCCTGTTCCATAAAATCACTTATAATTTGAATTAAGTTCTTTTTAAGTTCTTAAACATTTTTTTCCCTACATCAGTCCACACACACTCCCCAAGCCCACTTTACAGTCTCACTTTTGCTAAACTCGCTGTTCTAGAATATTACAATTAAAATAATACTATAAACAATTCGCCATATCTTTCACATTTGAATATAAAGTGAGTTGCTATGTGATTTTCAGCTAATGACGTATGTTTATCATGGCATACAACACATGCAAGTCCAGCACAACACTGGTGTTCAGCTTATCACTTGTGTCACTCATATCCACAACTAAGGAGAGTGTTCAGTTTAATCATTCCACAAAAGAGCTCAGATTTCATAAAAGTATAAAAAGTTTTTGTGTTCTGAACACTGCCTTCTCAAAATTAAGCATGGACTGAATAGAGATACTTAATTTTTTGTATTCTGAATAGTTTTCCACTACATCCCATCCCTGTTTGCAGATATAAGGACCCAGCATAACTGGAACAATGAAAGAGATCAGCACAAATGATCTGCTGTCACTCTCTACAGGCCGAGTTTTTATGAGAAAATAAAAATGAAATGAAATATAACCCCAATTCCAAAAAAGTTGTAAAATGCACAAAAAAATTAGTGATTTATACATTCACATTTACCACTATTTCAATAGAAATAGTACAAAGACTAGATATTCAATGTTTAATCTTATAAAATTAGTTGTTTTTTGTAAATATATGCTCATTCAAAAATTGATACCTGCAACACCTTCTGAAAAAGTTAGCACAGGTACAATTTAAGACTGGGAACTTTGTAAAATGTTCAAAACACATCTTAAACAGGTAATGCAATTATGCTAGGATATTTAAAAGGAGCTTTAAGGAAAGGCAGAGGCCTGTATGAGCAAGGATGAGTTGAGACCAATAGTTTAAAAATAAGACATTTTAGGTATTTCACCCTTTACAATGTATATTATCCTCTAAAAATGTAGTGAATCTGGAAAAATCTCTGTGTGTAAAGGAAAAGGCCAAAAACCATAAATGAATGCCCATGACCTTCAACTACTCAGATGGCACTGCATTAAAAACCCTCATGTTTCTGTCATGGACGTCTTCACACAGGCTCAGGAATAAACCATTGTTCATTGCTGCATCTACAAATGCAGTTTAACACTGGAACATGCACAGAGTAAGTCATTTATCAACAACATAAATGTCACCAACTTCTCTGGGCTCAAGCTCATCTGAAATGGACTGATGCATAGTGGAAATAGGCATCGTGGACTGATGAGTCAACCTTACAGATTATTTATGGAAATGATGGATGTTGTGTTCTCTGGGCCAAAGAGGTAAAGAACCATCCAGACTGTTATAAAGTTCAAAAGTCCGTGTCTGTCATGGTAACCTGCACATCTGTACAGTTAACGCTGCGCACATTTTGGAGCAACACATTCTGCCTTCTAGACGACATCTTTTTTCAGAGAAGTACATGATTATTTTAACATAACATATTAAGCTACATCCTACACATCACGGCAGCATGGCTGTGTAATAGGAGACTGCGGCTGCCTGCAGTCCAAAACTGTCTCCCATTGAAAATGTGTCTTATTAGGATCAAAATATGACAATAAAGGCCACACGCGGTTGCATAGCTGAAGACTTGTATAACAGACGAATGGCAAAAAAAATCCACTTTCAAAACTGGATCAGTTTGTGTGATGATGTAACAGGTGATGTAATACAGTGGTAAACATGCTCCTGTCCCAACTTTTTTTTAAATGAATTGCAGGCATAAAATTTGAAAATAGCATATATTTACAAAAAACAATTAAGTTCAAAAGGTAAAACACCAAATATTTATACAGGCCGAACATAATATAGTAATCACGTTTTAATCAGCATTTCACACACTGTCCCAACTTTTTTTGTTGGGGTTGCATGAAATCAGCATCCCATGATGAAGATGGAGATCCATAATGTTTAATTATAATGATGAATAATGGTTGAAACACACAAACCACATCACAACACAGAGCATCACATCATAAACAAATTTCTTCAGTGATTCATTAATCCAGGAGTGTCCAGTCTTCTCTGCAAATGGCCGGTGTGTCTGCTGGTTTTCACGCCAAACAAGCAGCAGTTGCTGATTCTACTCTTTTATTACACTGATCCAGATCAAACATCTGATCTTGTGTTCAGCTCCTGCTTTGTTGGAATAAAAACCTGCAGCCACACTGGCTCTTTGCAGAGAAGACTGGACACTCCACCACTTTTGATCATTTTTAGTCATTTGTGGTGATTTTATTTGTAGTGTTTCAATATTATTTTCTTCCACAAATATGAATTCACAGAAATCATTTGTGACCTTAAAGGTGATGTTTATGTTGCTTTAGACTGAGTGTAAACAGAGTCTTTATCATATTAGTGAATATAGATTTCTGTTGTGTGAGAAGCTGAAGTTTTAGTGATTTAGTTCAGTTCATTTTCAGCTTCATACTGTAGTGATGCTGTACAATCTATAAGCTTAAATCATCACTGTATAAAACACTTTTACCATTATATAAATTTCTATATACAAGATCATTTCTTAACATTCACAAAAAACATTATACACTTTATAGCCTAAAGTATGTGGACACATACGCATCACTGTCAGATGTCCCGGGTGTTAATATGGAGTTAGTGACCCTGTGAAGTCTTTCCACATCAGAGTGTCTCTGGGGGTATTTGTGCCCATTCAGTCAGAAGAGCATTTATTAGTTCATACACTGATGTTTGACGACAAGGCCTGGCTTGCAATTGATGTTTAAATTCATCCCAAAGGTGTTCAGTGGGGTGGAGCTCAGGGCTCTATGCAGGCAAAGCTTGTGTGTTTGGGCCTCACTTTCTGCACAGGGGCACAGTCATGCTGGAACAGGAAAAAGCTTTCCCCAAACTGTTGCCACAATGTTGGGAGCATATAATTAATAAGTCTAAAATGTCTCTAAATGCTGTAGCCTTAATATTACCCTTCACTGGAACTAAGGGGCTCAAACCCTGAAAAACAGCCCCAAACCATTATCCCTCCTCCTCCAAACTTTACTGTTGGCTCTTGGCATTCTGATAGGTAGTTGTCTCACAGCTTCTGCCCAACTCAGATTCATCCATCACACTGCCAGATTCCAGCATGATTCATCATTTCAGAGAATATTCCAGAGAATTTCCACTGCTCCAGTGTCCAGCCGTAGAATGCTTTCCACAACTCCAGCCGATGCTTGGTATTTTCCATTTTGATCTTAAGCTTGTGTGCAGCTGCTTTTCCATAGAAACCCATTTTATGAAGCTCTGAATGAGCAGTTCAGCAGAGCTGATGTTGCTTCCTGAGGTGGTTTGGAACTCTGCAGTGAGTGATGCAACAGAGAATAGGTGCTATGTGCTTCAGCACTCGACAGCCCCTCTCTGTGAGTTTGTGTGGTCTCTCTCTTTGTGGTTGAGCTGTTGCTCATAGACACTTCCATTTCACAATAATAGCACTTACAGTTGACGGGGCAGATCTAACAGGACAGACATTTCACAAACTGACTTGTGGCAAAGGTGGTATCCTATGATAGCGCTGTGTTTAAAGTCACTGAGCTCTTCAGTAGGACTCATTCTACTGCCAGTGCTTTCTGTGGAGATTGTATGACTATGTGCTTACTTTTATCCACCTGTTAGCAATGAGTGCAGCTGAAACACCTGAACTCAGTAATTAGGAGGGGTGTCCACCAGAGGTGGGAACAAGTCACTATGTTGCAAGTAACAAGTAAGTCTGAAGTCTTCACACTCAAGTCCCGAGTCAAGTCCCAAGTCAAGATAGTCGAGTCTCGATTCAAGTCCTGAGTCAGTACAGGCGAGTCTCAAGTCGAGTCCCAAGTCAATAGTCCTAATCTTCAAGTCCTAAAGTCAGTCTTCATTCTTCAGCTATTTTGAGGCCATAACACTGGTTGGTAAAACACTAATGGTAAAAGTTCTATAGCCTTTTAATGACAGCATGTTAGCAGTGTATGTCTGTATATTAATGTTATTTATAATTATTGTTTATATATATATACTTTTACCCTTCCAACTAAAATGCAAAATACATCGTACACAGATAACCATGAGAGGCATAGTATACAGAAAGAGTAGTGCACTTAGCATAAAAAGAATATTACAAGTACTACTGAACTTAGTTAGTTAGATTTGAAGATAATGTTCCCAAAATCATCAAAAATTAGGTGCACATGATTAAAATAAAAGCCTTGCTCAGCACTAAAACTAGCTCAGCCAAATAATAACAACCGCTAGTATGAATTGAATTTAGACAACAGAAACCAAATCAAATGAGCTGAACAAAGTTTACAGAAAGCAAAATGATGGTGAATGGAAGAAGCTGAAGCTTTTTTCACCGGATTCTTATTAGAATTTTCTGTTCCACCTTAAACGGAGCCAGATTCACATTCTGGCACCTCACTGCTGCACCATTTAAGGTGGAACGATAAATTTTAATATGAAGCTGGTGAATAGCATGTCAACTTCAGCCTCATTGTGCTGTTTTACCTGCAGAAGCTGTTAAAATCGGTCAAACAGAGAGCCAATGCCCAAGTCTTTCTCAATTTTCTTGAGTTGAGTCTAGTGTCATCAAATTTGTGACTTGAGTCTAAATTGAATCCAAGTCATATGACTTGAATCCACACCTCTTGTGCCCACATACTTTGGCTATATAGTGTATCTACAGTGTGTATTATAAATCACCTTTACCTGATACTGTACAATCTATATGCTTAAATCATCACAGTATTAAACTATTTTACCAGTAAATGTGCATTTTAGGGAAAGTAAATTGTATATACAAGTAAGTTTCTTAACACTCCCAGGAAACAATTTAATATTCATCATATCTACAGTGTAGATTATAAATCATCTTTAATAATCATTCAGCACTCCTGCTCTCCTCTCTGTCACTCCAGGCTCTCTCTCCTCTCTGTCACTCCAGGCTCTCTCTCCTCTTCTCTGTGTGATTCTCTCTGAACAGCTGATATCTGATTATCTCACTCAGCTGCTTTCCACGCTGCACTTTGATCAAACTGAACAAGCTCAGGCATCAGACACTGTTTCCAGCCAGAGGCTGCATGAAGCTCTACATGCTCCATGTAATGCAGCAGCAACTGGAGCTGCTCACAGAACCTCCATTTCTAATGTGCTGCTCCACATTCACTGCAGTCCTAAGAGCTGATCCTGAATCAGTGATTAAGGACAGTAAGTGAAGCAGTCTGATCTCTGCTCTCTCTGTTCTTCCCTCCACACAGTGATCTGATCAGGGTGGAAAGAAGAACTGAAGATAATCAGACTCTACTCTTCACTCTGATGGCTGACAGTAATGATCGGGTCGCAGTTCCTGAAAATATGCAGATTTGTAAACTATATTAAATGCAAATTAAAAAATTAAGAAATTAAAGCCACGTAGGCACACATCAACAAATCAGAAGGTCATGTGACTTGACATCAACACCTCAAACTCATCTCTGTCAAAAACAAATGTGGTGGCATACAGCCTCACGGCCACTGAGTTTGAGGTTGGTGTAGATATTTTGTATACATTTTCAGTATTGTGATAATTTTACAGACAATATCTGTTTCCCTCTAGGGGTTAAAATAGGGGTTAAACCATTCCTGTAAAAATTTATTCAATACATTTTCATTTTCTTTATTACTATTTGAAATAACATGTTTAAATATAAGTTAAAAACGTGCATAGAGTCTCTCACTGCTGAGAGAGACATTTACTTATTCTGAGCTCATCTCCTCATCAGCTGCTACTATCAGTCAAATCAGCGCATCGGCTATGAGTGACAGTCAGTCAGAAGCTCTTACTGATCTGACCGAGTGCTTACACAAAGGAGATGCTGTCTTAACCTGCTAAATAATCCACTCCTGTGCTCCTGATGATCATCTGCTCCTGCTGTGATTCCCTCTCTGATTCACTCTAACTCGCTACATCTCCATCTCAGTCTTTGTAACTCTCTCTCCTTTTCCTTCATCCTACAATCAAACTCTTTCTGTTGCTTTGTCATGACTTCCCACACTCTCTGCTGGAGTTCAGGCAGGATGGTCTTCATGATTCTCTCTGCCTCCTTTTTGGCTTCACTTTCATACGTCTCTCTGATCTCCTCCATCTCCTGTCTGTGTCTCTCCTCCATCTCTCTCCTCTCCTTTTCAGTCTCTTCTTTCAGTCTCTCCAGCTCCAACTGAACCTCATTCCTCTGCTGAATCTCTCTCTCCACCTCTCTCTCCAGCTCTACCTTTCTCTTCTCATCTCTTTCCTCTTTTAGCATTTCCTCTAGTTTAGTTATTCGCTCTTCATGCTGAGTTATTTTTGAATAAAAGTTAGTAGTTGATTCTGTAAACCTCATGAAAATCTCCTGTTCACATCTCTCCAGTTTCTCTCTAGTTTCTCTTTCTTGTCTGTCTCTCATTTTTTCTTTTTCTCTCATAATTCTTCTCTCTATCTCTCTGATCTGAGATTCTGTCTCCAGGTAGATCTCACTGCTGTAGAATTTCTCTCTGTTTCCTTCCACCATCTTCTCGATCTTCTCCAGCAGCTCTGAGATTTGAGAACCATCTCCACTCTCCTTAAAGCTGAGACAGTGAAACCTGTTCCCACATTTCTCTACAAGTCTCTGGACCTCCTGGTTTCCTGACTGGATAAACTCTTCAATGTTCTTCTCTTGGACTTCATCAGTAACAGTGAAAAGGATCATGGTGTTCCTCCAACATCTCTCTCCAAAAATCTCCTCCATTTTCTCCAGCATGCCTCTCTCCTCTCCTGTAGACTGCTTCACTGGTATGACTAGGAGGAAGGCATAGGGTCCTGGGGCAGACAGACGGACACAGAGTCCCACGTCCTGTCTCAGCTCCTCCAGAGAGAGTCCAGGACAGAACCAGTCAGGAGTGTCCACCACAGTCACCTGCCTCCCAGCCACCTCCCCCTGTCTGCTCTCACTCTGCTGCCTCACTGTAGACGTTCCAGCCTGGCTCCTCTCCTCTCTGCCCAGGATGATGTTTCCTGCTGCTCTCTTCCCACATCCAGTCCTCCCCAGCAGCACCAGCCTGAGCTCTGCTACAGGAACTGACTCTGGAGACGCTGAACTAGAGGATTCTCCACTCACTGTGAATCAACCAGAATGAGCAAATGATGTTAGTGTATGTGGATATTATTCTCTGAATATTTATAAAATAAACATAAGAAAGTGTATTTATTTACTATGTGGAGGAAGTTCTTCTTTACTGTTTCTTCTCCTGAGTGGTGCTGCTGAGTCTGGAGTCTCTCCACTGACTATGAAACAGAAGAATTAGACATAATGAAGATTAGGTGTAGTTTGTAGATAGTGTATATTATGAAATTTGCATACAGGTTATACTATCATATCATAAAATACCATAAAACAATTGACATTTTTTGTTTAAATTCACATTAAAACACACATTTTCTAAAGTTCACTTATACATTCTAATGTAACACTTCCAGTGTGTAGTTAGTGTTTCATAGTGATATATGTTGTAACTTTATGCAACCTTAGTATTTACTTACAGTCTGGAGGTATAAAGTCTTTGCTGTTTCTCCTCCTGGCTGGAGCTGCTGAGTCTGGATCTGTTCTCTCCTGCAGCTGCTTGTTTCTCTCCTCTAGAAGTCTGTCTTTCTCCTCAACCTGCTTGTCTCTTTCCATTAGCTGTGTGTTTCTCTCACTTAGAAGTCTCTCCTTCTCTTCAAGCTGTTTGTCTTTTTCACTCACTTCAGTTTTCTGTTGTTCCAGTAGGATCATCATCTCCTGTAGTTTGCTGCTCTTGTCCTGCAGTTCCTTTCTTAGAGTCTCCAGCTGCTTTTTACTGCTTTCCTCCTCTTTCACTGTGATCTCCAGTAGAGTCTCTTTCTCTCTCAGCAGTTTGATCTGATTCTCCAGTTGTGAGTCTTTATCTTTAAGCTGTTTATTAACACTTTCTAATCTTTCATTAGTTTCCTTTAATAATGTATTTATAATCGTGTCTTTATCTTTCAGTTTTATGTTATTATCTTTCAGTTCTTGTTTTGTCTCTTTTAATTCTTCATCTTTCTCCACAAGTCTTTTCTCCATTTCTTTCATTTGTATTCTATGACTCTCTAATGTCTTTGTTGTTTGTCTCAGTTCATCTTGTGTCTCTGTGAGAAGTTTGTGTTTCTCTTCTAAAATCTTCTCCTTCATCTGAAGTGTTGTTGTATTTTCTGTCAGAAGTCTGTCTTTCTCCTCCACTTGTTTTTCTCTCTCCATTAGCTGTCTGTCTCTCTCAGATAGAATGTGTTTTGTTTCTTTGAGCTGTTTAGTCTTTTCAGTTAAATCTGTAAGAAAACATTCAGACTTTCTGAATTCACAATTTTCCAAGTTAAAGATATACAGTACTGAAATGTAACAGTGTGAGTGAGTTTTTTAGCTGGTAAGGAAATATTAGAGTGGAACAGAGTTTATCTCTGTGTTAGGAAAGCCCAAAAAAATCAACTGAAATAAAAATTTCAAATATATTAATGAGGAATTCAGTGGTAAAGATTAATGACAAACAGTTCCTATTTTTTAAGAGTTTTTCTTACTTTTTAATATTTTCCACATGCTAGAATTATAGTGGACATCAAAAATATGAAATAACACGTCATGCAGAGACAGTAAAACAATCAAAATATCATCTGTTTAGAATCTTTTAAAAGTTGGCCCCCCTTTCTCTTCATGCAGCTTTACACACTCTTGATCATTTTCTCATTCAGCTTCATGAGGAGCCATCTTAGATACGTTTCCAACAGAACTAAAGACAATATATTACGCTGCAAAAGCTCTTTCAGAAGCATTTAGAAATATGTACTTTTTCAACCTTCAACTTCTCTACTTGTTTTTGTCTAAGATACAAATTTATTTGCATTTAAGGACAAGACTTTTAATAAAAATGTTGGAAAATGGACATTCAGATAGGTAACTTTTGACTGGCAGTGTATGGAATTTAATTATGACTTAATTACACGTATTATGTAACCATGCATTTATTAAATAGCTTTTCTAATTTAATTACATTCACTAATAAGTGTTATTTAATTATGATTTAATTACATGTATTATATAATATCCACTAAATAGTGTTGTAATTTAATTATGTTCACTAATATAGTAAATAAAGATCGAGTCTGATGGTTAAACCTGAAACTCACCAGTCATCTGTGATGAAATGAGAGTTGTCAGTGTTTCAGTTTCAGTCTGTAGGTCTGAATTCTGTTGTGCTGAAATGATAAAGACAGAATATTAATTTATCAGTCAGATATTTTACAATCAGTCTGTGTCTTAAATTCTTACCTGTGTGTTTCAGTTGTTGTTCTTTCTCTTCTAACTCTTTCTGCTGACGGGTGAGTTCAGTTTTCTGTTGTTCCAGTAGGATCATCATCTCCTGTAGTTTGCTGCTCTTGTCCTGCAGTTCCTTTCTCAGAGTCTCCAGCTGCTTTTTACTGCTTTCCCCCTCTTTCACTGTGATCTCCAGTAGAGTCTCCTTCTCTCTCAGCAGTTCATTCTTCTCATCTATTGTTTTATTTTTGTTCTCTATTGTTTTTGTATGTTCGTCTAAGAAAACTTCTAACTCTCTCTCTTTTTCATTTATCTCTCTATCAAACTCTTTCTGTCTGTTTGTTATAACAGTCTGAGTAATGAGTTCAGGCAGCTTCCTGATGAAGTGTGTATCTGCTTTTACCGCATTCTTCTCTCTGATCTCCATCTCCAGTCTGAGCTTCTTCACCATCATCCTCCTCTCCTCCTGCATCCTCTTCAGCTCCTCTTCAGCCTCCTTCATCTGCTCATCTTCTCTCTCCTCTCCTCTCTCCAGCTCTCTCCTCTTCTCCTCATTTCTCTCCTCTGATAACTTTCGCTTACATTCATCTTTTTGTTTTTCATGCTGTTTTATTCTCTCCTTTATCTTTTTAACTGCTTCCTCTGAGCTCCTCAAATCATCCACAACAGCTCTCATCTCTCCTCTGATCTCCTCTTCCTCTCTTTGTCTCATCTCCACTCTTTCTCTCACTCTTCTTTCCTGCATCTCTCTGATCTCCAGACTGATCTCTCTGGTGGTCTCTCTCTCTCTTTTTGTTCTTCTTCTTTACTGTGTGTTTGTTTGACTGTGTTCTCCAGTTCAGTCTCAGCTCTCTTCAGCTTTTCCTCCTCTGCTTTCATTTCTTCAATTAATCTCTTTAAGTTCTGCAGTAGAGAGAGACTCTCCTCCTTTAATTCTGAAATGATGATTCAGATTTAATAGATTAATGTCACATTTTCAGTGAACCAACCAGATAAAGCTAATCATCAAATATAACTATATGTTGTTACAGTGTCTAACACACTTCATACTGTGTTATATTGTAAAATGGAAGAGGAAAATGTATTTATCATACATTTTCCTGAACTATTCACTTATTCAGTTGTCTGCATTTGGGTGCTTATCAAATGTCCCTGTGATGTTATTCAGTGTTTATGAATAATGAAGTGGATTATGTTTGTTTTGTTTATAAACATGCACTAACACTGTTAAACACCTGCACAGTGAGCTCTGTGTGTTCTTTCATTCTTTATATCCAACACCAAAAGCTAAAAGTTACAGATCAACTAGAGTCAAATAGTTATGGATGACCAGTGGTATCACAATCATATCAGTATCAGTGGATATTTGCTTAAAAATATTCAGACAGATGTTTAAATTTGACTGATATTTTAAACTGATAACTGATGTATTTGTTTTACTCTGGAAGAGCAGAATGTTTAGGAGACGCTGAGCTAATGTGATAAAACAAATTGATTTTACTCAGTTTAATGAATGTATAACCCCACATAAATAAATATTCTATTTCTCTGGAATGATCATCAGTGTAGGTGTATTCCCAAGTTCATTTTATGTATCAGTATTGGCAGATATGTACATGAAAAATATCAGATATTGGCATCAACCCATAATTCCTATATCGGTGTGTCTCTAATAATAATTTAACAGTCTCTTCTGTTATCTGATTTAAGCAAATACAAAAGAGCAGCAGCAGCCTAGAAAAGGTAAAAACTGTAAACAACTCCTCTAGTGTGAATGAGGACGCTGCATCTTTGCCAACAACTGACCACACAGCACTAGTCAATCTGAATGACCTCATGAACAACACCATTCACCTGGTGTTACACTGGCAGTGACAAGGGAAATATTAAAGAAAAAAGCTTTTACAAATGAACAAATATGAACATCCGTCCATCCAACATTCCATCCATACTAAACTCACATCTGCATCTACATCTCCTGCCACAAAACAGCCTGCAGCTCTAACAAACACTGATTTTCAGGTAAAGAGCCTTTAGACCCGACTCACTGAAGATTTACTGAATGTCCAGATAAACACAGATGACCATCTCAAACACACTGTATCAAACTCTGAACTCACAGCTCTGTTTACTCAAATAACAAACATCACAGAGAGACACCATTCAGCTCTTCATCTCTGATGAATTACAATGATTTTTTTTTTAGATTTACAAAGGTTCACAGCAAATTTAACAGTGTTAAAAAGTGTTGATTTTTTGTTACAATTTTCGTGTTGAGAGCTGATTCTGGAGTTGTTTTTACACCCAGCAAGTTGAAAAACTTAAAGAACCAAACTTCACAAGTCATTTTTGGTGGTCCAGGTGGTTAATTAAATGTCTTTAAATGTCTTTAAATTTTACAACACCATTTCCAACAAAGTTGGGACGCTGTGCAAAATTTAAATAAAAACAAAATGCAATGATTTGCAAATCATTTAAACCCGATATAATTGAAAATAGTACAAAGACAACATATCAAATGTTGAAACATGCCCATTTTGAATTTGATGCCAACAACACATTCCAAAAAAGTTGGGATGGGGCAACAAAAGGCTGGTAAAGTTATGTAATGCTAAAAAAAAAAAACATCTGGTTGTTAATTGGCAACAGGTCAGTAACATGATTGGGTATAAAAAAAAAACATCCCAGAGAGGCTGAGTATTTCAGATGTAAAGATGAGGAGGGGTTCACCACTCTGTGAAAGACTGCACGATCAAATAGTGCAACAATCCAAGAATAATGTTTTTCAACATAAACTAGCAAAGAACTTTTGCTTTCATCATCTACAGTACATAATAACATTAAAAGATTCAGAGAATCTGGAGAAATGTCTGTATGTAAGGGACAAGACCAAAAACCAGTATTTGCTGGCCATGATCTTCATGCCCTCAGATGGCACTGCACTAAAAACAGACATGATTCTGTAGAGGAAATCACTGCATGGGCTTAGAAACACTTCTGAAAAACACTGTGAAAACAGTTCATTGCTGCATCCACAAATGCAAGTTAAAACTCTAAAACTCTGGGCCTGAGTTCATTTAAAATGGACTAAAGGGAAGTGGAAAAGTGTCCTGTGGTCTGACAAATTAACATTTGAAATTCTTTTTGGAAATCATGGACACTGTGTCCTCTGGGCTAAAGACCACTCAGCTTGTTTTCAGTTCAAAAGCCAGTATTCATGATGGTGTAGGGGTGCATTAGTGCACATGGCATGGGTGACGTGCACCTCTGTGAAAGCACCATTCATGATGAACAATACATACATGTTTTTTACAAAATAAACTGCCATCCAGACAACATCTTTTTATGTAAAGCCTTACTTATTTCAGCAAAACATTGTATTGCAACAGCATTGCTTTGTATTAAAAGAGTCCAGGTGCTTAACTGGCCTGCCTGCAGTCCAGACCTGTCACCACTGAAAACATTTGGCACATTATGAAATGAAAAATATTACAAAGGAGACCCCGAACTGTTGAGCAGCTGAAATCCTATATTAAAAAAGAATGTAAAAACATTTCACTTTCAGAATTATAGCTGTTGGTCTCCTCAGTTCCCAAACACTTACAGAGTGTTGTTAAAAGAAGAGGTGATGTAGCACAGTGGTAAACATGCCCCCACCCCTACATATTTTGGAATTTGTTGTTGGCATCAAATTCAAAATGGGCATATATTTTTTGAAAAACAATACAATTTCTCGTTTCAACATTTCATATGTAGTCAGTATAGTATTTTCCTTTAAATATGGTTTACATGATTTGCATATAATTGCATCCTATTTTTATCTACATTCTGCTCAGCGTCCCAATTTTTTGAAAATGGGGTTGCAAATATGATTTGTAATATGCAATACTTTTGTAAACTTTATTTACATTATTTATTTTGCTTAATTAGTGTAAAAATTTAGCTAACAATGCATAGATTGTGCCTTTTGTGTTTTACTTGCCCTATCTGTTAAATAAATTGAATACATGAATTAAGTACTGGATAATTTGCTGTTTTCTTAAATTGATTTGCTGTGGAGCTGGGAATCAACTAGAGTTCTAGGCACCAATGTAATAATCTCCAGGGGAAAGCTGATAACAGTTAACACCTTTTAAGTCGACATCTTACTCCAGTGCAGTGATGAATTATCACCTGTGTTATAGAACACGTGTGTTTTCGTGTACCAGACACCCCAAGAATGGTGTAACCACAATGTGTACAGTGTTAAAATGTTAACACTTAAAGTCGTTTAAAATACACTTCATAAGGTGTAACTGTAACTCAAATTGGTGTGGACTTAGAAAGTGTTAGAAAGTGTGTCACAGTGTAGATTTTTGGCCAATTTGCTGTTTTTAGCTGTCTGCAAAAGTTTGACCACTCCTGGATAAATTGTATGTTTTGTTGTTTTATAAGTGAGGTTAACACATCCCCTACAGAAAACTTAAATATGGCTTTTTTGCATATTTCAATGCTCAATTTATGTTTATTTGCCAAGTGTAATATATTAGGGGAAAATCCTATATGTTAGATTCAGCAAATACACTGTAATTGTGCAGTAAAGTGTACAGAAATGTGTTCTCTGTAGAGAATGGGTTAACTTATTAACCTGTTATAAACTGTGAAACCTCAACAAAACTCACAAGCAGACTCAACTATACATTATAAAAAAATAACATTATAAACATACACAATTACATAAATAGACATGTTCATCCTCACCGGTCAGCAGAACAGACTCCTCCATTTTCAGTCTCTGCTCCCATGTCCCACTGCAGATGTGAATAAAACAGTGTGAAGATTTTATATATGATGTCATACTGTACGTTATATGATCAATAACTGTTTCTCTGTTTAAATCACTCTTGATGTGTCAGTATGAATCACTGAAAGCTGATATTAATAACAGCAAAGATGATACAAGTACATCATAAAAATATAATAAACATCATGATCAGCATCGACACTGTAATATAACTCTACACTATGAAAGAGAATCAACAGAAAAGAAGAAAATAAACTAATAAACTTTATCAACAATCTGCCCTGCACAGCTTTTACACACAGTAATGTTTACACTAACATATTGAAAATCATATTAAAGCAGATCTTTAAAGAAATGTGTCCTGTTTAAAATGCTCACCTGAAAAACAAAGACTATCATCAAGTGGAGGAGAATCAGATCAGAGAGAAAGAAACAACTTTTAAAACACTGAAAAAACACAATAACACAAACCATAATCCAGTATTTTTGATAGAAGGACAAGATGATATTGTTTACATCAAAAAAAATGCTACTATCCGTTACACCTTCAGGCCCTTTATAATAATGATAAAGTGCTCACTTTCTGGATCGCAGAATATCGATACTCAAGTTGTTAAGACACCCTTTTTACTGATTGTCTGCAACATATTTTAATGTAATCTAATGATTTCAGTAATAAAACTCAGTAATAACACATTCACTTAATATTCCTGCTGACCAATTACTAATAGTTTATTGATAGCTACATTATCGTCTTCATAGAACAGTATCAAATACAAATGCTGATATAAACGTGACTCTGCTGTTAAAGTTCATGTAAGGAAATGATTCTAACACACATTTCTGATTATATTAATGATAATCAGTGTGAAAAACTGTGAACTTCAGTTGTATGTCAGGGGTGTACAAAGTCCAACCCCAGGGCCAAATGCAGCCCACAGTCAGATTTCAACTGGCCTGTGGCTTCTGTTTAAGAGTGTGTAAAAAGTGGTCCGCCAGCCAGTATACTGCAGTTTTTCCTTTCACCTGATGGTGGCAGCAGTATCGCAAAATTACAGTGTGATGCTCTGCACTGTGGTAATGAAGTTAGCCAAGAGCCATTTAAGAGCCTTTTGTCTCTGACTAGACCTGCAGCCTAATTTACTAAATGACTGTATTTTAACAGACCAAAATAATAATGTACTGAATTTAGTCAAGACCACAGCCATAAAGCACAAACCTAACACTGAGACCCACTGATGAAATGGAAATTCAAATAATTTGTCCATCAAGAGCCACAGCAAATGCCTCATTTGTCAAAAGACTGTAATGAATTCAATATCATAGACATGGAACAAAGCATGGATATTAAATATTCAGGAGACGGCAGAGAAACTGAAGGCAACTTCAAGCTTTTTTCTTATCAGAGCAAATTCAGTAGTTCACTAAATATTAACTCTTTAAAGTCAAACAAAATTGGGCTATTTATGTAGTTTAATCTTCTTCTTTAATGAAGTGCTTTTTGAATGCTCTGAATGTTCTGAAATGATGCTGCGTTTATTTGCTATGTAAAGAACTTACCAAGAATGTATAGATTTTTGTTTGGTTTGTCTCACAGATTGCATTATTGAACAAGTAAACCCTTGAATAAGAATGTACTGAATACATTAGACATGCTTCATTGTGACTCTTTAACAATTTAATCATCTATATTATGTTATAAGCACTGACTCATCCAAACTGCTCTGAGCAATCCAACAATAAAAGAAGTGTTGTGCATCTTTCATACAGTGATAGGAAACATGGTATCTCACAGGAAGCAATGATTCTATGCACTGATATTTTGAAAAAATAATATTTTGGATCATTTGTGGATTTTTTTTCAGCCCTCGGGTATTTTGGCACAATCTATCTGTCACAAGTCCCTTCGGCTCTGAAATCTATTTGGACTCAATCTACCAGAATCCCCTGGGAGATCAATCAGTCCCCTGGGTGTGTGAATCAGTCTGGGTATCATCCGCAATCGAATGGACAATGTGAGTGAATGAACCAGGAACTGGGGAAATTCCTCAGACTCTTTTGCAAAAACAACTCTTCAGACTGGTCTAAGCACCATGGCACCAGCTGTTGATGCTTGGATGCAGAGAAGCGAAAGCATTTAAAAGGAAACCCACCAGCAGATGAGGAAGTACTAAGAAAAAATAAGGAGAAAGCTGACCGCCATAGAGGTGAAACCCGCATCTATCAGCCTGGAGATAGAATGTGGCTGTCTACCAAGGATTTCAGAGCTTCTGAGGGAAGTAGAAAAGTGATCCCTAAATCCATTGGTCCTTTCAAAATACTGAAAAGGCTTAACGAAGTGACTTATAAATTGGATTTTCCCCCCAGGTTGAGAGCCTCACGTTCTTTTCATGTCCGGGCCCTTGGACAAGGCTACGCTGGACATCACACTACCCCATCCGAGGGAGATAGACAGAGCACCTGCGTTCGCTGTCCGTTGGTTGCTGGATTCCTGGAGATATGGAGGTGTACTCCAGTACCTCGTGGATTGGGAGGGATACGACCCTGATGAGCAGTGTTGGGTACCTGCACGGGATATACTGGACCCCGGTTTGATAGTGGACTTTCACAGCTGTCATCCAGAGAAACCTGCTCCTCGACCTAGGGGCCGTCCACAGAAGGTGCCCCCTGATCCACGTCATGTGCATCAACGGGGTCATCAACAACAGACCGCATCTGTCCAGCGCCACGGCAGCTCGAGTCCTGCTCTTGTTCGGATCTCCAGACGTGGGCGTCATGGTCGTCCTGGTCGGCCTCGTTCCGTGGCCATCCCTGACTCTTTGGGGGGGTGGTGGGGGGTACTGTCACGACTCCCTTCAGCTCTGAACTCTCTTTGGACTCAATCTCCCGGAATCCCCTGGGAGATCACGTGACTTCAGCCTCACTCTCATGCTCCAATCAGCGCTCCATTCCCTAGAGTACTGATCAGTAACACCTGTTCTTCCTTGATAAGTTTAGTTTAAACCTCAGCTTGTAAACAGATTCATTGCAAGGTATTGCTTCTTTTCACAGAGCTACTAAGCGTTATTTCTGAATGTTTATTCCTGTTCTGACCCATTTTGCCTTGTGTTTTGACTTGCCTTTTGGACTCTTTTGCCTGGTTATGTTTGTGTTTTTGTGTATATTGTCTTTTCTGGATTTGACCATTGCCTGTGACCTGACTAACGATTGTGGATTCTATTTGTACTAATAAAGCCTCCCATTCACCTTTTATCTACGAGCGTCTGCATCATTCTGTCACATTACACTATCCCTCTTTAAAAGAAGTGTGAACACCCCTCCTGTATGTGAATGAGGTAACAGTGTTATTAATGGTGTTCAGTCATCTCAGGCTGCTGTGAGCTCTACACTATAGTGATACATACAGAGCTGAAGTGTGTGTTAGTAACTCTCTCTGCTGATGATGTTCAGCTGAACACTCTGAACACACAGTACAGATAAATACATTCAGTCTTTACAACACAAACATCCTTCATCAACAATCAGCTCATCACAACAAAAGCATTACATACTGAATTATATTCACCACTCACTGCTCCTCTCTTTAAAGCCTCCTGTGAAGTGAATAATATAATGTGAAGATTTCATGCATGGAATTATAAATTACTTATTACATTTATAAATATTAGGAAGACTGGCAATTTAACAATCATGACAAATTTGCAGCAAAATATTTCCTTTTTAAAACCTCATCCAGACACTACAATTTGTTGTAGCTGTTTCCTGATCATCTAGTAAATCTGTGCTGAGAGACTCAGCAGACTGAATAAGAGAAGCTGATTATTCTTAAATGAAGTGAATGGAAGTGAAGGAGATGAGAGGATCTCAGTAATCAGGTCTTTCAGAGCTGCTGACTCTTCATTATTTGCTGCTTGTTGTGAGTCACTGATATAGAGACTCATCAAACAGGCAGATAGTGTGTGTGAGTGTGTGTCAGAAGCTCCTGCTGTGTGTGCTCTGGGCTGTTTTCAGTAATGGAGGAGAGGAAAACTACAGTAATGAGAGACACTCTAATGATAATGATGTACTGATGATGAACGACTCAAATATTCCATCATCACATAAGAACAGTGACATCACTCCCAACAGAGCCAGACTGCTTTTATTTGTTGTGTCTTTTTCTCCTCAGTGAACTTCACTGTCTCTACATTTCTGCAGTGCAGTGGGATTATGCACAGGAGCATTGTGGGAAGGAAGGAGGGCGATGAAGTCAAAAGCTTTCATTCTGCGATCAGAGACTTTGTTCATCATGAGCATTACATTAAACTGCCTTTTAAAACTGCAATCCATTTGGACACAAGCTATCAGGAGTAAATATACTTCACTTACTGACTCATCATAAACTGTGTAAAACAACAGAAAGGAACATAATGTTAGATAAACATTGGTATCATCATTTTGTCCTTCACCACTCAATACACTGCTTTCAGTACAACTCCATGAAGATGTTCAGCTAAACAGTTAAAGTGTAAACCTACAGCAGAAACTCAACCCTTATAGAAATGATTATATTAAACACTTCATGAAGTGTTTTTCTCTCTTAACAGTCAGTCCTGTGATCCTCCATCAACAACAGCAGCTCATATGTGTAATATATTCTTGTTCTGCAGGAAAAGCCAGTTACAGAAACACAAAGCTACAAAACCCCCACAGTCACTTGAGAGATGTGAAAGTGTGTGAATAAACAGCTCTTGGGCTTCTATTGTGTAGAAATGTCTTCACCTGTATGAACTAAATGTGTGGGGTTTAGGTGAGTGTTTACAGATGTACACAGATGTTGGTCACAGTAGTTCAGTCTGATCTACATCAGCATCCATGCAGCTCTAATAGACTGTAGATAGATGTAGAATGTTTACAAGAGCACAACTAAGGATTATTGATCACATTTATCTTGGCTTGTATTCAGAGCTGAAGACTAAAGTTGAAAAGTTACGTCAACAGATACGCAGGAAACTCTCTGTATTCAGACTTCCACTACGCAGATGCTTAACTTGATTTCTTGATTTTCTGGGTGGCACATTCTGAGTACTAAAACTGCCTGCCTGAAGTTCAGGCCTCTGAGGTTGGCAGGTTTTTCTTGTGTAGAGATGTCCAAGCCTGCCCATTTAATCTGCAACTAAGCACCTGCCTTTAAAACAAGCACTTGCATTTAAACATCAAGAAATCAGATGATAGAAAATGCGACTGATAAAGTAGATCAGATTGTCTTGAACACTTAAATGGTCAGACATGACTGTTTCACTGAGATATAAATATGAGGTGACACACAGGCCAAATGTCCTCAGTCATTCATCACTATGAGAAAGACCAGAGAAAGCAGCAATGTTCATATTTTGAATGAAATATCAAAAGGATAAGCAATGCAGAATTAAGTTCTGTATAAATTCTAAGCATAATAGACCCCAACAACAAGACATCAAATATATCAGCCCTCAAAAGGAACGCAGACTTTCTGGAGCTTCATAAAGACGAATCTGTACATTTAGTGTTTTTCTATTTACTGTTTTACTGTTTTATATTGTATGTATAGTTAAAAAGCTCATGTTCAAATAGTATTAAACACTGAAAGAGTCACAGCTCATCTGTCATTTTTATGTATTAATCAGACAGAAGTGTCCTTCTTAAGGAGGAAGTTTGGAGGATAAAGGATTTGTTACTTTAGAGAAAATAAAGAGTGAAAAATATCTAGATATGTATTTTTAGTTGTGAAGTCATTTTGATTCATGTTAGGCCTGTAGCTTAAACTACTGCCTATAGAAAAGAATAATTCATAGCTTTGATAAGAAATGTAGGAATGATACATAAAATATCTACATAAATACCTGAAAATACCTACATTTTACAAAAATAACTTTGAAATATGACTGAAATGCTGTTACATAAAAATGCATGAATCTGTAGTGAGAATGTATTAATATGAAACTAGTTGATTTAAAGTGAAATTTTATCCTTGTTGTTGTTTTGATACACTGTAAAAATAGTTTGTCAGTTTAACCTAAAAACAAAAATACTTCATGAGGTAACAGGCAATTTAACTGGTTTTATCTTGCTTTAATAAATACTTTGAATGAAGTAAAGTAACAAAGCAAAGTAAAATAATAAGTCAGATGAACAAAATCAATATTTATAATTCAAACTTCAAAAACACTTCGAACCACCTTAACTGTTACAGTGTATGTAGTTCATATTTCAACAAAATTTAGAACTGAACTAAACTGATTTAGAGTTCAAACTAAAACTCTGCTTGAGTTCATTAAATAAATGAAGCTTTTTTCTTGAATGTTTGTTGATGGAAATCCATGATGTGTCCTGTCAGGCTGAAGGTGAGCTGGCTTGAAATAACTCAGCTGTAAAACTGTAGTATTGCTGTGATTTTACAGATGTAGAGAATCTTCACCATCATCACCAGATCTACAGGCTGGAGATCACATTCACATTCAAGATCACATGTTAAATATAATATTTCAACACATAATATATACTGTTTCTATATCTCTTGTTATTTTTCATTGTGATGATCATGTTGAGTTTATGTAGAGTGAACTTCTGGAATACTTACTCACTCCTACTGTGAGCTCCTCTGTTGTGTCTCCATTGGTGACCTGACATGTCCTCTGTCTGACTCTTTAAAGTCTCTGATCTGTAAGGAGACGTTTCCTCTCTGCAGCTCCTGAGTGAACAGACTCACTCTGCCCTCGTAGCCCCTCCCCTCTGTCACCTGCCTGTTCTTATAGAGACAAACACAGTCCGTCCCCTTAAACCACCTGATCTCCATGGCAACAGCACTGATTTCAGGAGACAGGTGACATGAGAGAGTGACCACAGAGTCAGACTGATACACTTCATCTTTATGATGGGGTCCAATAAGTTTAAACTCATCTGTGTAGAAACACAAACACACACACACACACACACACACACACACACATTAATAGTTGTGTCTCGTGTGTCTCCACAATAAAAATAAACTCTATGATTGAATATTATTTAATGATGTTCACAGTAAAACCTTTTGTAGGTTCTGGAAGTTTAACTTACTGTTTCTTGCAGCCGCCATTTTTATCTCTTTATCTCCTCCTACAGATTCACACTAATACAATCCTACAGAGAGAGAGAGAGAGAGAGAGAGAGAGAGAGAGAGAGAGACAGGAAGATAGAGAGAGAGAGAGAAACACAGAGAGAGAGACAGAGAGAGGGAGAGAGAGATCAGCTTGTAAATGAAAACAATCTTTTATGGTATTTTCACATAGAGAAACTTCATATATGACCTGTCTGTGTGATATTAGGATAGAGAAGACGACACAACAGCGCTTGAGAGAAAAAGCGAGAGTTTTATATCAACTCTAGTTCAACTACAAGGAGCACAGCATCAGTAGAAGATGCACCAGTAAAGTTTCTTCTCCAGTACTCACAACGTAACCAGCAAGCAAACAGCTGTTAATTAACACAGCGAAACAGCGCTGCTAACTAAACACAGCAGAGACCAGAAACGACAAACAACAATGAGGACAGAAAAAACAGTAAAAAAGGAAAAAATCTGTAAAAAGTTGACTGAAGATGGACACGCCAGATTCCACAGCTTCCAGTGGACACTCTCTACAGCTGGACAGCTGTCAAATACATCATCAATAAAGCCCAGAAAAATTTCAAAACAAAAATTCTCAATGAAAATCTTTAGTGATAGTGCATTAATGATAGACTTCACTTCAACAGATAACCAGGTAATAAGCAGCCTACTTTACACAGTTTCTTCAGACTTACATGTAGTAATATACTATATGGACAAAAGTATTGGGACACCTACACATTACACCTACAGGAGCTTTTATGACTACCCATTCTAAATCCATAGGTATTAATATGTTGTTGGTCCCCATTTGCAGCTATAACAGCTGCTACTCTTTAGGGAAGCTTTCTACAGATATTGAAGTGTGTCTGTGGAATTTTTGTCCATGCATCCAGAAGAGCGTTTGTGAGGTCAGACACTGACCCTGTTAGATGAGAGGGTCTGGCTCACAGTCTCTCTTCTAGTTCATCCCAAAGGTGTTAGATGATTGAGGTCAGGGCTCTGTGCAGGCCAGTCAAGCTCTTCCACACCAAACTCACCCAACCTTGTCTTTGTACACTGTGGCTCAGTCATGCTGCTGATGTTAATGCCAGAGGAGGTTTGGAACTATGCAGTTATCAAGCGTTGGTGACTTTTATGCACTATGAGCCTCGGCACAAAGCGACCCCGCTCTGTAACTATACTTGATCTGCCACTTTGTGGCTGAGTTGCTGTTGTTCCTAAACGCTTCTACTTTTCGATAATACCACTCACATTTAATCGTTGAATATCTAGGATGGAAGAAAATTTGTGCCATCCTATTACTGTATCATGCTTGAATTCAGTGAGCTCTTTAGAACGACGCATTCTTTCACAAATGTTTGTAAAGGCAGATTAGGACTCCCAGGTGTATATGTGAAATATTTCTTCACATAAAAAAAGAAGTAAAGGGAGAGAGATCACCATATATGAATATTCTGAATATACATCTCCTATCCTAACTATATATATATATATATATATATATATATATATATATATATATATATATATATATATATACATATATACATATATATATATATTATATATAATAAAGGAATAGTTAAGTGAAGTAATAAAAGGAAAGTCACAGCTCCACAAACATCACCACCAGGACATTCTTCAGAGCTCCACAATAACAGCACATCTGGAACACATGCCTAAACCTGCCAGCAGTGTCAACATAGTAAAAAAGGGCTCTCTGTCATGGAACAGGAATTCATAGGTCACACACACAAAAAAAAATCCACTTTACATTTGGTGGGACTGCATTACAGCACACTCTAACTATTATTAATCACTATTAATCAATGCATCTGGAAACTTCAGCTGAACTACTTTGGTAGAAAAAGCAAGACAAATTGAAAGTACTAAAGAATCTACTAAAGAACTATTAAAAGATCAATGACAACTAAAGGAAAGCACTACTATGCAATATGCTGTGTTATATATTGTTATATTCAATGCTGCAGGTGTGGTTTGTAAAAAAGTGAAATATTAACACAGCAGGTTGGGCAGACAGTACAGAGAAAATGCGCTCTGAAAAAAAAACACGCTCTGGTGTTGAATTCTCTCGTGAATTAGCACGGTTCAGTTGTTTGGTGCAGACCTGAATCCAGGTGGAGTTGCATGTTCAAACTGAACTAAAGAAAAAGTTTGACAGTCTATACCATCAAAGGCAGGTCTGAAAGCAGCTCTTTCTGATTGGCTCTGCTGTTCGGTTTTACTCTGCCTATTTGTGCTGGTCAGTGCTTCATGCCATTTAGGGAAAGTGGAGGTTTTTATGTTGCATCCTGAACTCAAAAATAGCAGGGCGTCACCACAGCACTGTGAAAAGTGGTGGGGCAAATGCCACCGTGGTTCTGGTGGCCTTGCAGTGCTGTGTATGTTGTACCAAGTAAGTAATGTGACTGTACCTAGAACATTATGTTCTGCCTATTTTTGACTGTCACACCTATCACTTGTCAGGTATAGGCTGAGCCTAATCTTGGCATGAGTCCAGCCTGTATATTTGTGACCATCTATTGTTTAACAAGCTGGATGAATGTCTGATACCTGCGAGCAAGAAACAAACCTTCAATTCTCCAGATATAAGGCTGCTTTCTGGTTTTTATCAGGTTTGGATTCTTCATCTGGTGCCATGACCTGGACTGAACTTCTCTAAAGGTGAATGGCCCATTTTAAAGCAAACCCTGAAATCAGTAGATAGCCTCCTCTTGTTGACAAAACTCAGGAGTCAACTGACTGCACCTATCCCCGCTCTGCTTCGCCTGACTATTGATCATGTACATGTACCGTGTATGACCTGTGCTCTGCTTTTTACTTTGATTTTTGCCTTGTCCATTTGTCCTGTAATGAATCTCTGGGTTTTGAACTCACCCTTCTGGTTTTCAATTCTGGTTTTTGATCACCCCTTTGTTAATAAAACACTTCAAGCTAGCCTCGACTGCGCACGTCTGATTCCGTCTGCAACCCTTACACATTTTATTCACTCTTCTAGTAACTGTCTACAGGCCTTCAGAACACTGTATATTTCTTGTGACATAAGATCTTTACACTTCTAGTAAACTGAGAGTTGTTCTACATCGTAATGTTAAAGACTGAAGAAAAAGATTTTTTGTATTAAACTACATCTGGAGACATTTGAACATTTGTCCACAAGAATGCGGATACATATTGGCAGAAAAAGCCAAATAAATTAGTATAATAAGTAGCAAATCTGTACAACACAAAAGGCCAGAAGCAGATTCACTAAGACTCCTCACTGTGAGACAGAGAGCACTTTACAAACAGCATTAAACAAACTGAAAACATTCATTCACACTCATGAGCATCAACTGTGGGGTCAAAGGTCAATGTAAATGCACAGTGTACTCTCAAAAGCCTCCTCTAACTCAGCTATTCACATTCAGAACTGCTCACATATCTGATAAATATGAGTTTAAAGCTCATTGTTCAAACACTCACTCTGTAGCTTATTTGTTATATTAAATCCATCCTATAAATGATTAGCATCTGCTTTAGCATGACACTAATTTTTCTTACCTTAATTACTCTTCATTATCTTCCTCCTCTTCAGATGAAATGGGTCCATGTTTCAGATAAAAGCTGTTGTAACAACAAATCATCATTTAGTAGAAGTTAAGAGCTTCTATTCTACTTTTACTTCCTGATTAAATTAGAACCTCCATGTAGTAAAAATCCTGTCCTGGAAGCAGATTAAACTACATTCAGCTTCAGTCACTGAGGTAAATGAACCACACTGAGCTCCAGCAGCACCGACTGTACTTTCTCCCTCCTCATAGTTTCAGTTCAGACTAAATAATAATCCATTTATCTGTGAAAATAACCGCTCTAATGTCCAGCTTTAGGATCCAACGTGAAGATGAAGATGAAATATCCTCTCTGAAGTTTGTATGTCTGAAGTTCATCAGTAGTTAATGAGTAACTCTCTCTCTCTCTCTCTCTCTCTCTAAAATATGAAATAGAAGATATCTGACATTAAATAAAATGATAGTAAATACCATATTTTATATCATGTTATTTAATGTCAGATATCTTCTATTTCATATTTTATCACTTATGTCAAGCTTTTTTGTGATAAATTGCAATAATACAACAAATATTGCAATTGATCCCATGCCTGGTTCTCATATCCATATTAAATATTTATCTAAAAAGAAACTGCTAAGCATCTGTCATTCATAGTTTTGAAATGTCCTTTTTTTTGTGGGGGGGGCGGAGGGGCTTGTCTGGTCTTCATCAAATTTGCAATAAAGAACAAATTCAGTCTTTTAAATGAATAACACTTAATGCATTGTTCTAGTTCATATTGAATACATCACTAATACATCACTTAAACATTTACAGTGTAGATTGGAAAATGTATGTCAACCCCCAGATTAGCAACTTCAACAAAAGCTTATTGGAGTCCAGTCAATGAAATGAGATTGGAGGTTTGGTTTAGAGCTACTTTGACCTTTAAAAACCACTCAAACATTTTGAGTTTGCTATTCACAAAAACACCTGTTGGTGTGAATCACACCTCACGAGAAAGTGATCTCAGAGGAACAGTAAGATCAATAATTGTTGATTTGCATAAAACAAGAAAAGGTTATGAAGTGATCTCAATGAGTTTATGTGTTCATCAGTCAACAGTTACACATCCTGTATGTTAATGTAAATGATTTTGATTACTCTTTCTACTTTTCCTGGATGTGAGTATGAGGAGAAGGGGGCGTGGCTGAGCATTGAAAGCAGGACAGAGATGCCGGTTGGGCTGAACCAGTGTGCTAAGTAACTGATGCTATTCACCTGTGCATTGTTTCTGCCAGCCTACTTATAGTCATCTCTTCCCTCAGTAGGTGGCAGAGCCCAGAGAGAGAAGGAGACCTGTGAAGGTGTGAGAGCAGAGCCAAGGAGAGCTAAGCTGAGCTGAACAAAATAAAGAAAGGACTGAAAAGTCCCAGCAAGCATCTTGTCTTAATTTGTCTATGGGCTGAAAAGCCGAGTGGTTTTTGTGTTGTGTTAAGTAATAAAGATAGCTCTCCACATCTGCCCCCGGCGTCCTCCCTCCACCCATCCTTAAAGTTGTTACAGGTCACAAAGCAGAATGCTCACTGATGTAAAAAGAACCCTTGAACTAAAGACTTGAAGGAATCACTGAACCTAGTTAACACCTCTGTTCATGAGTCTATTATAGAAAAAACATTGAACCAACACCTGTCCATTGGAAGAAACTACAGAGGAAGCTGCTGCTCTCAAAAAAAAAAAATGTTGTTGCATCCCTCATGTTTTTCAAAGAGCACACTGACACTCTGAAACTCTACTGGGGAAATGTTTTGTGAACTGAGGAAACTAAGATTGAATTGTTCAGGAAGAACACACAGCACTGCATATGCAATAAAAAAGGGCAGCACATACCAACATAATCCCAATGGTGAAGTATGCTGGAGGGAGCATCATGATTTGGAGCTGCTTTGCCAAAAGAGGACTGGTGAGTTATTAAATCCAGGGGCTCGCTTACTTTTTCTTCCAGCACTGTGAATGTTCAATAGGTGTGGAGAATAAAGAAACGTTTAACTGTTTTTGTAGTTTTAGCACACTGTGTTTGTCAATACAAGTGTGGATGAAGAATAGATCATGTTTCATGCTTCATTTTGCTGAATTTGTTAGGGTGATTGCTTTTAAAGCCATTGTAGTATAATATGCATATCTATTATCATGCTTTTAAACACTGACCTGGTATGAACACCTTGGCAGTTACCTTTATATTTAAGTCAGAATATTTCAGAGCAATCTTAATTAATCTATCCCAACTATGTTAGTGACTCACCTTTTTTCATCTAAACGTTCTACTTAGTTCATCCTACTGCTCCATTAAAAGTGTAACAGACCAATTTATTTCCATCCAATCCTCAAAAAAACAGCATTTTTTTTAAATAATTATGCAATTGAACACTTTACTAAAGAAAATGGTTCTATGTAGAACCATAAACACTCAAAGAATGCTTTGCATGATTAAAATGTTCTTTGCATTGTGTAAGCGTTCTTCAGATTGTTGGAGAATATGCTGTAGATGGTTCTATATTTATTGGATATGAGAAATTAAAGTTGTAGTGAAGCTCTTACTTGAGCAAACAGCACCGAATGAATGAATGTGCTTTTCTTATTTCAGTTGATTTGTCGCAGCTCTGTTGCAGAAATTCTGCTAAAAAAAGGACTTTTTGTGGATATTTTACTTTTTCTTGCGTTTAAATCTTTAAGAGATTTTTATTTGTAGGTACAGAATGAACACACATGTCCAAAAGACATGCCTCCATGCTCATTTGCATATTTTTCAAAAATGCATTGTCATTTCATCATTACTAATCAGACATTCTTTGCTTTTCTTTGTTTAATCTGGGTTATTTTAATGATACTCTGTGGTGTGTACTTTACTTTCACAGAGTATCATAAACTGTATTTCTAAAAGATCCAGCTCATATTCATTCACTCTTAGCAGTTATGAGACTTCAGACTGCCTGTGAACTTTGCAGTTTCAGTTTGTTTTTACTGCATGAACAGCTGAAGCTGCAGTTATGCTGGTGTTCTGTTTATGTTCAGTTTCACATGGCAGTGCTATATTTACATTCTTACACAGACAGAATTTATGGTTATGTCCACTTATCCCACTGGATAAGTATAAACTTTGGAAAAGAAAAACGTTTTAATCTGAAAAGTAACAGCTTAATGTCTTCATGCACATTTCCTAAATATTTAAGTGTTAGTCACACTCTATTTTACGCTAGCCTAAGGTATAGGTATTAGTCAGGTAGACTGCTTTTTCACAGAGTACTCAGTGTTTTAACTGCAACAGTAACTTAAAGCGTCATATCAGGTTTGTACAGCAGGCCTGAGCATTTGCAGTGCTTTGGCCAGGAGCTGTCATTTGTGTTCACATTCTTGAGTAAAGTATGTTTCTGGCTTAAGCTCACTTAGCCACTAACATGCTACTGATTTCAGAGAGCTGATGTTAACAAACCTCCTCTGATGTTCATTAATGTGTCATGTTAGTAGTATACTAGATTATGTTATGAAAAAAATAATACTTTGTATTATTACATGCACAAAGTATTCCTAAATCAGTAATATTGCACACTAGAGAACCTATTTACTGTGAAATTAAAGCTTAAAGATTGCAGTGAAAAACAATTAACAGTCAAGTACCTGATTAGTGGACAACCAATAACTGCTGTAGTTAATGCTACATTCCATTAACACAGTGAACACAGCTGTGACTCTACTTACTGCTTCAGTGTATCAGTTTCATCAGTCAGTAATGTGACTGACGCTGAATATAAAGACGTGAGCTACAGACATAATGGTGGATGAGGTAGTTTTACTCTTTTACTGCATCTATCACACAGATTATACAGTGAACTACAGTGATCTTTTACAAGACCATCAACACCTTCAAATCAGTTTTACTGATTAAGTAAGTTAATGACAGAGTGTCAGAGGGGCAGTCTGTGCAGCTCATGTAATATATAAAAAGATAAACTCACTCCATATACAAAAAGCAGGAATATTCAGAGAGAGAGAGAGACTCACTCACACCTTCATCATCATCATGAAGGAGGTTCTTCATCAGGCAGCCGTGTTCTTCACACAGTCTTTTGGGGAGAAGAGCTTTAAACACAGCTCAGCTAACATCACTAACATCACAACACTTTCAGACTCACAATAAAGCTCTGAAATATTTTGTTGATGTTCAGCAAAGTGATAGAAGTAAATGTGGAATCAAAAGCAGAGCATCAGTGAATATTACACTGTAGTTACTGATAACATTATAAAAGCTCTTTCAGTGTCTTATCAGTGTTTGTTTCTAATGGAGAGCACTGCTGACACTAATGTAGGAACATTTTATTCACTTTTCCAGTAATGTCTACAGGCCTTCAGAACACTGTATATTTCTTATGATATAAAATCTTTACACTTCTATTAAACTGAGAGTTGTTCTACACTGTAATGTTAAAGACTGAAGAAAAAGCTCTTTATGAATGAGGTTTTGTATTAAACTACATCTGGAGACATTTGAAACACTTAAACCATCCAGTCTGTTCTCTGACCACAAGAGGGCAGCAGCATCTAAATGGACTGAACCTGCTTTCATTCCTTTACTCCTCTTAAACTGAGAGCTTTTATGGCTTTAATGGCTGTTTTTCCTCCTTTTTCTTTTCTGTTTGTTCACCACAATCTATCAGCTCAGTAGTTTCCATGTTATTTAGTCATGTTATGTTAAATAGAGCTATAAAGTCTCTCTGCAGCTACAAACCACAGAGAAACTTGATCATATACAGTTATAAATGCTGACTCAAAGTGACCCATTTATCATTTTATTTAAACTTTTAAATATAATAGCACTCATAAAATCATTAAAAATTAATAAGTAACACATTTAAAGTGTAAAAGCAATTGCATATGCAAATATTTGGAGACAAATAAATTCTGGTTATTAACTTCTTTTACAAACAAAACATGTCTTATAATTTCAGTAGTAGATGTTGTAGAGAAATGCAAACAGACATAATAATATACTGATGTGAATAAAGCAGAATATTAAATTGTATTTACTGAAATAGATTTTTTATTACAGTCTCTAAGAGCTGCATAGCTGCTGTAGTGTGCTTTGCTGTTTTTAATTCATAAACTGATCAGAACTTTTTGAGCAAAGTGAAATCTGCAGGTGGCAGGATGTTTAGAAGGACCAATAGTAAAGACACGTCTCTCAATGCCCATCGGCTCTCCCCCTTTTGGCAACCTGGTGCAGAAGTTGGGAGGGGGGGTGTCTCACCTCAAAACAGACCTACTTTGACCCAGAGGTCTGAAGACTTTCTTTTTCTTTTGACTAACAGTTTAGGTGCAGCTTAATGGAACTTCATGGCACCCTGTTTGAATATCCTGAAGAGACCTTTGGACATCACGGAAGTACATTTTTGATACTGATAAATTGTGACTTTTGAAAATTCACTCTGCTTCTCAAAGCTCTTTCCTTAAAGCCAGCAAAACGGGAGAAGTAGAAGAAATGAGACAGAAAAGAATTGTTCCTGAAGGGAGCGAGACAGCCAAAATGTAACCTTACAGAAACTACAAGTAAAGAAGCCGCTCTCCTTCTCTTTTTGCAGTTTAGGTAAGTTCTGCAGATCTTAAATGTTAGTTGTAACTGTAAGGTTAGACTATTGAAGAGATGCATCTAGCTGCGTTTGTTTTTCAAGTTTCGTTAATTCATTTTGAAAGTCTAATTGGCAACGATAAGTTTTAAAACAGAAACAGACGCAAAACAGTGCTGACTGAAATCCACATCAAGAGCCTGCTCCGGCCACTGCCTGCCTCGCCAAGCAGAAGATCTGCGTTCCTCACTGGGGAGGCCGCCACCCGTTGCGGGAAGCCTGCCGTGCCAGTGTGGTCCGGTCCAAAGCACCAGCCATGGGTTAGCGCCTTCAGTGGCTTCGCCCTTTGACCTGCAGACCCTTCCCAGCCTATGTGAGCAGCAGCTTCTCTTCCTCAATACAGTACGCGCATTACCACGGCTCTGAGGCATCCAGCGGCCTTGCCTTTGACCTGCAGTCCCTTCTCCAGCCCATGCAAGTAGCGGCCTCTTTTCCTCAATGCAGTACACGCATCACCACAGCTCTGAGGCATCCAGGTCGTAGATTCACTCACACGGCTACTTCTTGTGATTCAGTCACTGTGATTTTGCTTTTTCTTTATTCACACTTAGGCCAGTTTTGTCGCTAGTGTTAGTATTGTTTTGCTCGCTGCTCAAAAGCCACATAATTTAGAGAATCAGCTAATTTCAGTACGTTTGTTCTGTAAATTCAATACTCTTGGTTTGATTTCATAACTAGTAATCCAATAATTAGTGCCTATATACCTTTGTATATTATTATTTTGTGCTCATATACCTCTGTCAATAAATAAACACTTTATTAAAATCATCTCTGTTGTTGGTGTGTATATTTTAAAACCTCAGTTCGATTCTTTTCCCTGAACCATGGTCAAGCCCTCACTTAAATTTAATTAAAACATCTGTGTCTTACGGTAAGTGGGAAATTAGGTGCTTTAGAAGCCTTGTCCTGCACAACATTCGCCCAACCCATGTTACCTGAAAACCAACACACATATGGCTGTTCTTAGGCTACAAAATTTGTGGACATCTTAATCCCGTTTATGGCTTTTAGGTCAGACTCTATGTAGACAAAGCTATTAGGTTTTGTGGTTGTGAGGAGGTCTTGTAAACAACAGAATATAGGCTCAACCCAAGTGGTGTCCACTATACTCCATTATTTGTGTCATTCCTGTGTGTGTGTCAAGTTGAAGATGACTGGATCTGCAGTGGAAAACAAAGTAGCTGGTACCAGCAGTCAGTAGAGTCAAGTTTAGCCAATACCATGCAGAAGAAAAGCATCTTAAGATCCCGAGTTTAAATCCTCCTCAAGGTAAACTACCACATCACAGTCCCATGTTTTCATGTCACTACTGAAACACAGAGTTTTAGTCCATAGGTGGAGATAATTTTTGCCACATGTGTTCCATTTTAGGGCAGTCCTTCTTGGCCACATTGTGAGCATTTAGATTTCATTGTTTTAAAGTAAATGCATCCCAAAATCTGAAAATCAATGTGTCACTTTAAGAACTGTCACAACCGAAACACACATTTTCTGCCATTTAGCAAATATGTTTGTGTTTTACTGAATAATATTCTAATTTTATGTCCATACCACTGTTTAATAAATGTAAGCAAACATAATGAAGGCATAGGGTCACTCAAAACAAAAGAAAATCTGGCTTTGAACTAATTTGGTATTTTATCCATATCAAAACTTCAGTAGTAAATAAATACATATATATATATATTTCACTATGGTCTTTTTTGGTTGTAGCATCTTATAGGGTGGTGTGGTAGCGCAACAGTGTTGCTGTAATGAAGCCTTAACGATCCAGTCTGTATGTTTAGCTGTAGACCTGCTCCAGAAAATGTCTACTAAATTCTTTCACTGTTTGTGCTAGAGTTTCCAATTTTCTGTCCTTCTCCTTCAACTTTCTGTCCTTCTCCTCCATCTTTCTGCTGAACTCATCCTTCGTATTTGATTTTGATGCTAAAATGTTTCTCTGTAGTTCAGGCAGAACGATCTTTTTGAGAATTCTATTTACCTCCATACTGGCTTCTTCATATGTCTCCTTGACTTCCTTCATCTCCTGTCTGTGTCTCTCCTCCATCTCTCTCCTCTCCTTTACAGACTCTTCTTTCAGTCTTTCTAGCTCAAGCTGAACCTCCTTCCTCCGCTGAATCTCTCTTTCTAGCTCCCTCTTCAGCTCTGTCTTTTTCTTCTCATCTCTTTCCTCTTTTAACTCTCTCTCTAGTTTAGTTATTCGCTCTTCATGGTGATTTATTTGTACATGACATTTAGCCATTAATTCCTCAAACTTCATTGTAATCTCCTGTACACATCTCTCCAGTTTCTCTCTAGTTTCTCTTTCTTGTCTCTCTCGTATCTCCTCTCTTTCTCTCACAATTCTTTTCTCTATCTCTCTGATCTGAGATTGTGTCTCCAGGTAGATCTCACTGCTGTAGAATTTCTCTCTGTTTCCTTCCACCATCTTCTCTATCTTCTCCAGCAGCTCTGAGGTTTGAGAACCATCTCCACTCTCCTTAATGCTGAGATAGTGAAACCTGTTCCCACATTTCTCTACAAGTCTCTGGACCTCCTGGGTTCCTGACTGGATAAACTCTTGAATGTTCTTCTCTTGGACTTCATCAGTAATAGTCAAAAGGATCATGGTGTTCCTCCAACATCTCTCTCCAAAGATCTCCTCCATTTTCTCCAGCATGCCTCTCTCCTCTCCTGTAGACTGCTTCACTGGTATGACTAGGAGGAAGGCGTGGGGTCCTGGGGCAGACAGACGGACACAGAGTCCCACGTCCTGTCTCAGCTCCTCCAGAGAGAGTCCAGGACAGAACAAGTCAGGAGTGTCCACCACAGTCACCTGCCTCCCAGCCACCTCCCCCTGTCTGCTCTCACTCTGCTGCCTCACTGTAGACGCTCCAGCCTGGCTCCTCTCCTCTCTGCCCAGGATGGTGTTTCCTGCTGCTCTCTTCCCACATCCAGTCCTCCCCAGCAGCACCAGCCTGAGCTCTGCTACAGGAACTGACTCTTGAGGGGCTGAACTAGAGGATTCTCTACTCACTGTGAATCAGCAAGAATGAGGAAATGATGTTAGTGTATGTGGATATTATTCTCAGAATATTTATAAAGTAAACATAAGAAAGTGTATTTATTTACTATGTGGAGGAAGTCCTTCTTTACTGTTTCTTCTCCTGAGTGGTGCTGCTGAGTCTGGAGTCTCTCCACTGACTATGAAACAGAAGAATTAGACATAATAAAAATTAGATGTAGTTTGTAGATAGTGTATATTATGAAATTTGCATACAAGTTATACTATCATATCATAAAATACCATAAAACAATTGACATTTTTTGTTTAAATTCACATTAAAACACACATTTTCATGTTCACTTATGCATTCTAATGTAACACTTCCAGTGTGTAGTTAGTGTTGCATAGTGATATATGTTGTAACTTTATGCAACCTTAGAATTTACTTACAGTCTGGAGGTAAAAACTCTTTGCTGTTTCTCCTCCTGGCTGGAGCTGCTGAGTCTGGATCTGTTCTCTCCTGCAGCTGCTTGTTTCTCTCCTCTAGAAGTCTGTCTTTCTCCTCAACCTGCTTGTCTCTTTCCATTAGCTGTGTGTTTCTCTCACTTAGAAGTCTCTCCTTCTCTTCCAGCTGTTTGTCTTTCTCACGCAGTTCAGTTTTCTGTTGTTCCAGTAGGATCATCATCTCCTGTAGTTTGCTGCTCTTGTCCTGCAGTTCCTTTCTCAGAGTCTCCAGCTGCTTTTTACTGCTTTCCCCCTCTTTCACTGTGATCTCCAGTAGAGTCTCTTTCTCTCTCAGCAGTTTGATCTGATTCTCCAGTTGTGAGTCTTTATCTTTAGGCTGTGTCTTTTTGGTCATTTGTTCCAGTTTTTCTTTCATCTCCTGTAGTAGTGTTTCTTTCTCTTCCAGCATCTTGTCCTTCATCTGAAGTGTCTCTGTGTTTATTGTCAGAAGTTTTTCTTTCTCTTGAATTAGTTTGTCTTTCTCCATCAGCTGTGCATTTCTCTCCATTAAAATGCTCTCTTTGTCTTTATAACGTTTGGCTTCTTCTGATAACTCTGTGAGAAACACATTCATTTAACATTCAGGATTTATACTGGTTTATTGCTTTGTGTTTTCATTTGAGTTTTCACCATAATGAAACATGTAAGCAGTTTGTTAATTGTAGTTAATGTGGTGAAAAAGAAGTTTAGTTTAGGGTTATTCATAAATGTCTTTTTTTAAGATGATTCATTCTCGAGAAGCTGCTTCTGTACTTTCAAGATTCATACTGATCTGTTTATTTCTGAATGCTAATCATTCTCATGTTGTCTCACACTTTGTCTATTTCAGGAACTTGACACATATATAAAAAAAAAAATAATAAAAGTTTGTAACTGCACTGGAAGCAAAGTTCTAGTGACATAAAATGTTGCTGTTGTACAAGCCATAAAGAGTTCACTATAGACTATGAACATATAAAAGGAACCATTCAGACCAGCTGTGAATAAATTCAGTATCTATTTAGAAAAGCTGTTGATCAGTGAAGGAGTACAGAGGTGAACAAAAAGAGGCTTAAGTTAATGATCTTCTACAACAGGATCTCCAACAGAAATCCTGTTACTGCAGAAACTCACACCAGCCTGCACAGCTGCACTGATTTCTGAGACTTTAGTGATCTGAGCAAAGCTGACAGCAGTAGAATGTGTTTTAGTTAAAGCTGGTTATTCTACTATCTGTTCCACTGTTCATCAAATAACTGCATTTAATGTGAAGATTCCTAAATACAGCTTCCTCCTTCAGACCTATCAGACACCTCCCCCACACCATCTGCACTCTCACAGCAATGCTATCATCTACAGAACTCTACATTCTATATTTATTAGTAACTTATATTCTCATTATAATAAAAAAATAAATAAATGGTTTTGGGAAACTTGTCCACATTTTAACATTTAAAATACAAAACATTTAACTGTCAGTTATTTTTATTTTGTATTTCTTTTAAAACTCACCGGTCAGCAGTGCTGATTCCTTCATTTTCGTTCTTTCCTCTTCTGTCCATTCTCTGTTACTCTGTAGAAGAGAATAAAACAGAGTGAAGATGTGATGATGATTGGTGTCAGTATGAATCACTGAGAGCTGATATTACTAACAGTAGAGACTCTGCTGATTGTAGTTGATTGAACTATTTAAACTCAGGTGAAGAAGAGATTAAAGCAGAGAGTTACAGCAGGACAGTTAGAGCAAGTTAATGACGTTTATTAATTATTGTACTCACCTGCCATACACGTAAATATTGTTTGTCCTGAGAAAGAAAAACTAATTAGTGAAAATATTGACATTTAAAATATATATGCTGAAAATGAGCCTGTGAAAACAGAGAGAATATGTAAAAAATTGCTATAATTCCTAAACGGTTAATGAAATATTTTTGTTAAACACCATGAATTAAAGCTGCAAGTCTACATTTCAATCACATCTTCAGTTCAAATACATTGTAATTGTGTACAGAGGTAAAATTACAAACGAATTGGGTCACTGTACAAATATTATGAATCTGACTGTAGTTATTTACTCACCCACAATGCTGTGAAATAAAAAGAGAAATAAACACCAAGTTAGACTTTTTTTATGAGAAGCATTTTTTAAAATAAAACACCTTATCTCAGAAATTTCCTTTTCTTATCTGTACTGTAGTTTTTCATCCTTCACTTCTGAACTGTCACTCAATGCTTTCAATACAGCTCAATGTGTGTTTAACTAACTGGCACTACATCAGCATCCATGCAGCTCTAATAGACTGTAGATAGATGTAGAATGTTTACAAGAGCACAACTAAGGATTAATGATCACATTTATCTTGGCTTGTGTTCAGAGTTGGAGACTTGAAATGTTACGTCAACAGATACGCAGAAAAAGGTCTCTGTATTCAGACTCGCGCTCTGTGGGAGCTTAACTTGATTTTCTGGGTGATGAATTAGAATACTGAAATTGTCCATGTGCAGTTAATGCCTCTGAGGTTGTCAGGTTTTTCTTGTGTACAGATTTCAAGCATGTACATTTAATGTGCATCTAAGCATTTACCTTTAAAGCAAGCTTTTTAAACTTTAAACACATAGAAATCAGGTGATAGAAAATGTGACTGATAGCTTTATCAGACTTTATGGGTAAAATAGGACAGTAATATGATGTTGAGTAAAAGCACGAGATTCAAACACCTGTAGATTTAAATAAACATCTTATAATAGTCAATGATTTTCATTCCTAAATCTTAAATATATTATCCAAAACACCATCTATTTTAAATATTTAAGGATGATTAGACACACAGAACAAGTATTTCACTTATTTATATTTATTTCAGATCATATTTATTATGTATGTGTAAGGAAACATTTATGTATGTCTCAGAAATAAGAATCTTTTTAGGTTAAAAAAAAACAACTGGAATGTAAACAATAAAATACAAAATACTTAATAATGGATACAGTTGGCTCACCTTCCTCTAGCATTAACATCTTGCACTAACTGCACTGGAGACTGTTTATACCACAGCAAAAAATTCTGACCATAATAGACCCCCAATACCAAGACATCAAATATATCAACCCTCAAAAAGAACACAGATTTTCAGGAGCTTCATTAAGATGAATCTGTATATTTAGTGTTTTTTCTATTTACTGTTTTACTGTTTTTATTGATAGGGGCAGCACTGTCACTGTCAGATAGTGGGTAGCGCTGTCGCCTCACAGCAAGAATGGCCTGGATTTGATTCCCGGCCGGGTGACCAGGGTCATTTCTGTGTGGAGTTTGCCTGTTCTCCCCGTGTCTGCGTGGGTTTCCTCCCACAGTCCAAAAACATGCAGTCAGGCTGATTGGACATGCTAAAATTGCCCCTAGGTGTGAGTGTGTGTGTGAATGTGTATGTCTGTCTGTCTGCCCTGCGATGGACTGGCGACCTGTCGAGGGTGTATCCTGCCTTCCGCCCAATGACAGCTGGGATAGGCTCCAGCACCCCACCACGACCCAGAAGGATAAGCGGTTTATATGATGTATGTATGTATTATATTGTGTGTATAGTTAAAAAACTCATGTTCAAATATTATTAAGCACTGAAAGAGTCATAGCTCATCTGTCATTTTTATGTATTAATCAGACAGAACTGAACTTATACACTGTTAGAAATAAAGGTTCTGTGCAGGTACATTTTTGTTCATCAAGATGCAAAGAATATAAATGTTCCCTTAAAGGTACAACAGCGGTTTTAAGCTCTTGCAATTGTGAACCTTAAATAAGTTTATCCAGGTAAAAAATTACATATTTGTATCCATTCATATTCTAATGTTTTAAAACAGAACAATAAAGTAAAAGCCTGGAGACGAGATGGGGTGTGCGGAGTCAATACAACTTAGAAAATATAATTTCAGTGGATTATGGTACAGTTATGTTCCCTGACTAAAGGTACTGACATGTACCCTTGAGGGTCCCACCCCAGTGACAAGAGGGGCCTCAGAGACAGTTTACTACGTTTATTTCTGAGAGTGTAGAGGAAAACGTTTGGAGGAGTAAGGATTCATCCCTTTAGAGAAAATAAAGACTCTAAAAGATCTAGAAATGTAGCTTAAAACACTACATGTAGAAATGAATAATTCATAGCTTTGATAGAAATGTATGCTGTAAAAAATCACTTGTCAGTTCAACCTAAAAATTACTCCATGTGGAAACAAGACTGTCCTGTGATGGACTGGCAGCCTGTCCAGGGTGTATCCTGCCTTCCACCCAATGACTGCTGAGAGAGGCTCCAGCACCCCCCACGACCCAGAAGGATAAGCAGGTTAGATAGTGTGTGTGCGTGTGGTAACTAGCAATTGAACTAGTTTTATTCAACTCAAAAAAATAACTTTGATCTAAATAATCGTTAATCGAAACATGTATTTAGATTCAATAAAACTAATTAAATTGCTTGTCCTGTGTTTTGTTGTCTCTTTGCTTCTCTCTCTCTTTTTCTCTGTCAGTGTTTTCAGGTTGGCATTGCTGCATGACTGACGTCCCTCTTTTCCCAGCATGTGATTGGCTGTTCCTGTTGGCACCGACTATAAAAGCCCTTTGGTATTAGATAATGTGGAGTGTTCTTCCTCTTCTTCTTCTTCTTCTTCTTCTTCTTCTTCTTCTTCTTCTTCTTCTCTTCGTCTTCTTCTTAAACTAAAATTTTTGCTTGATTCCATTAAATAAATTAAGCTTTTTGCTTGAATGTTTGTTGATGGAAATCCATGATGATATAATATTATATTTTATTATGCTGATATTAAATAAAACTAATTATTCCTATTAATTTATTGTGTTATAAGTAACATTTTTTATAATAATTATGTACAACTCTCATGATATCTTCCCCTCTCTGAGAAGGCTTCACACACTCACACCACACTTGCACACCTACATATTATCTAGGACTCATTAGCCCTCTTATATTGTGAGGTTTCTGTGTCCTTACCTGAATACGAAGTATTTTCTGTGTATTATTCTGTGTTTAGGTCTTTGCTTTGTTTCCTGGTTCTCGATGATGGATTTGCCTTAAGTGTACCTGACTGCCTGTTTTTTCACAACTGCTTGTCTGATTTTTGGACAGCTCCCTAATAAATCCTCTCAGTGTGTGCAATCTGCCTCCACGCCTCACAAGTTACAACACTGTGGGTTGTCATCAATAGTGAGATTTCACAAAACGTCTGCATTTTATTCCCTTTATTTGATTGTTTGGATAAATGTTCCTATTAATTTAAATGATCATTTTTATTTAAAACTGGCCTCGGTTTGTTTGTATTCTACACTCACAGACTTGAATTTCAGTTTAAAATATTGTGGTTTCATCAAACGGT